AATTTATCTACTATCGTATACATAATCAGCCAACGGATTGTACCGTTAGCAACGCAGGATCGCGGTTCTGTTCCATGAGGGGTTGCATCGTCAAATGGGTGTTGGTGGCGTAGATGTTGGTCTAGATCCAGGTGTTGATAAGTCGAAGGATCAAGCATAATTTGCGAACAAGCTGACAAGAGTAGCTACTAAGCGGTGGTGCAGATATTGGTCTAAATATAGGTGTTAATAAGTCGAAGATCTGGCATAATTTGCGAACAAGCTGGCAAGAGTAGCTACAGATAACCCTCCATGTGTCCGAGATGAGATCCTTTTATAAGGATCTCATCTCGGGCACATGGAGGGATTGATATTAACAGCTTGGGGTCTCACACCAGATTTAGGTGTTGAGTCCAAACCTCGTATGAAACACATGCTATAATATGGCACAGCGAGCCTGATAGTACAGAGACTTGCGGCATACTGATGTGTGGAGGTTGTGCGGAAGAGGTCACAAATCACCTATATGGCACGCCATCCTATCGAGTGCTACAGACGACAGCACACACTTATCTAGCTAGGAACGTCCGTAGAGCTCCATTTCTAATTCATCCTTTTACCCATGTATCATCCCTGCCACATCCACATATACCGCACTGCAGTAAGGATAAGTTCTCATGCGAAGTATCTCAGCCGAGTATCGACTTTATTTAGGGCTTATTACATGCAGCAACATCGGAAAATGCGGGCATTCTATCTAGCTGGGTTTCTCGACATGGGTATCAGTCGACGCGGACAACTAGCTTCTGTCCTGAGACCGCCCCAGTACGAATTATGTCCACACCCTGGATGACACCGGCCCAGCTGTCGGCTAGGACTCTGATTGGGTGAGATTTGATGCGACCGTTGTCCAGCAATGTTTGTGTAGCCGCAAAGATCTTGGCGCTCAGGGTCCGATCTACAGCCGATGCTTCCCGCGCGTACTCACCATCCAATGCGACGCGACCGCCGAACATGGTTAGGACCATCAGCCACGAGGCGCGGACCGTTGGGCGCGTAGCTGCCACCGCTTGGCGGACGGGCTCGACCCCGCAATACCGCCCGCCAGCCCTGCCAATTGCGCCATAGCACAGCTGGGCACTGTCTGACTCAGACACGCAGTCCAGCGCGTACGCCAGGCCATTGCGTGTGTAAGCGCGGATCTCTTTGGCGCAGTCCGGACTGCGGTAATTAAACGCCTTTTCGGCTCCAAATTCGAGGACCAGTGTGAAATTCGACGGCGAGCAAGTTGCAATTGGCCGTAATCCTGCCCTACAGAGTCCTGTCATCAGCGAGCCGTTTTCAGTCTGACGAAACCAAACGCGAACGCTCAAGAGCTTACAGCTTGAGAAGTTGAATGGCCCTGGTGCCAGTGGCGGTGCTGCCTCCAGATACAAGGACCCACGCTGCATTTGATGTTACATCCGAATCCGGCCCGGCCCTGTCGATCAGATCCTCGATACTTACGGGGATCTCTAATTCGCGAAACAAGGCAAGTCCCGCGGTGGCCAAGCCGATGCCAAGAGTGGATGCCTCCTCGAAAGTCATCGTGTCAGGAATCCTGAGGAGCAGCTCAGCGGTCGCTCCAACATACTGTGCAAAGGCACCGACACGGGGCTCCAGGGAGTTGTTGCCATGAACGGCCCCAGCAACCCTGTCTCCGATGGAAAGATGATGTGGGGCGTCTGAGCCAAGTGCGACAACGACCCCGGCGAAGTCGTATCCATGAATAGCGCCAACTGCTGGACTGTAATCGAGCATCTTGGCGTCGACGGGATTAATAGCGACAGCAACAGTGCGAACAAGGGCCATATCAGGGGCCACATGAGGCAGAGGCCAATCTTGGTGCAGAGAAAGCTGGCCGGGGCCGGCAACCACTAAGGCATTCTGGCGCTGTGGGAGGGCAAACGTAGAGGTGACCGAAGACATTACGTAAGATTGGATGCAGAACACTGGCTTCGCTATTCCTGGGACTGTTAGGACTGTTAGGACTGAAGTTGTCTGAAGTTGTCTAAAATTGTCTGAAGTTGTCTGAAGTTGTCTGGAGTTGTCTCTGAAGTTGTCTGAAGTTGTCCCCGTGTTCTTTGGCTGGAAGTTTCTCTCGTATCTTATCTGCATAATAGGAATCGCCAGGGTGCGACAGAATGGAGCCCAATATATAATAAGCCTTAGGTCACATCGTCGTGAGGAAGTGGCACTGCTGCTGCACTGTTGTTGCATGCAGCTGATGCTCGAAGTCGCCGGTCATCATCAGCGGAGCTCCTCATCTGAATGGCTGAAAATCGCCGAACGTTAGAGAGACCAAGGAAACCCATAGCGCGAGATCAATTTATGTAGACAGTATAATCTAGAATGACAATTTATCTCCAACCGCATATCCAGATCAAATGGTCTCTCCTATCGCCTTTCCAACTCGATCAAACATCAGAAAAGTGTCGCTTTGCTGCTGTCACGTGAATCACGTGATAATCTTCTCCTTCCCCGTTATTACCCCAAACTCTATTCCGGCGCTTTGACATGGCTCCAGCTGTGTCGAGCAACTCAGAACACGAGAGGACGATTCAACAACCAGAAACTCCAGAAACTCGGTCTGAAAATGCGGAAAGTCAATCACAAGATGATGGCGGGGACTACACGCCACGCAGAAACATGATCCCCATCATGATTGCCCTCTGCGTCGCGTCGTTCCTTGCTATTCTTGACATCTCCTTCGTCACAACCGCCTTGCCGACAATTGCTGCGTACTTCAAGGCTTCTCAAATCAGCTACTCATGGGTTGGTTCGTCTTACCTTGTAACCCAGTCCGCTTTGGCTCCGCTTTGGGGCAAGGTGAGCGACATTTTTGGACGCAAGCCAATTGTGTTACTGGCAACGTTCGTCTTTTTCATTGGGAGCTTGATTTGTGCCGTGGCAAATAGCATTGCCGTGCTTATTGCTGGGCGTGCCATTCAAGGTGCTGGAGCCGGCGGCGTGCTGCTCATCGTGACGATTCTAATAGGAGATCTCGTCAGTCCACGGTAAGTGACATTAGGAATTTCCAGCTTTGAAGTTACTATATGCCTCCAAAGACTGCTCCCTAGAATGCGCTGACCCACTTCCCAGACAGCGCGGACTATATTTTGGCATTCTCGGTGGGGTATATGCCATCGCAATATCTTCCGGTCCTCTCATCGGAGGAGCACTTGCGGAAAATATCGGCTGGAGATGGTGCTTCTACATCAACCTACCGTTCCAGGCCATCGCTTTTGCCCTCCTGGTCTTTTTCCTTCATGTTCACGATCCCCGTACCGAAATTATCAAAGGTTTAATGGCTGTTGATTGGCTGGGATCGATTGCTATTACAGGCTCGGTCCTTATGCTTCTCCTGGGCCTTCAGTATGGCGGTGAGGTGTATCCTTGGAGCTCTGCCATTGTCGTGTGTTTGATACTTTTCGGTGTGTTGGTTTGTGGTATCTTTGTTGGCATCGAGTGGAAGCTGGCCCGTTATCCAGTGCTCCCTCTACGACTGTTCACGACTCGCCCTGTCATCGCCCTATTCGTCGTGGATCTCACGCACGGGTTTCTTTTGTACGGCACGGCCTACTTTGTCCCATTCTACTTCCAGGTAGTTGTTGGAGCATCACCAATTGACTCGGCGGTCTGGTCCCTTCCTCTCGCCATTCCCCTGTCTCTCTTCACCATTGGGACAGGTCTTTATATGCGGAAGACGGGAAAGTACTTATACATGATCATTGCAGGCATGGCTATCTCCACTCTGGGCACCGGTCTGTTGATCGATTTCGGTGCAGAAATCAATTGGCCAAAGATCATCATCTATCAACTGATTATCGCCGTCGGCCTGGGTCCCAACTTTCAGGCACCGACCATTGCCCTGCAAGCAAGGTTTCCACCCGCCGACGCGGGCGTCGCCGTCTCCGCGGCCAGTGCAATCCGCGCACTCAGCGCCGCCTTCAGCATCGTCCTGGGCGGCGTCATTCTTGAGAATCGACTCTCGGCAAAAAGCGGTCGTCTCATTGCTTCTGGAGTCAGCCCTGCGATGGCGGAAGCAATTGCACGGAATGGCGCAGCTGGATCTGTGGAGCTCGTTGCACAGCTCACTCCGGCCCAGCAAAATATTTTCAGGTTGGCTGTAAAGGACAGTCTTGCCGATATGTGGATCTTCTTCGTCGTTCTTTCCGGAATCGGACTCATTGCATCTTTCCTCGTTGGAAGCGAGGAACTTTCTGATGAGCATGTTGAACACAAGACGGGTTTGGGAGTGGAAGAGGCAAATCGATTAGTGCATGAAAAGCCGCGGGTCACTGAGCCAGAACTGGCTGAGATGACTTGAAGATACTCCACAACTTGGAGGAGCAGTGCGATACCTCACCAACGCTGGTAATGCATCTTCTGCTTTTTGGCATTCGACAAGGATACGCATGATTTGTACTATCTTGAAGTTGGAAGAGGAAACAAATTGCCAAAGGAGATTGCTCGGAAATGTCGCAAGCGATCAAATTTATCGACCTCATTATCAGGTCCAGCGTCAATGTGCAATAGGCTAAATCTGTAATATATCTGAACTACCACTTATATACCTCGAAGAGGACCCCCGTTTGATGGTACAAGTTCCGCGCATCTTTTTGTTCATATCAGCAATCCGTTACAGTATCTCCTCTTGCGTGATTTTGTCCCATTACTCCTGTAGAGCCTCTTTCATCTCTTCTTCGGAATCGAAGATTCTTCGGCGTAAGCGTTACTTTACAATAGCCCAATTACCATCAATAGGGTTAATATCCGGACTCTGGGCAGGATGGTCCCATAGGTTTTGGACGTTGTGGGCCTTCTTGTACTCTTGTGCTAGCCCATATTTCCTTACCCCATGGGAAGGATCCCCATCCTCTTGTAAAAGCCATTATTTATCGTCAATAAGCCGCATAGACTTAACAGCTTCGACGTATATAGGAAGAAGTTTATCTACGTAGTACTTCTGGGTCATTGAATTACCCCTGAACCTTGACCTCTACCTTATGAGGCTTCCCAGCTTCCCATTCCCTTACTCTTTCGGTGTATTCCTCCTTATCCTCAGTCGTTGGACGATTGCGTGGCTTCTGGGGGTAGGCAGGTTCCTCAACCTTGTCCTCCTCATCATTGTAGAACCTTCGTCTCTCTGCCTTTCTCCACCAAGAGACCCACGCGGCGATATGAAAGCGGACGCCCTTAAGGGGAGGTCTCTCTTTAATATTCTCAGGGTCGTCGCGGTGGCCTTCTTCTCGGAGGGACGCTACCTTGAGCCTGTTAAATTGGATCAACGTGAGCCTCATCTGTGTAGAACTATATGGTCAAAGAACTCAAAGATAGGTTGGTAAAGATGTGTGTTTCCGTAGGTAAAACCTTTCTGCCCGGTTTTTATAGGAGGTAAAACCTTCTTAACAAAGGCACACTTATATCTCCCACCCCCCCTTGGTATTGCTCCCTTAACTTCCGTTGTGATTGGCGCTTACCAACAGGTAGTTGGTGGTACTCAATCTGAGCTTCGTACGGTTATTTTTTTTCGGGCAGGATTTCGACTTACTTGGAGAAGCAAGTATCGTAAGGGACGCGTGCGTCACGAATTCTGTCACCCACTGTTGGGACTCGTGTACATATTGACCTGCTGCGTGCGTGAGTCCGAGGCTGATCTTGAAGTATTGCCTCGCAATATCTAATTACGGAACTACTTCGTACATGGCCAAATTCTTCCACTTTAGTCGTCTATGCGGGCTTCTAGATATCTCTAGAATATCTGAGCTCATGTCTGTTGGCCGCTTCCTAGACAGAATCAACATTTACGCAAATGGCTCCTAGGACGGTCTAAAATGGGCTCGAAACCTGTTCAAGCCAAGGTGCTGCCAGGCAACATTAAATTAATCTGCTGTATTAGACAAGCGAGGTGCCGGACAATATAATTACCACGCGTCCACAGCGAAACCAATCTGGGGGGGGTGCCACGCGTCATCAATCGAGAGTTCCCGAAAGTAGTAACACACGGGGGTCAGCACTGTCAGCCACCTGTCAGATCTATAAGTGCTAATAGCCGCGTAAGAGGAATTCAACGAAGCACGGACTGTTATTGGTCGAAAATCCGCCGATGCTGCTTCACCATCGCATGCAGCTGCATCGGCGGATTTTCGACCAGTAACAGTCCGTGCTTCGTTGAATTCCTCCTACGCGGCTAGTAACACTTATCGATCGCCGCGACACGAAATGCCTGCGAAGGGGGCGGCAATGCTTGTTTCTCCTTTCTAAGGTCGACGTGTCGTGCGACAGGCATCAGCTTCTACTAAGACTACACTCGCATCCTCCTTTTGAATAGTCCGGGTTTTCATCTCAGCTCACAACACTCTGGCATCCACTCACTCTTCATTGATGTACTTTCTCTAGCCCGCTACGACTTTGCTCTACCACGAAATCAAGCCAGTTTGCCATCCTTCTCCGCCTTTCTTTAGCAGCTCTACCACCTCTTATCACTCCGACACTTCCTAACCCTAAGTCGAGTCTCGTCCATTCCGCCCTCGACTCAACGCATCTTCCACCCCTCTTTATTACCACGATGTCGTCCCCCGAAGCAGCCGGCCAAAATGATCCCTCCCAGTACCTCGTCTCCTTCGGCCCCGACGCCAACTGCACCCTCGCCCTATGCCCCGTCGAAGCCTCCCTCCAGGGCTACCGGCCCGCCTTCGGTGTGCAAATTGCCTTCATCGCCCTCTTCGGCGTCTCCATGCTCATCCACCTGGCCCAGGGCATCCGCTACCACACCTGGTTCTTCGCCAGCATGATGGCGATCGGCTGCATCGGCGAGATAATCGGTTACGGCGGGCGCGTTATGCTGTACCAGAACCCTTTCTCCTTTAACGGCTTCATCATCGAGATCTGCTGCATTACAATCTCGCCCGTCTTCTTCGCCGCCGCCATCTACGTCACGCTCGCCAGGGTCTCGAATTTTTTGGGCCCCGAAGCTTGCAGGTTTCCGGCCAAGATATACGTGTGGGTGTTTGTTCCTTGCGATGTCGTTAGTTTGATATTGCAGTCCGTGGGCGGCGCGTTATCATCGAGTTCGGTTGGAAGTGACAAATCGGGCGAGTACATCACGATTGCAGGTCTGGTGTTCCAGGTCTTCACTCTTACTGTCTTCACCGCTATGGCGTTAGACTACCTCTTCCGCTATATCTCGTACCGTAAGTCTCAGCAAGTGGATCAACGCCGGATCCTCTCGACGCGCCTCGGGATCTTTGGCGTTTTCTTCTCGGCATCTATTATCTTTATCCTCATCCGTTGCTGCTACCGTATTGCCGAGCTCGGTCAAGGATACAGTGGGTCAATCTTCCACAAGGAGGGTCTGTTTATTGGGCTAGAGTCGGTAATGGTGATCCTGGCTGTGTTCGCCTTAAACATTGCTCAACCAGGTACGGTTCTGTCCCATGTAGGGAAATTCTCGTTCGTACTAACAGTCGCAGGCTTCGCATTCCAGAACCGCACTCAGGGGGCCTATACAACCTATGGTAACAAGGTTGAACACGAATCTAGCTCCGAGCAAAATGCATCAAATGTAAGAGAAGTCACTATGACCCAAGAATAAAACATGTTGTAAGGCAGGCCGCCAACAGCCCGGCAAACGCTCCAACCTGGCGATGGATATGTTGCCTATCCGAGGGATCGGCGCACATTGGGCTTGTAACAGGGTCTGAATGGTCTGACGGAGGCTATCTAATCTATGCTGAAGCAGAATAGGCGTGTAGGCTAGCAGTAAATGGGATTTTCTTTTTTGTATTAAGTTTTGTCGCTAGCGAATACACTAGCATAGCAAGAAAGGCTTAAATAAAGCCTGAAATTCAGCGTTTGTATTAAAACAGCTCGTGGTTATAACTATATTTGTCACATGTATATCATCTCAGTTCTGCGGTCTTCCCCCCCGGGTTTAGCGACCCCCCGCTTCGGGCAAGGCGCGTGCACGTGTCGGCCGACGCTTTCAACGTCTATAAAGTTGCGCCCACCCCGTTCATCGACCATCCTCCTCTTCAATCTCTTCCTAACACTCCCCCGCTCGGTCGTTTTGGTTCTCGTCATGTGCTATTGACCCCTCCCATAGATCCACAGAGAGCGCCCGCCCCTTGATCGGCCCCGCCGTAGCTGAAAAATCGCAACGACATATCCGGTTTGAGGCAAGGACCCTCCTCGATCTGCCGCTCTAGATTCAATGCTCCTAATTGTTAGGACCTCAGACGAGAAGACTTTGATAGAGCAACAAGGTGCAGAGGAAGAAGGGGAGGACGACATAGTGGCATCAACGGAGGGGATAGAGATGCAACGACGGCAGTAGTAGAGAGAAGGGAGTGAGCTAGAAGGAGAGGATAAAGAGCTTAATAAGCTAGCTATAGGAGAATGCTTGCACACTAGAGAGGAAGAGGACTGCTTAGACAAATCTAAGGACAAGGACTGTGTTTGCAATTCTATTAACGAGGATAACAAGAACATATAGCTAGCAAAACGACGTAGACTACCCTCGCTACTTTAGTGACGAAGGTCAGCAGAGCGCAAAGCCTGATGTCACACAACTCCGTCGCTCATTGTTCACGACTACTAAGAGAGGCCACGTACAGCCCAAGACTGTTCGTGCTCGGAATTCGACAGCTGATGAGCAACAACTCTCACTCCACACCCTTCCTAGAGCCCCTCTGCTATAACGGAGTCGGTGTTAGCTGCTAAGTATAAGGAATGGCTCCTTCATAGCTTCCTCAAAAGCACTAGGATCAGGAACGACACGACTTTCAATCTTAGGGTTTATCTAGCCGGTGTCCCGGAGCCCCCTGAACTATCGGCTCTGTATAAAGCATTGTGTAATAACAACCAACTACCGATAAAGCCTCAAAAACCTTACAGCACTATTACACATTCCAAGACACACAATTCCCAGTCGACGTCTCTAAGAAAGCGCGCTCTATGGACGCTCGATCCAGGTACGCTACTCCACGAAATTCAGCAAGCGTAGCAGTGCTAGCACTAGGTTGAGAAACGACAACGGCTATAGATTGAGCACAGGCTGAAGTAAGAAGTTCCCTGGCAGGACTCTGGCCGTAATAGGCACATGCTGGATTACGGTATAGCGTAATAAGCTTCCTCCTATAGGTGGATAGGAAGCAGTTTACGCTCTCTGTCCCTACTTGTCCCTAGGCCTCTGTTAGGGACGAATATATAACACTAGCAGCCCTTAATGTATGTGTATAAGTGCTATCTTCTGCTTTTTAATTTCTGCCTATTTTACATAACTTTATTATTAAACTTAATCTTTAATTAAATCTAGCTGTTTAAGCAGCTCTTATAACAATAAAAGCTATACTATTAGAAGAGCTTAAGAGTTATTAAGTTTAAGAGGGTTTAGCTTATCCTTAGATGTTTTCTACTTAAAGTAGCCTTATGACTATGCTAGGGTAGCTTGTTCTTCTTTAGAGAGAGTTTTCTGCCCTATGGTTCTAGGGCCCTTAAAAGTAAAGAAAGAATGTTGTAGATAGTAGACTTCAAAATCTAAACATAGCAAGAGCGTTCCTTTTACACCATTTTCAAGCTCTAGCTCGACCCACTTCGTGCATGTCGATGTAGCCGCCATCAGGAAGCTAAGGGGGAATCGGGTGAGGCGCAGGCTGACTGGTGTGAGCGAGGTAATATTTTTCGTGTCGGTTAGTTGGTTTTAGGCATCATTTTTTGTATTCACACATAAATTTGGGGCTACCTTGTTATTCTTATCTGTCCTATTCAGCTTGCTTATAGCGTAGGAGAGCCGTAACCCCACGCCAGACAAGATCCTATGTTAGCAGACTAGAATGCAAGAAAGAGAAGAGCAAACTCGGAAAGCAGGGAAGGAAATGAGGTCTGTGGTCTAGCAGTTCCTTTGTGTGATGCACGTATCTTGATCGAAGAGCCGTCTTTGTAGTTTGCCTCGTGATTGGAGGCTGTAAGCGGCATTTGGTGCATGGTCATTACTGATTTGTAGGCTGCCTCGTCTAAATATTGTCGTGAGATGAGGTATGGGAGTGAATCGTGATATGAGATATCTAGGCGAGGCATCAATGTGCTTCTTTTTCGAGCCACCTCTCCTTATTCTACTAGCCGTGGGTAGAAGCAACGTTCGTTCGTGGGAACGATATGGAAGCAAAGTGCGTTCATAGGATTTTTCATAGTAAATTACTAAAAATTAGAACTTTGTCATTTTCTGTATATTTAACATGTGCCTATTTTATACCCTTTTTAGTAATTAATAACTTTATAATCTTATAAACTTATAAACTCTAAATGCTCCAAGTAGTATTATATGTATATATCATCTATAAATTTTTAAGGATGGCAATAGAGCATTTAAGGTAGTTTATATATGTTTTTATTCTAAAAATTTAACTACATTTTAGTCATGTTACGCATAATTTACAATGTAAAGGTTACTATAATATTTAGATATTTAATAGTTGCGAACGCATATTGCATCCCCGTTTTCTTCCGAACGCACTTTGCTTTCACCCATGATTGGTGCTAAAGCCGATTCTAAGACTTAACGATCTTGCCATACCTTAGTAGATCGATCTTATCACTAGGGTAGTTAGGGCCAACGGCAGTTGGAAAATCCCTCATCGTAGATTCTAGTGTGGGGATATTATATGCTGGTGATAATTCACTTGGCAAGTTCACCTCTTCTCTCTCTGACGACCTTGTTTTGCTACCCCGCACGCCAAGCCTTTGGAATCTTGAAAAGAGAAACTCTCTCGTCTGTATTAGTGGCGGCAGACAAAGTTTTTATTACGGCCCATTTCCTTATGGAACGGATATGAATTAATAGTAGATTGGCTCATCCACGAGCGCAAAACAACGTTTCTAAACCCCTAGTCTCTGTCCCTCTGCGCACTAGAAGCTCATATACTAGATACTTACAAAGCTAACGGGCACGAATTTTTATAACCTGCGTGTCTAGGCCCATATGTCAGACCTCCCCGAGATAGAGCCGGTGCGACGAGGTGGAGGAGCCGAATATAATGGCCGCGAGGCGAAGTTCCGAGTCTAAATGCATAAACCGCCGGCAATCCCCATCGACCCCGCGCCGTCCCCGCAACGACTTCCCCACGCTGGCTCCACGGAGCTTTGTTTTGTTTCCTGTTCGTTGCGAATTGGGAGCATGTATAACGGACGGTTATAAGGCTGTCATATACGGCAATGCTTGTCAGCTATGCGTATTTGGACGTCGCCGAGATAAAGCCGGTGTTAGAGGCGGTAAAGGCGGAGAGCTGCAGGTCGATGCTGTACTCTGCGGGGTTGTGAAGTGGAGGAGGATACTGTACGAATATAGCACCCAAATACAGCTTTGAAAAGGTTATCGGCGCAGCATAAAGTCCACCGTGACTGCAACAAAGTTTACAATGTTCGTAGTAGAGATACTGTCGCGTCGCTTTATCGAAATGATTAGCTCCTTCTCGCTCAAACATTTCGTCGGCGCCGTCGCCTCCACGGCGGTTCTAACAGACTTAGTTAATGCGCGCTCAACCGGTCAGTACTGAAGGCGCTTCCTCCCGTCTATGAGTGTTTATGAACCTGACCTTTTGCTAGGCATCGAGGTTAATGGAACATCCTTCGCGCTCAACGGCGAACATGCAACATACCGGTTCCACGTCGACGAGCTCACGGGGGACCTGATTACCGACCACTTCGGTGGTGCAGCTACGGAAGACATCTTGCTAGCAGAACCCCGGATCAACGGTTGGGTTGAGTTGCTCGGCCGAGTAAGACGAGAGTATCCCGACCTCGGCCGAGGGGATTTCCGTGTTCCTGCGGTGCGAATTCGTCAATCCGCCGGATACACCATCAGCGATCTCCAGTACAAATCGCACAGTGTCGTCCAAGGTAAGCCTGGTTTGCCGGGTTTGCCTGCAACTTTTGGCGATCCCGAGGATGTTTCGACTTTGCTCGTCCAGATGTACGACAACTATAGCTCCATCGCGGTTGACCTGTCCTATTCCATCTTCCCAAAGTACGACGCTATCGTCCGAAGCGTCAAAATCACCAACCAAGGAGAGCACAACATCACCGTCGAGAAGTTGGCTAGTCTCAGTGTCGACCTGCCGTATGATGACCTGGAAATGGTTGAGCTAAGGGGAGACTGGGCCCGCGAAGCAGCGAAGGTTAGGAGGAAGGTTGAATACGGGACTCAAGGGTAAGTGAATACAACCAGGAAGCACCTATTTAATGCTAGCAAGACTTGTTTGCTAACGGCGATATCCAGTTTTGGCAGCACTACTGGCTATTCGTCGCACCTCCACAACCCATTCCTAGGGCTCGTGACCTCAACGACGACTGAGACTCAAGGTGAGGCTTGGGGATTCTCTCTAGTCTACACGGGCTCATTCTCCGCCGAAGTCGAGAAAGGCTCACAGGGCCTCACTCGAGCCATGCTCGGCTTCAACCCTTACCAGCTTTCTTGGCCACTAGCCCCTAATGAGAGTCTCACCACACCTGAGTGCGTCATGACGTACTCCATGTCGGGACTTGGAGGGATGTCGCGGAACTTTCACCGTCTCTACCGCAACCACTTGATGAAGAGTAAGTATGCTACTAAAACCCGCCCAGTTCTGCTGAACAGCTGGGAAGGCCTTGGATTTGACTATAATGAATCTACAATCTACACTCTTGCCCAGGAGTCGGCAAAGCTTGGCGTTAAGCTATTCGTGCTGGATGACGGGTGGTTCGGAAAGGAATATCCTCGTCTCAGTGACAATGCTGGTCTCGGCGACTGGGAAGTGAACCCGACCCGCTTCCCTCAGGGACTACCGACCCTCGTGGATAAAATCAATAAGCTTAAGGTCGCAAATTCGTCGGTAGACCTGGAGTTTGGACTCTGGTTCGAACCCGAAATGGTTAACCCCAACTCCACTCTGTACCATGAGCACCCCGAGTGGGCCATGCACGCCGGCTCATATCCCCGAACCCTAACGCGAAACCAACTGGTGCTAAACGTAGGCCTGCCAGAGGTGCAGGAATTCATAATCGACACCGTGTCCAGCATCCTGAGCAAGTCATCCATCAGCTACGTCAAATGGGATAACAACCGCGGAATCCACGAGACTACCAGCCCTAGCGACGGTCACACCTACATGCTAGGCCTGTACCACGTCCTCGACACGCTCACATCTCGGTTCCCCGACATAATCTGGGAAGGCTGTGCCTCCGGCGGCGGCCGCTTCGACGCCGGAGCCCTCTATTATTTTCCCCAGATCTGGACATCCGACGATACCGACGCCGCCGAGCGGATCTCCATCCAATTCGGGACATCCCTTGCATACCCGCCCTCATCCATGGGCGCCCACATCTCCGCCGTCCCCAACGGGGTCACAAACCGCAACACCTCCATCGAGTTCCGCGCCCACGTCGCCATGATGGGCGGCTCATTCGGGCTCGAGCTTAACCCGGCTGACATGCCCGAAGACGATAAGGTGAAGTTCCCCGCCATCATCGCGCTTGCGGAGAAGATCAACCCTGTCGTCATCCAGGGTGACTTTTGGCGACTGAACCTGCCGGAGGAGTCTAATTGGCCCGCGGCCCTGTTTATCGCAGAGGACGGCAAACAAGCTGTGCTTTTCTACTTCCAGATGCGAGCGCTGATCAACCACTCTTTTCCGTTTGTGCGTCTGCAGGGGCTGGATCCGATGGTATCGTATAGCGTTGATGGGAACAAGACGTATTCTGGGTCCACACTAATGAATATCGGGCTGCAGTATGCGTTCGATGGCGATTATGATAGTCGGGTCGTGTTCATTGAGAAGGTCTAGACGTGGAGGTTTTATGTGATAATGGAGGTGGGGTATGGTAGGGAAGGATTTTGGAGGAGGGATAGAGGGGTGGGAGTGGGGGGCAAGGTGCCGGAGCTTTGTTGCTGTCAATCCCGTATAGCAGAATTAGATATCAGGTGAATGTGGTTATACGCATACTTACGAATATTGACCGTTAATTTCTTCCTACTTTCACTCCGCCACTTAACCGTATCCTGGTTTGAGGGCAATTCATTATGAGCTGTATTCTAGAGTACTTAAATGGTTGCATTGTGGCAGTTTTGGGGCAGTAGGGTTGGATGACCACCTACAATCAGGGTCGTCACCGAGGGGAAACGAGCAAACTCTGCGAGTGTCATTGTATAGTAAACTTCATGTAGAGGAGCATGGACTTATGTAAATGTCGGAGAAATGTTCGGGTTGGTGATTCCCTTTGTTTCTTCGCTTCCTCGCTATAAACATAGCGCGAATCGGTAGGTGGGGTCTACCCCGCATTATGGGTACCGAAGTTATTCCAGCAAGGCCGCGGTACGACATATTTATTGTGATGCCATTACACAATATGAGGATAGGACGAGGACAGGACGTGGAGAGCTGGGAGTTGGACAGAAATAGTTGGCGATGTTTAGATACGAACACGATGTAAACACCTTCGTGCTTTAAATAATAGGCTGGTACTATCAATCTTTCCTTCCTCCGTGGTGGCTTTCGCCCCTTGGAAATGATACCGAGCCGCGGTTATCTATAATTTTGTAGGACATAGTAGCTCGAGCTATTGTCAGCCGCAAGGTCCCTTTAAATATATTATGCGATAGCCATCGTAGTTGAACATCTGTTTAAAACACCTCTTATAAAATCTAAAAGAATAAGGTCGCCATGGCATTAATAACAGCAGCGGCGGCGACAGCAACATGGATGTACCTCGATGCGAAATACTCCATCCGCAGCGACATTGCTCAAATCCGCGGAGGGTATAGCGTCCAGAAATACGTCCAAAAACTATTCAAGATCCATGGCGAGCATGATTGGTCGTTCTACCACGTCCTCCACGCCACATACGGCCTGAATGACGATACCGAAGCCCTGGTATTCGAGTCGCGGAGCTGGACATATGGCCAGCTCCGAGGGGAGATAGGACGACTGTCAGAGACCTTTCAGCGCATGGGAATCAAGAATCGAACTGTCGTCGCCATGTTTGTCAATAACTCCCCAGAATTCATGTTTGCCTGGTGGGCGCTGTATAAGCTCGGAGCCATCCCGGCGCCGATAAATACGGCGATTACGGGGGAGCATATCAGACATTGTTTGAGGATCAGTGAGGCGGAGTTCTTGATTTCGACTTATGAACTTTATGGCATTGTGGCGGGGACGTTGTTTTCAGACGACGGAGAAGGGGCGCGCTCGGAGTCCGAAAACTCGATTCATCCTGAAGTCCCGCTTCTCAAAGGAATGGTTCTTTACGACTGTGATACGTACTCAGCCACGGAGTGTGAGCTTTTGGCAGAAAGTGTAGTCCTTATCAGACACAGCGATCTTCCACCAGTAACTCCGGAGATGGGTGATTTCCCCAAGGCATCCAGACCACACGTTGCTCTCGGTGATACCGGTCAATATCTCTTCACGTCGGGCACTACCGGTCTACCAAAAGCGACAACCTGGCCTTCGGGATATAGTATTGTGGGAACTTGCCCTGGCCGCCATCCAGGCATGAACGACAAATATCGCCGCTTCTATATCTGTTTACCCATGTTCCACGGGACAGCAACGTGAACCCCCCCCGTCCCATCACCTAAGAAAATATCGTAATATCTGACTTTCCGATCCCAGGTTCGCAGCTCTACCAAACACCTTCTCCTCATCCGGCACCATCATCCTCGCTCGCCGCTTTTCCCGCCGCCAATTCTGGGACGACTGCCGCCGATCCAACGCCAACGCCGTGCTCTACATCGGCGAGATGCTGCGCTACCTCGTCCAAGCCCCACCAGATACCCAGTTCCCCGACGAGAAGAAAATGCACAACGTCGACCTCGCATTCGGTCTCGGATTGGCACCAACGGTCTGGCGGCAGTTTCGCGAACGATTCGGCGTACCGTGGATCGTGGAGTACTACTCTGCCAGCGAATCGACGGTGTCGTTGGTGAATAGCAATTTCAACGATTATGGGCTGGGGAAGGTGGCGCACTGGGGTCCGCTTATGCGGAGTAAGTGGTTTGGCCAGAATAGCTTTTTTATTGTGAGGACAGATATCGATACGGGTGAGGTGGTCAGATCTCCGGAGACGGGGTTTTGCATAAGGGCTGAAATTGGGGAGATTGGGGAGTCGATTGTTAGGATTGCGCCGCCGGTGCAGAGGAGGCATGATTATGTTGGGGAAGGGGGGGTGGAGGCGACGAAGAAGAAGGTGTTGAATGATGTCTTTGAGAAAGGCGACGAGTTCTTTAGATTGGGAGATGCGCTCATGATAGTATGTCAATTCCCCCCTTTACACTCACCGAGATCATGCAGGTACTGATATAGTTCCTTTAATTTAGGACAATGATGGATTCATATCCTTCCACGACCGTCTGGGCGACACCTACAGATCAAAGGGCCACAACGTATCTACCACCGAAGTCGAAGGTTCATTCAGCAAGCATCCCAGTGTTGCCTCGGTCAACGTCTACGGTATCCCAATGAACCACCACGGGTACGATGGCCAACTAGGCTGTGCCGCTGTCACATTCCGCAGCGACTCATCGGGTGGTGAGCAAGAAATCGTCCGGGAATTGGAAAAGTGGCTCTTGACCTCGCAGGGCGCATTGCCGGCCTACACTGTGCCAAGGTTTCTGCGAGTTCTCGTGGACACCGAAGGGACTAGTCAGGTTGGGATGGGCGGTGGTGATACGGGGCAGGAACGAGTGTCGTTGATAATGAAGAAATTGAAGACGGGGCTCCGGAAAGAAGGTTAGTTCGTCCCCGGGGTTGCTGTCTTTTGACGTAGGTTGCTGATTATGGCATTGTGATTCTAGGCTTTTCAATTCCGACAGGTTGTAAAGACAGGTTATATTGGATTGAGAGAGAAGGGGCGGGGTTTGTGCCTTTCACAAAGGAGGCGGAGCAGTTGCTACTATCGGGGAAGGCTCGTCTTTAGTTTTATGAATTTACTGTATATAATTAGTCGCACATATTGAGCTGCTACAGAAATTTCGAAATACACCGCGAGAGATGTAGAATAAATATCATTAGAAGCCCATAAAGGAATCATAAGTTAAGATAAAAAAAACATTTCTCATTATCATTCTTTAAACTCCAAATCAAACAGACCCATGTAATATAACACTACATATCAAACGAGGTATCATTAAACCCAAGGTCTGCAGATTGATCCAATCCAGTAGTAGCCCCGTCGAAGTCAAGCATGTATATATCGCCAAAAAAATCCATATCCTGCGTGTCATTCAAATATGACTGCCCAAAAAGCTCATCCCTCACCCCCCAAGATGGGGAAGCAGGTAACAGATTCGACGGCATGGAGGCGGGTATGACTGGAAACAGCTTCTGCAATTCTTCCTCTCGCGGCTGCGTATCTGTCGGTGGTGGAATACTCTTAGCCTCAGGCTCGAGAATAGAGAGACCAGCTGCACGAGCGGCGGCGCGAAGGAATTGCAGAGCGCTAACCGCGGTGCCGTAGGCTTCTTGGAGGATCTGGAGAAACTCCATGCTCTGCTTGATTTCATCGGGGACGGTTGGTGGCGGGGGTGATTTTACGGATTTGAGGTCGAGCACGTGAACCATGGCGGCTGCTACGACAGTACCTACTGCTGTTGTTGAGGAGTAGGGGAGTAGGCCGAGCTGGTGGAGATTTTGGTTCACGCGAGTTATCTCCAAGGAGGCTTCGCGGACAATGCGCTGGGGGGTTTGCTGGGGGTCGTTTTGGGTGGAATATTCCCAGGACAAGCCGCTGTTTAGTGTTTTATGTCCATGCAAGACGGCGATGGCTCCGTAGTATAGGATGTAGATGTTGGCCTTGGCCATGATGAGGCAGCGGTCTGCAATATCGTAGTTCTCTTTCGACACATTCTCGTATAGCAAGTCTTTTGGCGTTGCTACAAGCCATTGTTCGATATTTTTCGCGCAGCTGTCCATATCTTCATATGGAGCCTGGCTATATGTCCCGTTATATATATCCTGGGAGCCACCGTCGACTTTCCGGCGATTAGCAAAGATTGAAGAGACAATGTGACAGATACAAACGCATAGTTTTGTATGTTCTATGCATAGAAGGGCCAGTTCCTTTTGTCGCGCTACATCACCCGAATATGTGCATTCCAAATATGAAGCGCTATCTGGCAGCGAGCCGATATCGAAGTCGTCCAAGGTAAGCATGGGGACATTGTAGTATGTCAACCTCGATGGACGTCCTAATGCCAGTGCGAGCTTCTGTTCACGGCAAAAACTAGTCCACCACAGACGCCTCCATATTCGTATTTTGTCTTTCCCAACCTTGGATTCGACTGGGTCAAGATGTAGGCCAATAGTGTGTCCTAATGAGATTGCAGTGCCGCTCCAGAACCAGGGATCCTTTTTCTCGTCTACTCCAGGGTACCAATTACTCAGAAGTAAAGCTGCTTGGATCGAAATGAATCGATCCGGCTCGGTGTCAAAATCATAAAGAAGCTACAAAGCATTAGCTTATATTCGACATCAACAGAGTTGGAACACACACCTTTGCCCTTATAAAAAACGACATCCGTGCTGCCCGCTTGGAGGGGTAGCCAGCGCGTATAACATGGTCGTTTTCGACAAATGCCAATGCGGCGCACATGACAGCATTAAAAAGCAAAAGACTTATCGTACCGCATTTGTCATTTCCACGTTGTGTGATTGTCAACAAGTTGTGCAGATCTAATAAGGGGAATAATGGATGCTGTAACTCAAGGTACCGTGAAGCGCAGATATGTCGGAACTCTGCACTGGGGACTGAGAAAGCGCCATTGCTGGAAAGAAACTGTAGAACTGTCTTGTCTAGGCGAGTTGGTAGTGGCGATATATAGGGAGGCAAGCAAGGAATGGCTTCCCCGACACTACCTTGGGTGATGGGTGCGCAGTCGAAATAGCTATCGCAGTAGAAATAATCCGATGAATTCGAACTAATAGCGGACGTTGTAGGTGGATCTTGCTCACAAGAAGATTCTCCTATAGTTGTTCCGGCAAGCTCGTCATTTTGATGTTGAGACGAGGATTGGTTGCCAGACGACATGTACTGGGACCAGTCCAGCCCATTATGATCAAAGCTGGCTACACTCGTAGGAGAAGTGGTCGATGGGGTTTGCGCACAGGACGTACGCCCATTCGTTGCCCCAGGAGGTTCTTTGTTCTGGTGTTGAGATGCAGATTTGTCACCAGACAACGTGTATTCAGACCAGTTCAGGCCATTATGTGTAAAGTTGTCCATAGGCATTTCATTGACAGTCGGGGGGATTCGTACAGGACGTGATACTCTGGGGAGAATTGAGTATGGCATGTCAATGGAGTCTGGGACATACTGACCGATGTCTTCTATTCCTAACAGTAACACACTTGACAGAATCCAAACGACAATTGGTACATGGTGGTCCACTTTCGACTACATTACAACGGACCTTCCTTGATCGACACGAGCTGCAGGCTTTCGCCGCACGACGCTTGACCTTATGACCAGTCGCAGCTTGATTCTCCATCGTAATTGCCACTCCTGCAAGAAAGTAAAACTGCTAGATAGATGGAAAAATACACTGAAGAAAGATATTTTACGCAGACAAGGAGCCGGGAATGTCGGATTCTTGGAACTGCGCGATCGGGGATGTTTGGGGGCGGGTTGTGCGGGGTAATTGGGAAGAATGAAGCCGTGCGGGGGGTTGTGTGTGGGGAGCTTGCTGTAAGCCAAGTCAATGGTTTGGGTGTAAAATTCCACTTAACCCGTCTCTTGGGCCACTTTGATGTCTGTACGTGCGTGAGGGGAAGTGTGGGGTAGCTCTTTCCACCCGGCGTCGGGTAACCTCCGGACTTCCACCACGCAATATCGCCATATCAACGGCTTCATAATGTCTATCGCAATGCATATATCACCAAAACATGCTATGAAGCCCGGGATGCTCCATAGGTCTCCATTATTCTTACATTTCTGGTTACGTTGTCTGACACAAAAACATGGGGTTTCTGGGGATTATGCGGGGTGGTGGGGCAGTGGCGCATGGTTTTTACCTATTCGAGGTAAGTTTAGATAGCCTCGGTTTTCTATTGTTCGGCAATGTTATTGGATCTTCAATGTCACTGCTTAAACAGTCGAATATGGAGGAATATGTCGTTGATATAAAGAAGGTTTCCAGTGACCATGTCGGGGCACATAAACTCCACATTTAGTAGGGGAGCTTCTTCGAATCAACATGGCAGCCAATACCAACTCAACAGAAAAGGGGGTCGATGTGGTTGCACGTCATGATGAAGAGAGCGCCGATTCAGAGTTTCCACAAGAGAAACCATCATCATCACAGGGTTCTGAAGTAGAAACAGTCGATCATCCACGTCTGAAGAGCATTAAAAGAAAGGTAGATCTTCGGATCTGCCTTGTTCTTGGATGTCTATACACGATATCTCTCTTGGATCGTGTCAATTTACCAGTGAGTCTCTCTGTTGCTTTGGATAATTTATTGTATATATAGAACTAACGAAAAATAAAGAATGCGTACGTCTATATTGCTTTATGGTATTCCTGCCCTCACTATATTCGAGACTGATCGTCTGGATAGGGTAGTCGCTGGGATGGCCAAAGACCTCAAATTGGTTGGCAACCAATATGTGAGAGATGCACCCTTTTTGACTCAATTAGCTTTGCTGATATATCCAACAGTCGTTGCTTGTCTTGGTCTTTTTCCCTTTCTATATTTCCTTCCAGCCCCCTATGACAGTCATTGCCAAGAAGCTCGGCCCCCGGAACTTTTTAACTGGCATTGTTGTCAGTTGGGGTCTAGTTATGGTAGGACACGGCCTTGTTCCAAATTGGAAGGTGATGCTTGCTCTCAGGTGCTTGCTTGGTCTGTTTGAAGCTGGCTTTTTCTCTACTTGCGTGTATCTTCTGAGCACCTGGTATGTCCGAAGTAAGTCTCGACCAACATTCTCACGCCCTGCATATTTACTAAAGTCTTCAAACAGGGGAGGTTGCCAAAAGAAACGCAGCTTTTTATCTTCTTGGATCGTTCTTTGCTGGGTTTGGTGGCATCCTAGCCTATGGAGTTTCGAAGATGGATGGAATCGCAGGAAGAGAGGGGTGGAGATGGATTTTTATCATCGAAGGGGTTCTAACAGTCGCAATGGGTGAGAAATGTCCCATATTTTCTTGTAGCAAACATGCTAATAAACACCCACCATAGGTTTGATTGCATTCTTTTTTTTGGTCGACTTCCCAGAAAAAGCCATGAATTCATGGAGGTTTCTTAACGAAGATGACCTAAAGATCATCGTCGATCGCGTGGAGCGGGATCGAAGCGATGTTGTTGCGCCTCCATTTAAACTCGGCGAGTATCTTAAAAACGGACTAGACTGGAAGGTCTACTTTTTCGCGGCAAACTTCGGCCTTTCTTCTGTGGTCACTTACGCTGCTGCCTACTTTCTCCCCATCGTCCTTCGCGACGGGCTTCATTTTTCCGTCGCTGCTGCACAATGTCTCAGTACACCAGTAAGTAACGGGAGCCCATTTCACCATTTTGTTTCACTTCTAACGCTGCCCTTGAAGTGTTACGTTTTCGCTAGTATTCTTGGATATTCACAGGGTTATTGGTCGGACAAGATTAATATGCGCACGCCGTTCATCTTGTTCAACTGCCTGCTCGAGATCATTGGCGTAGCCGTCCTCGGCTTCGCGACCCAAAATCCAGCTCGGTACTTTGGAGCCTTCCTAATCATTGGTGGCGCCAACTCAAACATCGCTCTGGTTCTCACATATCAAGCAAATAATATTGTGGGTCAATGGCGACGAGCTTTCTGCTCAGCAACCATTGTTGGAGCAGGTGGCATGGGAGGTATAATCGGATCCCTCACATTCAGAAGCCAGGATGCACCGGATTACAGGTTAGTTTTTCCATGCTTAACCAGAGAGCAGTCAATGATGAAACCCGAATCTGATCTTTTTAATGCACAGACCTGGCCTATATACTTGCCTTGTGGCGGCTATAATGGTAGCCCTCTCCGTTACAACTACAACAACTCACTTCTATTTTAAGAATAAAAAGCAGGCCCAGGGACTCATTGTCCTGGAAGGGTTGCCAGGGTTTAGGTACACGTATTAATTATTGGCAATGGCTCTTTAGTCTGGAATTCGAATTCTTTGACGGAGGAAAGTACAGCTGTTATATTAAATACATATCGAACCAATGTGAGAATGGCACTTTCTGCACCAAGTACAGATTAGAAACTAAGTTTCATATCCAAACATTAAACCGTATATATTCTTAATTTGCGTAAAACTCTCGAATTGACTCTTGGATCTTGAAAGTTGGAATGGGCTGAATTAAAGATTGATGATCTCTGGACAATCGTGTTATGGAGTGCTATGTGATTTTAGGACATGACATCTCCGGCCAAATAACTCTATAGCGGAGCAAGCTACATACTTTTAACTATGGTCCAACGGCTCGGTGGGTTGGATCTCGTGCAGATAAACTTCAGAAAGCAAGAATCTCAATATCTCCTTTAAGCTCTTCAGTAGCAATTTATTTAGATAATAACCATGTAGAACAATATATTTAAGCTGACTACATCATCATGCATCTACTCTCGATATTAGTAAAAAGTCGGCTTAATCTTGCCATTTGCTCTATCCATGAGTCGTATGGGTAAAAGCACCTCATATCTGCATCTGATTAGCAAAATACATCTTCCCCGCAAGGAACACTTACACATGCTCAACCCAAGCACTTGTAATCCGCCTTGTCAGCGCTGGGTCCACGATTTCTTCAGCTCCGAACGCATTTGCCGTCCGAACTGGATTCATCAATCGTCTATACTCCTCATCCAGCTCCTTATATCTCTTCTCTCTCGCCTCTTTTCCGCTCTCTTTTTCGATTTTCTTCAACTCCGCTGCATGTCCAACTTCAAGGCCGCCTTCCAAAGGCAAGCTTCCCCACTCACCACTTGGCCATGCAATCCGCATCCGTGGATCTCGGCAGTCGAGCATAATGCCTCCTGCTACACCATAAGCCCTCCTGGTAACCACTGAAAACACTGGCATCGTGGTGCTAAAATATGTAGTGCCAAGCGCAACACCATGTCTCATCGTTGCCGTGCGCTCTGCCACTGTACCAATCGCATAGCCTGGCACATCAACGAACTGCACAAGAGGGATGTTGAAAGTATCCAAGAACTTCAAATGCCGCGTTAATTTCTGGCTACCTGCTGCATCAAGTGCCCCGGCATTGACTTCGCAGTTTAAGCTGATAATTCCCACTGGTCGTCCATCAAGGCGTGCAAGACCAGTAATAGCAGTCGTACCCCAAAGGCCGCCGATCTCAAACCAACTTCCAGCGTCGACAACGGTTTCGATAATGGTCCGGGGATTATACATCCTCTCCTTCTTCCGCGGGATAATAGTCCGCAAGTTCTGACAGTCGCGTTCAACTCGATCTTCGCTATTGATTACTGGTGGCAGCGCCAACCCATGGTTGGGCAGATAGCTTAACACAGTGCGCAACTGCTCAAAGCAGCCCTCTTCATCTGGCGCTAGATTGTCAATTGTCCCGTTTGTGCAATGCATCCCTGGGCCACCAAGGTCCGTAAATGACAACCCTTCCTCGAAGGTTGCGTTGGCCACAACCTTAGGGCCAGCATTGAAGAGGGACCCGATATCCGCCGCCATAACTGAAAAGTGACATGAAACAACCCTCGCCGCACCAAGCCCAATAGCCGGACCTACAACAGCGCCTAGGTTGGGAATCCCAAGTTCTAGCTGTTTGGCTACCTCTTTAAAGGATGGCACTCCAGGAATATAGCTATACCCCAACGTCTTAATCGTCGTAACGCTTCCGCCGCCAGATGATCCATCTACAAGCTTGATGATAGGGAGTCTTAGTTCAATCGCCAGATTCTCCATGTAAATCGTCTTCTGCATCAACGCGCCATCTGCGTGCCCTGCGCGAATCGAGAAATCATCCGCGGTAAACACCACTTTTCTTTTTCGTAGTGCCCCAAAGCCTTGAACATTGTTGCTCGGAATGAAGTGTGTAGGTTCCTCTTTTATTCCGGCTAGCTTTTTCCACTGAACAGTTCCAGCCACGGAGCCTATCTCATGGACAGACCCAGGGTCAAAGAGACGATTGACCCGCTCGCGGACCCAGAGTTTTCCAGCGGCTTTTTGGCGAGAATAACCAGCGTGCTTAGGATCTGGTGTTACAGCGAATTTTTGCAGCGTTGATATTTGCGAGAGGATGTCCGAGTAGTCTACGGGAAGAGCGTCCGCGGATTTATGACGGCGTTTGCGGGACGTATTTTGTAAGGGGCTGATGTGGTTTGTGACTTGTGAGAGACGGTCCTTCGGGCTAGAGCTTGAGGAAGCAGTTTTATCGCCTGGGGGGATCATGGTCTATATTCTCAAATGTGATAAGAGGTATGTGGTTGCGAGATGTCAACTGTGCCAATTGATTTTGGCGTGGCAACAAACAACTTTCTATCGAAATCCGGAATTGAGTGTTACTAGTGGTATTTATTATGATACCTCATAATATTACGACCAAATCAATAGGGTAATTAACTTAAGGGAGGAAGTTACGTCGTCCTTAAGAATTATAGATTGCCGTCGGTACGAGGTACTGCACCCGAGGCTCGGTGGCGTCTGTCTCACCAAACATTTTGGGCTTGCGGGGTACCATAACGAGGCTGCGATGGTATTGTTTACTGTTCATGGGTTTCGCAATTGTGTGAGCTATACATAGCATTATAAATACCTTTTTATTACCCTTTTTTTACCCCTAATTTTACTTTACTCTATGAAAGAACTTCTTGCAATATGGAAGCACCACGACCGCCATTACGTCCTATTAGGCGACTTCTCATCGCAAATAGGCAAGTCAACGTTGTCAGCAGCACTAATAGTCCAAGTCATTGACCATTTGTAGAGGCGAAATCGCAATCCGTATCCTTACCTCAGCTCGCGAACTCAACATTGAAACCTACACCCTTTACTCCCCTGGCGACACATCTCACAGCCCGCGCTCCACCTACTCCCTTCCAATTCCATCTGCCTCCACCTACCTCGACATTCCAGCCCTCATTACACTCGTTAAAGCCAACAACATAGATGCTATCCACCCCGGATATGGCTTTCTGTCAGAATCCTCAGAATTCGCACACCGGCTATGGACGGAGGCAAACGCAGTTGTGATTGGGCCAGGATGGGAAACACTTGCAAGAACTGGCGATAAACTCGCCGCGCGCCAATTAGCAGAGGAATCTGCTGTCCCCGTGCTACCCGGTCTACACACTCCAACAAATAATATAGAAGATCTAAGAAGTTTCGCGAGGCAAGTTGGATGGCCGATCATCATTAAAGCAGTTGATGGGGGCGGAGGCCGAGGAATCCGCATCGTGAGGGAGGAAGCAGGTCTAGCAGATCTGATGGAGAGAGCAATGAGAGAGAGTCCACAGGGATTATTGTTTGGTGAGAAAGCAGCTATCGACGGCTTTAGGCACGTAGAAGTGCAAATTGTGGGAGACGGGCATGGAAATATACGACACCTGTGGGAGAGAGAATGTTCGGTACAGAGGCGATTCCAGAAGGTTGTCGAATTTGCACCAAGCTCTATTAGAAACAGAGAGGTAGTGGGTAGAGTTATCGATGCTGCAATGCGGATGGCAAAAAGAGTGGATTATCTCTCGCTCGGAACGTTCGAGTTCCTTGTCCACAGCTCGAAACCCGAATTCTACTTTTTGGAAGTCAATCCGAGACTCCAGGTTGAGCATACCATTACAGAGTCATTGTGTCCTGGCCTTGATCTTGTTAAAGTCCAACTCCAGGTTGCAATGGGACAATCACTAGAAAAGCTACTGTCACACATTCCACGAGATCCTCGCATCCCACCAGCTCTCAACTCAATGCAGCTCCGTATCACTTCTGAAGACGCCTCGGCCGATTGGTCGCTGAGCATCGGAAAGATCTCATCATTCACTTTACCAGCAGGAAATGGAATCAGAGTTGACACTCACATCGTGCCTGGTCTAATTGTTAAGACGGATTTTGACAGCCTATTGGCGAAGGTTATTATCACGACATCCGGTTGGGAAGATATGATAGCAAAGGCCAAACGAGCTTTAGAAGACACAAACATCAGTGGAGTGACGACCACGCTTGATGCCCTACGTGGCATCATTTCTCACCCTGATTTTGAAGCTCAGAATTGCGATACTCAATGGCTTGAGAAAACCCTGCCTCGAGTTCTAGAAGCTGGGAAAACATTCACTGCCGCCCTCCCTAAGCCCATTGCGTCTTCCACGACACCTTCAGGGGTTGGATTTTCAACCGCATCAACAGGTGTGCCCTTCCGCAAAGGAGATGCGTGGTCCATCTCTCTGTCACCAGAAGGCGCCAAAAACGAATCTCCACCAGCCCACCTCCTGCTCACGAAGGTCTTACGCAATGAATTTCCAACCTCCCTATCAGCCACTATCCTCTTTACCCCGCCATCCGGAACTCCGCAGCCCTATACTATTTCATTGGCTTCAACGACAGCCTCAGCGGGCTCCCTGGCCTCAGGTTCTAAGCATCGCCGTGGTGATGCGAGCAACCCAAATCACATCATAATCCCGTTCCCAGGGCAGCTAGTGGAGATTATGGTCGATGTAGGAGATGTCATTGCAAAGAATGATATTATCGCTGTTGTCAAGCAAATGAAGATGGAGCTCGAGATCCGAGCAAGTAGATCTGGGATTGTGAGCTGGGTGTATGAGGGCGAGGAAGAGGATGAGGTTAGCGAAGGAGTGTTGGTGGCGGAAGTTGTGGAGGAGATCTCGAACAGAGCCAAGTTGTGATATAAATAGAGCTTCCAAAATATATGTTTAAAGTTTAGCTATCAGGGACAAATAATCTGGGCTCCTTAATATCAAATGTATGTTTGCGTTTTGGGTATATCATCCTCATGGCGGACAACATCTCTCCCTTCATTCCAGCCTATCAAGGTATGGTCATATGTTGGGAATATATGTTATTACTGAAGTAGAGGTGTTACATACGATCATAGATTCTAAATAATTGTGCATCTTATCTGCTCTGCTATCCACACGTTGCGGTAACACCTATGGCGCAGATGTTGCCTTGATCAGGAGGAACATCTGCGCCGTAAGAGTTACGGGAGCTGCAGCTACCTGGTATCGCAGTGACCCCATCTCAGTTTCTGCTGGAAAGCAGACCGACGCCGATACGACGCAGACTTTTGTGGCTATGGACTGTATGTTCCATATGGTCCGCTTCCAGACCGTAATCTCCCTAGGCAAACTTCATTTTGCTACTTTACTCTCATATAAAGAATCCGAAGTCCTGGAATCTAAATAAGCCAGGATGCGCGGGTACGAATCGCGAAACTTCCGTGCTGTTGCTACAAGTGGTGAACTGAGATTGTTATCGATTAGCTCCAGCATAATTGCGCCGACAAGGCGTATCTTTGCTACGCATGACTCTCCATTTATACGCAGATAATCTAGTTCACAACTGCTTACTATATGTAGCATACTCTCTGCGATGTTTATTTTTTGTAGGAGCAATGCTGAAGATTCGCCAGTTCTGAGTCGGATTTCCTTTGCGGATTCGAAGACTGCTGGATCAATCTTCGTTGCCGAGGCTGAGTCTGGTTTACGTTTCGACCATAGCTGACTCATCGAGTCTGCGAGCGCTGGCATTGCGTGTAGCACGACCATTCGCAGGCATTGGAAGCTGATTTGTAAATTTACTCTCTGAATTGCCAGTGCCTTTAACCCCCGGTTTGTACCAACTTTCTCCTGAATACCGAAGCTTGATGTAGAATTGAAAAATGTCGGGTGGGATTGAAGTCCGCTTGGTAGAGCATCTAACGATGTTTGAAAGCCAAGATAGAGCTCAATGAGCCGGGAGATATCTGCTAGTGTAGCATGTTGCTGGGATGGGTTGGATCCAGGGCGGACAAGGAAGCGTTCTCGTAACAACTCGATTTCTAATAGTAAAGTGTACACGGAACTCCACAGCTCATAGTTGAGATTGAATCCTGTTAGCATGTCTAGATTCTCGTCCTCCATAGGATCAAGTGCTGAACAAGTCAAACTGTCCACTTTCCCAAGACTGCGTGCGTACGGTATAATCATGTCTCCATCCAACGCGAATTTACCCATAACAACGGGATGGTTGCTAAGGATGCTGGCAGACTTGTCTCCCACAAAGAGCAGCAAGAAGGCACGCCGGCAAAACTCACTTTCTACGTCGTTCATATGCGCATACGAGGTTTTGTTATGTAATCGCATGCCTTGGCATATTCGAATGGCATCTCCCAGGCTGTGCCAAGATGACCGTAGTTTTCCAGTGGTGTGATTATACTCTGCGTGGAGATATCTGATGGCAATGGAAGTTGAAGTAGGATTTTCGAGATCTTCGTTAAGGTAGGTATTTAGAGTTGCTCTTGAGGCATGGTAGAAATATACCGCAAGCTCTGCCTTAACAGTATTTGTTTTTTGGGGGAGGACAGCGATTGTCACAGCGCACACACCTGTCAGTATAGCCAATAAAGGTGCTTCCTTTTGCAACTGTCGGTCGTTGATCTGACATATTGCAAGATCTATATCCGGTCTATGGATAATTGGCATCAGAGGGTACAGGTTGTCAAAAAATGAATCAACACAGTCCGTGAGTAATGATTCCAGCCTCCGAGAGTCATCAATTTCATTGATAGCAATATCCAAGTTGCGAATTATAGCCTCAATCTGTGAATCACGGGTGGCACAATCTCCGGTAGGTGCTAGTGGGCTTGCGTATGCCGTCTGGCTTGTTGGCGGACTGTCCTGATGAATGGATGTCGACACAACATCGCTACCAACATATTGTGGTGTTATCGGATTACCAGTCTCAGAAAACGCATCGAAGCTAACAGGGGAAATAACTGTAGATGACAGACGACGAGGATGTCTATTTGGAATATGGGTACCCTCTAGAATGGGCGCTTCGCCCCTTTTCTTTCGCCCGCGTTTCCGGGAAGGTAAAAAAAATTCACAATTCAAAAGTCGGATTTCACAATTGGCACATGTTGGCCGTCGGAGGTCACACTTTAAAGGTTAGCTATACGCTGAAAGGCAACGAGGGAAGGATGATGCTAGAGGGATGTTTTGCTAAGCTGTTGATCTATGGAAGTGCACTTACCTTGACTTTGCGGATACGACATCGATCACATGCACGACTCAACCTCTTTCGTTCAGAAGCTTTCTCTGAAGTTGCGGGAATTAAACACTCGGATTCGTCCGCCACATGAGCGATGCTTTGAATATCTTGCCGGTCGTATTCATTCTCGACTGTTGAATTGTCTACTGGAAAAGAATTATCCATGGATAATTGTCGATGCAATGACGTGATGGATAGACAGATGATATCAAGGTTGGAATAACAGACTTCGTTTTCGGCAGATAGCGGGGATTTAAAGGTGAAGATGGTCGGGTATTTGTAGAAGTATTCCTCTATTTTCCGTCCCCGCAAAATGCCAAAAGCGCGTTAGTTGCTTTATTACCCCTCTTCCCCGCGTTTTCAAGCAATTGTGACGCTTTGCTAAATGGCATACAACCGCCAAGAGAGTGCAAGCCTGTTCAGGCTGAATAGATCATCCTTGTAGTAGACGCCGTGATGCAGATATCGCGCTCGTGTCTCTAGGTCTGAGAGTGGGGTTCCTTTCGGAGTAATCATGCGGCTCGTGGACGTTGCTATACTCCGAAATGAACGCCACTTGAGTGCTAAAAATAACAACCCACCAACCACAGGATAAGCGATTATATCTTGTCATGGTGTGTTTTGGAAAGCTCTCCATCGTAACTCTTTTAAAGGAAAAAGTGGCCCTATTCACATCCAGACTTACAGCTTTCGTAGCAGTACAGCAAAGGCTCGGACAGTTTAGCCTAATTTCGGCACCATTGTGCCATTGTTTCCGGTTATAACTTTTAATTCACGAGTATAAACGGATTATTGCCATTTACTATCGCTTGTCTCTTCATGAAATTAGAACAGTGAATTAGAATTCAAAGTCGACAGAGTAGAATTTCGAGAAGAACTTGGGAACTTCGTTTTTCACATTGGCAGCGTCAAACATGCCCTGCTACCAGAATCCAATTCTACCAGGATTTTTTCCAGACCCTTCTATCATTCGTGTTGACGACACGTACTATTTGATCAACTCAAGCTTCCAATTCTTTCCTGGGCTTCCGATCCACACTTCTAGGGATCTCATCAACTGGGAACTCATCGGTTAGTTATACGGTAATGTCCCTCACACGGACATCGGGCGCGGCACATATTGATCATACTGACTATGACTATAGGGCATGCTATTAACCGGACAAGCCAGCTCAGTTTGCGAAATGCTACGACGAAGGTCAACAGTGTGGAGCGGAAAGAGGTCTTCACGGGTGGTTTATACGCTCCGACTATACGATTCCACAATGGAGTATTCTATATTGTCTGCACAAACTTATCTGGCAGCACTGTGATGCGTTCCAACGAGGACTTTCAGCCCCAGAATTTCATTATCACATGCAAGAATCTCTCAGACCCAGACTCTTTCAGCGACCCAATCTTATTCGACTTTTACGGGATAGATCCAAGCTTGCTCTTTGACGACGATGGCAACGTGTATATGCACGGGAGTTTTATACATGGATATAATAAGAGGCCTGCGACCGTTATAAGGCAGGCTGCAATTGATCTCAAGACGGGAAGGCTCATCTCTGAGACTCGTGACATTTGGGAAGGCTCTGGGGGCCACGTTCCAGAAGGACCGCGTAAGTGCTCCTTAGCATGATCTGCTACCCAGTTAATATGACCTGTTTTCTCTGGCCCTTGCGTATGAGCACCTCTCTACGCAAGGTCTTGATTCTAGCGAATGCTAACCTGTATATCTTTAGATATATATAAGAGAGATGGGTTCTATTGGCTGCTGATTGCAGAAGGCGGCACGCATCGCCGGCATAAGGTTACAATGTCCCGCTCAAAGAATGTCTGGGGTCCGTACGAGTCATACGAGCATAATCCATTAACTACTGGACGCGAAGGGGGCATAGTAACTTGCGTCGGCCATGCAGATTTGGTTGAGGATACCAGTGGAAAGTGGTGGGCGGTGATGTTAGCCCGTCGCGATTTCGGATTATGTTATCCTCTAGGACGCGAAACCTTTATGGTCTCTGTTGACTGGCCTAAAGGAGAGTTTCCACGATTCGAGATGGCCGAGCTGAATCAAAGACTTTCTAGCCGTAGAGTTGCCTCAAAAAGAAGGGGGTTTTCAACCGAATACCAGGTAACGATATCGTCGCCACATTCGCTATACTTGCGAGACCCGAACTTGCAAGATTATAAGCAAGGAGACAATAAGAAGTCGATCATTCTTCATCTCAGAGAGGACGAACTAGGCACAGCAGGAGGAAATCCCACGTTCATCGGCCAGCGCCAAACCAGTCTGGACTCAATTGCGCTAGCTGAGATTGATCTGACTTCTGCCCCTACAAAGGGTCACTGCGGCCTTACAGTATATAAAGATTCCTTTAGGCATGTATCATTAGATATCGACCTAGATAAGCGCCAGATTTCTCTGGCAGTCCATCATCTGGGACAGAATTTCTCTTTTGTCAAGGACACTTTGCTCCAAGCTTCCAGTGCGGTCAGAGTCATGATTCAGTCAACCAAAGAGGCTTACAGGTTCTCATACAGAACCGTAGACGCCTCTAAATGGTCCGCGGAGACCGAACTTGGACAAGTCTCATGCTCTGATATGAGCGGGGATGATTTCACAGGTATGGTGCCTCTTAGCCAGTGACCCTATCGCAGGTCTTACTGACTTTCACCTTCCAGGGACAATATATGGCATCTATGCCTATGGAGCGGGCGGAGATGTCAAGTTCAACTCATTCAATCTTTACCAGAAGCTTTGACGCCGAGCTCCTCTCGAGATGGAAAGTGTTACAAATCAAGAGTCGTAGCTCTTTGATGAGCAGCAGTTCTTGTTTCCACGTGGGTCTATGATGGGTTTCACACCGTACCCGCGGGTCATGCCACACCAGTGCGAGTCTGTTTCCCATTTCAGGGTGTGGCCGCCTGTGTCTGAGCTAACTGCCTGGCCTACAGCATCAGCTAAGTCTGCAAATGAACAAAGACTCAACCTCACTATGTAGACTGTCCCAAGAATCCATTAGATATTAGAGTGTTGTTATATTTAGCTATTTAAAATCATATTGAAGCAATGTTTCAGCCTTCTCAAGAAAGAGCACACCTGTGGTGTTAGGGTCGGCCTTGCATTACATGGGAAGGGACACCAGCAGCACCAACATAGGCAATTTGATTCAGCGAACAAAAGCTGCAAGTATATAGAAAAATGATATTTTAACAGCTAAGAGCTCGAACAGGTAACTCCTGTTATTGTTCCTCCATTTTTCGTGCAAATAACCTTGGACGTACCAAGCGGTGATAGTACACTATAACCCGTAAAACTAACATGACATGCTCCAGCTGGACAAGTTACTTCAGAGGTAGTTGGCTCATAGTGAGCTGATGTTTTCCCCGAGAAGTTAATTAAATTAATGTCCGTGAATTGCGCAGTGCTCGGATATGATGCACAATAAGCGTCTGTTTCGCCGTAGCAGCCCCCAAGTTGTATAGCATAATCGCTCGCATCAACTACAACGTTTGCCCAGGTAACGTTTGAGACTATAGCAGACCCATGGTTTGGTCCGCTTGGGTAAATCTTGATTCCAACTGCTTTAGCTGAGGTGACCATGTCGGCGCCATCAACATAGATGTTCTTGACGGTATCCACAGCTCCATATGATTTTCCAAGGGATCCGACGGAGAGGCCATGCGAGCCTGTACACTTGATATTGGTCACAGTAACGTAGTTGCAACCGGCTTTGAATGCAACGCAGTCGTCCTGATTGCTGACTGTCGTGTCAGTTATCGTGACATAACTGGCATCCCAGATATCAAACCCGTCCGTGTTCTTAGGCGCGTAGGAGCTCTTGCTGGCAGCAGTCAGATATAGAGAGGCGAATTTGATGTTTGAACTCCCACCCCCGGCATAAAAGAAAATACCAGGGGGGTTCTTAAGGTGGATGTTCTTTATGATGATGGATGTGGAGCCTCCTTTAATCGAGTACAGTGCTGGTCTCTTCAGACTGCTGTTGGTAGCAAAAATATCGTAAGCGTTCTGTCCATTGCCATCGATGACTCCTGTTCCAAGCAAACTCTGAACTGTTGCCCCTTTAACGCCGCTCATGAGAAATATCTCAGAGTGGTAGTACCAATAGTCGAGGTCATTCGATGCTTTGAGGGTGCCTTCGATGTTGAATATACAGCCAGTGCAGCCTTTAAAGTCAACAGAGGATCGAATCGCATAAGTAACCCCCTGTGGGATGACAATCGTGCCTCCAGCACCGCAAGAGCTGATTGCATCTCTGATTGCAGGAGAGTCATCGATCCCAGAATTACCAGCAGATACTGGTGTACATGTTGCTCTCTTAGCAAGTGCAAAGGTCTTGTCCGGCGTACGTTCAACGGAGAATGGAGCCGCTGTTGCAAGACCTGCGAAGAGACCAATGATGGAAATGGTACGAATAAATTTTAAAAGTGTCATTTTGGGAGTGAAGGTGTTGTCTGTAAAATTTTCATTATTATTCCCACCAAGAAATGCTCAGAGTATAAATACACATGAAATCCATATCGTTGCTCAAAGTAATCATCCAAAACCTCCCCTCTTGAATTGAAATGAGTCTGGTGACCACATTCTATACCGTGTTGTTTAGAGTTTATATGCTCGAAGATTTATATCTCACATATTCATGTGATGTTATAAATTATGTTAATACGTACACTACGGATTTGGCGTTGAAATATCCCGCGGGAAATACCTGAAAGTGCAAAAAACTGTATCATAGCCTAGTTCGGATATTTTGAACCTAAAACTCCGCTCTGAAGATTAACATTGCCGAAAAGCTTCGGAAAATAGGTTAAAGGCATTTAGGCTACAAGTTATATAATTTAACATAGTTTATTCTCTCATTTTTAATCCTCTTTCACGTTTTGCAAGGGAAGTATGACCTGAATTCTAATAATTGCTCTATGTCTTGTATTTTTGACCGAGAAAATGATCCACCAAACATGGAATTGCTTCAGGGGCCTGGGGAAGTGTATAAAGTGTGGTAGAGCACCGCCCGAATGATAAATAAAAAAAAGTGTATGTGCCATATATTGCAATCATGTCTGCTCTAACAACTATTCTTTTTATAGTTCTTGCTTCAGCTTCATTCTTTGGGGCTGTATCGGCACACCCATCTTCGGTTGAGAAAAGAGGAATATCTCGGACCTCCCCTCCATCCGGCTGTCTCGTTGTCAGAGGCTCAGGTACCAAAGCAGGGGAATACGGCACCATAAGCTCGGCAGTAGCTGTTCTTTCGGCAACAGCAACTAGTTGCATTTTCATATATCCAGGTATTTATGCCGAGTCAATCTACATAAAGAATAGGGGCCCGCTTACTATATACGGGTCGACAACCAAGTAAGTTCTTAATCAGCAAAGCTCCACAATCTAATTAAACTTATTAGCTCTGGGAACTGGAAATCGAATACGGTGACAATTACTCATGGAATTGGCTCATACGATGCTGGGTCTCTAGACGCAAGCTCTGCGATGAACGTTGTCAGCAATGATGTGAACATATACAATGTCAATTTTGTAAATACGTATGGTACAGCCGGTCAAGTGAGTCACGGTCTTGGTCAAAGAGGCTCCTGTCTAATTTAGCTTTAGGCAGTTGCATTGACAGCAAATGGCGAGAGGCAAGGCTACTATGGATGCTCATTTAAGAGCTACCAGGATACCTTGTACGCAAAGGCAGGCTACCAGTATTACTCGAACTGTTATATTGAAGGTAATTTCTGATTTCTTTACTTTTTTATTTTTTGGTAATTCTGTATCTGACAAAAATCAGGCGCGGTGGACTATATATTCGGTGATGCTAGCGCATGGTTCGGCGAATGTACTATGGCCTCGAGCGGAGGAGGTTCGATTACGGCAAGTTCTCGAACTTACGACACAGACACGGCCTGGTATGTAATCGATCATAGCACGGTACGTTAATCCCATCAGATATCCTTCGCTGTGAGCATTTTCTGACTTTGAAGCAAAGGTCACTGCGGCATCAGGGGCAAGCGTCACTGGAATTGTCTTTCTAGGTCGGCCGTGGCGTGTTTTTTCCAGAGTTATATATCAATTTTCAACACTAACAAACGTCGTCAATGCTAAAGGATGGGCACCAATGACGGATGGAGCTACCCCGTATGTTGAACACTTTAATGTTGATCGTTTCATTTGCTAACCTCGGTGTTTTCCTAGAATTTTTGAGGAGTGGTCAAACACAGGCGCAGGTGCTTCAACATCAAGCCGTGTTTACTATACAGCTGCCACTGCGCCTGTTACAAAAGGGCAACTTTGGCCGTTAGGATACTCATGGATTGACACAAGCTTTTAGTCTTTATTTATTTGAATCGATGGGTGATATGAAGGCTGTTGAATTGATCTAGCGCTTCTTTTATCATCTCATTAACCTCTTTCGCTTTTTGATTGTTACAATTACCAATTTTACCTTTATTTATGTGCTCTTGACTATGATTAAAAATAAGAAGTAATCATCATTATTAGAGCTTGTTTTAGTCGATCAATCTGTAATACAACCAATGTCTCTAAACAAACCTATAGAAATATAAGCTTATAGTACAGTCCTCTAGTTCATCGAAAATGTAGACGGTGGCCTTTCTTCGATGATTTAAACGTGGCCCTATTTGAAGTTAATGGTCTTCTCGGACAGATTAATGATCTTACAGTACGGAAGCAACTAAAATTTAAACTAGACATCGGATTGCAAACTTTGAGAATATATCTAATTTAGACTACATAATGCGAAACATTCTCTGATTCTTTTTGATATCCTTTACACACAATTTAGATCTAGTTTTGTTTTGTCTATGTTTGTGCAAGTAAAGGCGGCATTCTTGCCGCTCAGTTCGTTCACATTGATGTTATGTGCTGCTATGTTGCTACACACCTGTAGAGTGTTGGTTAGCTGCATCTAGTATGGAAGTTACATAATCTGTTGGAAAGGCTTGCCTCAGAAGTACTGCAAATAAGGTATCCTGCGATTGGGTCGTATTTCTTTGACATAACACCGACAAAGTCGTTAAAAATGACGTCCTTAACTATAATCTCGGACTAAATAATAGATATTAGGATACTTATCATACTCTTTTAGCTTTTGTAGGATAGTTACCGGATATAGAGCACATAGCGTTGTGTTTGACGTTGCGTAACACTGGGTAAGGGCGATGACCTCTGAATACCCAGTTAGTACCTGATCTCACAACTCATAGGAGATTGAATCTACTCACGGTCATTGTTGATGTTTGTGTACTTCTCATATGTGATATTTTTAACACGACCTGCACCTCCACCGACAGTAGATCCAACAGTTCCAGGTGCCACACCAGGCCAAATCTTGATTCGCGCCCCATCAGTCGCGTTGCTCATTGAGATGTTGTAAACGTGGATGTTCTCAACAATGTCAAACTCCCCTTGATACTGGCCAAGACTTCCTACTGAGATTCCGTGGGATCCTGTACACCTTAGATTCTGCACAATAATCTCTGTGGAATTTGGCTTGAACGAGACACAATCTTTACAGTTAGCAAGAATCTTCCAAGAAGGCAGCGACTTTGACTATACCATCAGTGTTATGAATAACGGAATTTTGAATTACTATGTTTGAGCTCCGATATGTATCCCATCCGTCAGAATTCTAAGATGGCCATGAGCACACTGTTATATCAATTAGGCACAGTAGTACTTACCTTTACTGCAACACTAGCATTCTTGCTAATTGCGCTCAGATTCATGTCGCTAATGATGACCTCCGATGAGTTCGAGATAAAATTAAACCAGTTTGGCGGGTTAATCAGCTTAAGTCCTGAAATTGTTGCACCGTGCAATCCGTCAGTCCCAAAAAGAATGGGCCGAGCAACAGAACTGTTGGTAGCCCAAGCTGCCCACCATGTGTCTCCTAATCCTAATGAACGAGTTAATTTAGAAGATTTAGACACATTAGAGGAGAACGTTACCATCAATCGAGCCTGTACCCAAGCCATAAATATTTACATCTCGTCCACCAAAACGCCAGAACAGACTAGCACTTTGGAAGGAGTACTGAAACGCATGTGCCTGCCAATACGTGAGGTCGTCTTTGAATTTAATATTTCCCAAGATGGCGAAGTCAATATTGGCAAGGAACGTCAGGTCCAAAACTGTAGCAATGGTGTAGGTCTTGCCTGGAGGAAAATACACCGTGCCGCCATGGTTACACTTTCGAGCGGCAGCAAGGATAGAAGGCCCGGCGTCAGCAGTCTCTGCTAGAACTGTGCAAATCCGTTTGGGATTTCTAGGGGGTGAGTGTGGGAACGGCCTTGAAGGTTGCTTCGGGTGGCATTTGACGGATGGTCGGTTTGGTCCTGGGGATGCCAAGGCTGTAACAGCCATAAAGGCGAGAAGAGCTGCATTAAAGACACGCATGTCCGTCTGGTTAATTTATAAACCGAGCTGTTAAATGATTTGAAAATAGACAATTGTGCGAAACTAAGTTGACATATTAGATATATATATAGATATCTCGGATATGGAGTAGTAAGCTAAATACGGCTCAAGGCACAATTCGATTATTGAACATCAACAGCGGACACTTCTTGCGGAATAAAATGTTTTCCCCCCATGAAATTTGCCTATATAGCGTACCATAAAAGTTCAGGTAGTAATTGGCGTAACTAGAAAAAATATCACATCTTCGGCAACCTGTCAAATAGTTATTCCGTACTTGAAAATGGAGATAATGCCCCATTCCACGACGAATGACCATATGATAATAATGTGCCGCGGCTTATTTATTGGCAGGTTATGAGCAGGAATTCGGTTCTGCGAAGATGCGTGACAAGGGTAAATTACCCGCGGCTGATATTGGACGAACGGCAAACTCTCCTTCGCTAAAGGGATGGACTTAACCATAATTTCCCAAAGGCTCCCAGCAGAAACAGCTAGAGCGTATGGCTAAGTGGGGATACAGGCTTGCAGATATCGCCGTGGGGAAATGCCGGGGAACAATTTCTCTCTCCACCTGCATTCCATCCCGTGTTTACGCCCGTGTGTTCTTTGCCAACGACGCCACAAGTGAAGTGTAATATTGTCGGTCGATATGCATTTGGCATACTGATGGAAAATTACAACCCATGGAGATATCTTTATTCCACTAACACAACTTGTCGGAGTATAAGATCTATGGATACGCCATAGAGTTTGCTAAGCATCAAAACGCACAAGTCTCTGACCACACTTCTTCTCCTCTCCTCACCTTTGTATAGTCTCCGGAGACATTGCATTCGAAATCCTGAGGTATAACGTTTGTCAAGAGGCTGATCAGTCTTCATCTACAGCTCTCTTCCCTTCATTTATCAAAATGGCACCAAGTAAGCAGGTCGTGTACAATTGGTCAGTCAATTCATAGCACATAACGCGGTGTGTAACAGTGTTCTTATGATCAATATAGGTACATCTCGCTTTTGGCGGCCGGATGCATGGTGTTGATGGGCTATGATTCTAGCGTCTTCAATTCTGTCCAGGGTTCGGATAACTGGAGGGTACACTTTAACAATCCTGTACGTGAAATCGGCCTTGCAGCGAAAGAGAAACAAATCTGACTTTCTAGAATCCTAATATGATCGGCTTAATCAACACCACGTACTCAGTTGGGGGAATTATTTGCGGATGGTTCTTCTCTGGCCCACTCGTGAGTTTTCCTAATGACGGCCTAAGATCACACATCGAAAATAACCTGACACTTCCTACGCAGGCTGATTGGGCGGGTCGCCGGTGGGCCATGGCGTTTGGTTGTGCGATCACAGTTGTGGCTACCTTCATCCAATGCTTCGCCCCGTATCACAATCTGGGATGCTTTATGGCTGGCAGGGTTCTCATTGGGGCTGGTCAAGCTTTTGCAATCAGTAAGTAATGGCTGTAACTAAAATTTCTACATGATTGCATATCTAATTCTTTCTATAGCTGCTGGTCCAATCTACATTAATGAAGTTACTGCGGCTAATGTTCGTGGCAAGGTCATGTCATTTTGGCAGATGTTTTTCTCAGTCGGAGCTTTCTTTGCCTACTGGGTCAACTACGCCTGCTCAAAGAATAAGACTCGTCTCGGTGACTGGGATTGGAAGATTGTAAGTAAATGCGGTGACTCCCCGCACGGAGTCAACCTCAGTGGCCAGTCTATCAACTACTAACGTGCGCCGACCAGGTCGTTATCTTCCAGCTGCTTCTCCCCATTGTCATCATGGTCCAACTGCCGTTTATTCCAGAATCTCCCCGCTGGTGGATTGCTCGTCACGGTAATGTCGATGAGGCCAGAGCTTCCTTAAAGAGGGTGCGAACTACAGATGAAGAAATTGAGGACGAATTATTAAGTATCAGGGAAGCAATTGCCTATGAACAGGGAGCTGCTCCAGGCAAACGCCAACAATACCTGTCATTTTGGAAGGATAAATCCATCCGCAGGAGACTATGCCTTGCCTTCCTTATCAATATCGGTCAACAACTCACTGGACAAGGCACCTTAAATGCCTATTCTTCGACTATCTATAAATCCGTGTTCAAGGATCTTGACACGGTCAACTTGGTTAACGCTCTTAATGCAACATTCGGAATCGTTTTCACACTAAATGCTACTTGGACAGTTGATCGGTAAGTCAGATATATGCCTGGGGGGACGCGGGCCGTCACGGCTCAGCGGTGGTATTAGCTCTAAGATTATATGCTAATTTACGATTGTGCAGCTATGGTCGCAGGTTTTTGTTTATTGTCGGAGCTTGCGGTATGGCCATGACCACAATGCTTATGGCTGTTGTAGGCCTTACAACCCCGAATGTCGATGGTACTAAGACCTATCCGGTCGGTGTTGGAATTGCAACCCTTGCATTCCTTTTCGCTTTCTTCTATAAGCCATCGTGGGGAGCAACTACATGGATCTATACTGCGGAGATTTTCCCTACCCACGTTCGTGCCCCAGCCGTTGGGATGTCTGTACAGATGCAGGGCGTTGCGAACACTATCTTCCAACAGTTCTTTCCAATTTTCTACGCGAATGAAGGCTTGTAAGTACTATGAGCTAGCCTAAACCTAATATCGCTGACATCTTACAGGAAATCCTTCTTCTTCTTTATGACTCTGAACATTATGCTAGCTGTTGGAGTCTTTTTCCTGCTCCCCGAAACCAAGAATGTTCCTTTAGAACAGATGGATACCTTGTTTGGTGGTGTCAGCCATGTTGACAAGGGTGCTGAGATTCTGGAGAAGCATGGTGACTATGTTGAAGAGGAAAAAAGAGTATGATAGAAGCATGTCATTTAGCTAGTATTATCTAGATCAAGTCCAACAGCAATTTCTTAGAACTAGTCACGCTGAAGCAATCATCGAACACTCGCCATACTCACTGCACTACTCGTAGGTACCAAGAATGGAGACGATTACCCGGTCGTGGTTAGCTATGCTGCACACTAAATCCCAAAGAACTTCAACATCAGTCCCACATCCGCCATCGGCGCGTGTCCAACTCCCTGTGCAAAGAAGCCCTGCAGCTGCGAGCCATCTCCATACACCATCTGCGTAAACTGGGAGGACGGGACCCCCGCCACATTCCTATTAAACGACACACCGAGAACATCTCCCCACTGAGCCAGCGCCTGCTTCGCACACTCCGGCCGCACCAACGTATCATCCAGCCCATGCCAGATCAACATTCTCGGCCGCCTCCCCGCGTACCCTGGATACGAATTGCGTACGAAACTACCCCATTCCGTGGAGCTGTGCTGGATCTGACCTTGCGCACAGGTCTGGTTGGGCCCGGCAGGCGTGGCACTCGCGGAGCCGGCAAAACATGCAAACGCCGTTCCCGAGTTGGCTGAGCCGGCGGCGAAGACGTCGGGATATGATCCGGCGAGGACGTTCGTCATCATACCACCGGAGGAGAAGCCCATGACGAAAACCCGGGCGGGATTGGCGGTGTACTTCTGTAGCGTGTAGGTCACCATGTTGACGATTCCGAGGGCGTCGCCGCCGCCTCTGTGCGTTAGGCTGGCGGCGTTGTTGACGTCCCAGCAGTTACTCATGTTGGGTGTCTCGGGGTAGATGAGTATGAAGCCATTTTGGTCGGCGTAAGAGGGTAGCGAGGTTCCGCTGTACCACTGTGATGCTGTTCCGCCACATGGGTGTAGCTATGGGCATTTGATTTAGTTGGTTTCGGTGCGTATGTAAGACTTGAGATTTGCCAGTTAACTTACCGCGACGATGACTGCGGGATTGGCCGCTACACGATCTGGTACGTAGATGTACATCCTGATGTTTGAGGGGTTCGAGCCAAAGTTTGGCACCTGCTGCAGGCTAGCACCTAGGGCCAGGGCCATAGAGCAGGCAAATATGAATAGAGAGTGGAGAAGCATTGTGAAAGGAAGCGTCTCTGTTCAGTGAAGTATTTTGTCTGGAATTATCTGTTCTTCAACGGATTGCAATTATTATAACTACCATGAGCGAAAGGATAACCTTTATAGAGCTGTTTGCTAACGATCTGTTCTGGAGAAAACGACAGTGAGGTGGTAATTGTAACCATGTTCATACTGCATATATGCAAAACTACCAACGGGAAGTACAGGGGATAACCTAGCTGTTTAACAAGGTTAATTATATTAACTTAGCACCGGCAGACAGGTTCGGCAGCCACTTGGCGTGCATCTAGAAATGCCGTAAGTTGGTGCCGACTGTGTAATTAATTTATACCCCCCTTCTTTCTAAATTCTTAATGAAGGTAAAGAGAATTAATGTATGATATGAGAATGATCTGGGAAGAGATTGGTTCGAAGGAGCGGGAACTACTTGGATCTTGGCCGGGTAAACCCACATAGCTACAATCACGAGGCATAGAACTGACGGCTTAGCGGGGTAAGTTACGAGGTTAATACCAGGTGTGAGGGTTGGCAGAGATAACTGGTTCAAAGATGCGATAAGTCTGTACTAACCCTAAATTAACTTCATCTTTATATTAGGATTGCGGGTCAAGTATTGAAACCCCCAATTATATAATGCGGGGAATTAGCCTTAATTCTCGTACAGTTTTCACTTCAGCCTTGATGTTGCAGACAGAAGTTATGGAGTGTTAAAGTAGATATCTAGCATTTTACATCATTTTCTTACTTTAGCCGTATCTACCTTTCTCACCCTGCTCAGAATGGGATATCCGCATTCGTCAGAGTCTCGAACCCGATGAACAGCGGGTTTGGCTCCCCGATCTCAGCTGGCCTCTGCCTCAACATAAGTTTCTTCGTGAACGGCATGCTCTGGTGCATTCGGTTCGCAAGGGCATTATACGGCGTATCGAGAACTACACATGTCAGCACCCTGAAAGAAAAACGAGGAACTGGCGAGGAGAGGAGTCACGAGCCAACATACCAGGATCCAATGACCTCCCAATAGTGCCATTACACAACCACTGTGGAATTTCCTTATCCCCCGTCTCAAACGGCGCATGCAACTCCAGCGCCGCGCCGACCCGCGTTCCTAACTCCGTCTTCCACAGATCCTCACCCTGAATCCTCGACGTCTCGGCTACATGGGCCATGGATGCGATCCCATAACTCACGTGCGCAAAATCGCGACACGTCTCCTGCGTGATGCCACTGACAGGGAATGTCGCCTGTTTGAACCAGTACTTGATGATTGCGTCTTTTGTCGTGTTAAGGCCGCGACCTTGGACAGGCAGCGGACCGTCGCTTGTTAGATAGATGTAAGCAGGGACGCGGCCCGCAAACTTGGACATTGAGGCTGTGTAGAGGGCGCGATCTTCGAGGAAGACAGCGGCGCCGATAGAGGCCTCCATCATCACTATATCAAGGTTAATTTGTGGTGTTGAGAGAATGGAGAGCGAATCATAATCATACCCAGGTCCCAGTTTCCGTTATTTTTGATGTCGCCATCAGCGATGATAGGGAGGTATGCGTTGCGCAGCATGCTTTCAAAGGCTTTGATACCCTTCGACGTCCACCCGCCCTTGGAATACCGCATTATCTCTCCCGCGCGGACCCAGTTCGCAGCAGACCAGGCTGCTTGGAGGGGCGCATTGGAGTTATTATGACCCTCAATGGTACTAGACCATGAATCCATGTAATGGATCGCCTTATCTGCGTATGGCTTCTTCTTTGTAACCGAGTAGGCCAGCGCATTCATATACGCTGCCATGGAGTCCTCGCGCTCCTGGTAGCAGCCGATGTTAGGCGTGGACGTGGGGCCGCATTGGACAACTTTGTAGGGCTGTGCGGTACGCGTCGGGGAAGAGTAGTTGTACTTCAACATGGAATCGAAGGCTTCGGTCCATGGCTGGTCGCCTTTGGCTACCTTGTGCGAGACGTAATCTAGTTGTTGCTGGTGGACATAGACGCCGGGGTGAACCCACTTCTTGGGAGCGTGCGTGGGGATGGGGAGAGGGTTGTGCTGCGTCTTCTCGGGGCGATTTTTTTCGCCGGCGTCTGGGAATGCGGCGGCGTTGGCACCGATGCACAAGACCGACAGAAGGAGGGCAGTCCAGAGACGGACTATGAAAGTGGTGGACACCATGTCTGATCTCAGTCAGAAGTCCGAAGTTTGCAATAAATTAAAGTGAACTTGTGAACTTTAGCACTTCACTAGGAGTTGCAGATCGTATATTGCTGATGCAAGGCCGAGGTTTTATATCACCGCATCCTGCATATTTACAAACCCATGGTGGCAGCTACAAGACGCCAATTTCCGCGGGCTTTCTTTCCAAAGCGGCATAGAAATTCCACCAATCCAATTACACAATAGACTGATAGAATTGAGTAAACTTACAAGACAAGTTTGTTCGTGCAGCGACATTTGCACGGGAAGTAGTGAAGCTGCGATACTCACCTTACTATCTCTCTCTAGAGGTTTCTCTAGCGGTGCCAGCCCGTGTTACCCCGCATCCACAACCAACCAGTTATGCCGTGTAAAATGGTAATCTGGGGCGCATTAGTAAAACTAAGTTTAAACTAGGACTAAAAAAGGGCCTTTAGTGATTAGTTCACTGGGAACCCATGCCTTGTATACTTGCCAGGCCGGGAGTTGCCTTAACTAACGTATTCCCCAGGAACGAGAGGCGCTCTTCCCCACGATTCGATGCCTAGATTCCACCAACCATAAAATTGTCCGTGAAATATCTCTGGGAGTGTTTGAGTGTCATGGACATCGGCAATTGGAGCTTCACCGTTATAGTCCTAATGACAGCGCAAACCATGTCTAGGTTAGTTTTTAAGGTTTATTGCGCAGATCCCGAGCTGTGAACCCTTGTCTCTCGGCGTGAGGGTTCAAGGCCGCGAACCAGCCTCGCCTGGGCAAACGTGGGTGGGGTCCGCGACGGAGGTGAAACATCTCAATTTCCGCTTTCGCCGAGCTGGATTCCCGACGGACGCAACTCCAGAGGGAAGGGCGGATTGCAAGGTCGATGAGACCTCGTTGCGGAAAATTAGAAGTGAGCTGTACAGTTCCTGTGTCTGTACCCTCGCTCTGTTGTTATTTTTTGTTTATCCTGATCCTCGCTTTCGATTGGGAACGACACCCCCGTGTTCTCGTGTCTATCACTGCAACTTGCAGTTGCAGTGATAGACACGATTGCAAGGTCAATGGGACCTCGTTGCGGAAAATTAGAAGTGAGCTGTAACGTTCCTGTGTCTGTACCTCCCTCGCTCTGTTGTTATTTTCTGTGTATCCTCATCATGAGACCTCATCATGAGGATACACAAAAAATAACAACAAGGATGAGGACCTCATCCTCGGTTTCTACTGGGAATGACACCCTCCCTGTGTTCTCATGTCTATCGCTGCAAGGACAGAAACTGAACGGAGTTTGACGCTTTCTAGACACCGTGCCCGCTTCATTCGCCGATTGCCCGCATATGCGGCCAATAAATGAGCATATATATAGTGCCCCAAAAGAAACCACATTTCCTCAAAACGATCTGACTACATTCTTCCTTTAACAATCTCTAAGCACAACCAAATCTACGATCTAATTGACTATACATCACACACAATGACTCCCAAATCCACCTTCGCATCTCTCCTCCTCCTCCCAGCCGCGGTCCTTGCCGTTCCTGCCGCCTTGGCCGATCCCAAATGCGCCCCTGGCGGTAACTTCGACCTCTCCTTCTGGAGCCTGCAGCTCCCCACCGGTTCTTCTTTCACCACAATCAAGAGCGCCGACCTACAAGGATGCAACGGCTACACCGATAGCAACTTCTCGACCGACAAGTCCAGCGGAGCTATCGTCCTCGTCGCACCCGGCAATCCCGATCTGACGGGCTGCACTACGAGCTCCGGTAGCGTGCACTGCCGCACCGAGCTGCGTGAGGTAGTCAGCGCAACGGGCAAGAACGCGGCGTGGTCGCCCAAGAATACGAATACTCTTACCGTGTCCATGACGGTGGTGGCGGCGGATGATGGAAGCCACGGTACGGCGATTGGACAGGTGTTTGCGGCGGATGCGAGCAAGCCGCTCGCGGAGATGTATTACAGCCGCCAGGGCGAGATTGTGGTCGGGGTCAAGCCGGATGCGAACTCGGGCCAGATCGTGACGAAGGTCGGGACCGTGGCTGTGGGGACGAAGTTTGAGTATAAGCTTGATTACTCAAAGGATGTGTTGACGGTGACAATTAATGGGAAGGCGACGAAGCTGGACACGGGGGGTAACTGGGCTCCGACCTGCTATTTTAAGACGGGGAATTACAATCAGGGTAAGTCAGCAGCTTCGTCGAAGGTGGTTATTTCCGCGATCAAAGTGTCGCACTCTTAAATTTGGGATGGGGCGACAGAAGAAGTTGGGGTGAAGAATTATCCTCTTAGTGTAGTGAAATGGCATAACTGAGAAATGAGAACTCGTCTTTTTGAGTGAAATCAACTTATCCAATGATAGACGGAAACGATATCCTCTCATAGCATTCCCCAACTCACACACTCTAGCAAGACACCATCATCAAGGGTAAATACGAGCATCCGAGCTCGGGACACTGCGGATAGTGGGGGCAGGACGTGTTGTGAGATGGTAGTGTGTGCATGCGGCGCGTGTTTGGTTCGATGGGATATGTTTTTACAACCCGAAAGAAGGTTAAGCTCCTCCCTGGCGGGCGGGAGAGAGTTGGTTGTGGCGTGGAGATGGCTGTGATGGTGGTGGTGGTGGTGGTGGTGAGAAGAAGCAGCGGTGACAGAAGCAGCAGTGGCAGAAGCAGCAGTGGCAGAAGCACCATCTTGGTCTCCATTGCAAGACTATACGCCTCGGCAATCGACGCTGCTACCTGTGCGAACCTCATCTCGATAGAATCGCGGGTGCCCTGCACCGAACCGGAAACGATCTTGATCTCTGTAGAGATCCTCTTCGCATTCTCCGCTTCTTCGGAAGAATGGCGCGATTGTCCCCTGAAAAAGAGACAAGTATAGACACGCAACAAATGGGCCATGGTTGACCTCCTATCTTGCTTTATCGAATATTTCTGGGTTCGCCGTGTTAGTCGGCTTTATCTATGTAGACACTCATATTGATAAAAATGCCAGGCGAGGCAGTGGGCACCGTAGAATGCCATTCTGAGATGAAGAAACTAATCAAGTATCTAAAAACAAAGGTCAAAAAGTCAAAAAGACTCATCAGGTTCCATCAATTTTAGACATCTGATGAGGGAGAAATCACATTTTATGATTTTACTTTTTGTCGATATATCCATTTTTTCCCTTGCTCTTTCTATAAACCGGAATTAGAACCCATGATCTCCCTTATATAACCCTGGCCAGATTGTCCTAACAGTGGTACTTCCACTGCGCCACTGTGCCGCTTATAGGAGGAGAGGCGGTTGTTTTGGTTTATATAGTGAGGGTCGACACTTGGAGGTAACAAAGGGAGGTGGGAATTGTCTTTGGATTTGCACTGGTGCACGGTGTTTCCCTTCAGTGTCGGCGTCTGGTTCGTATAACACATATACATACTTCTACTAGGCCCCTTTTTATCCAACTACTCTCCGAATCAACGTAAAATCCATCTATATCCTCACAGCGCGTATATGGTCCTCTTGAATTGCTTTCCCAGTATCAAATAGCCCAGCCTTCTCAGCCTTGCGCTAGCGGCGGGGTGTCTGCAGGGGTCTCGCCTGACATCTCCCCCACCTCTCCACCATCCTCCTTCCACTCCCAAACCACAAACCACAAACCATAACCCACTCCTCCTCACAATCGCCCTCGCGGTTCTCAACAAACCCAACAGCGACAATGGCCCTCCACGCTCCCCGATCACCTCTAATATGCCCCTCCACGCCATCCGACCCCGGCCCCGGCCCCTCCTGTATACCCTCCATCGCAGTGGCAGCGGCCGCGGCGGCACATAACCAGGCGCCGCAATTCATGCTAAGCTCCCTCAACTTATCCGATCTATCCTCCGACCCCCTCCAACAATTCCGGTCCTGGTACATCTCCGCTCAGACCTCTGGCGTGGTGAGTCCCGAAACCGTGTGTTTGAGTACCGCCTCGCTACCAAGTGGACGGGTGACGAGTCGGTACGTTTATTTGAAGGAGATGGATGGGCGCGGATTCGTGGTGTACAGTAATTGGGGGACTTCTCAAAAATCCAAAGATGTGGAGGCGAATTCATGGGTCAGCTTGGCATTCTGGTGGAGGGAGCAAGAGCGCCAAGTCAGGATTGAAGGACGCGTGGAGAAAATGAGTCAGGAGGAGAGTCAGAAGTACTTCGATACGAGAGCGAGGGGATCGAAGATCGGGGCGTGGGCTAGTAGGCAGAGTGGACGGATTGATGGGAGGGAGGTGTTGGAGGGGTGGGTGGGCGAGGTCGAGGAGAGGTTTAAGGGAGTGGATGAGATTCCGTGTCCGGAGTTTTGGGGTGGGGTGAGGGTCGTGCCAGAGAGGGTAGAGTTTTGGCAAGGAAGGGAGAGTAGGTTGCATGATCGGTTTGAGTATGTGAGGAAGGGTGGGGAGGAGAGAGGGAAGGAGGAGGGGAGGAAGGAGGAGGGGAAGGAGGAGGGGAAGGAAGAGAAGGAGCCAGAGGTGGGAGGGGAGTGGGATATTGCGAGGTTGAGTCCGTAAGTTGGGCTGGGAGAAGTGTTTTATTGGCTGGTGGTTGAAGAGTGATAGTTAAGAGAGGATGAGTTCTGTTTTTTTTTCAAATGGCGAGGGAGAGGGGCCTGGAAATAGCGAGGCTGAATCTACGATCAGGCGGAGATGTCTCAATCGGGGCGTTTTGGGAGATAAACTCAGCTTTTTTTTTTGCAGGCATTAACAGAATCAGAGGAGTTACAAGCGATGAGGAATCTCTCAAACGTATTCTTTATTATTTATTATCCACGTGTTACATCATTGTACTGGCGTCAACTGTTGTTGACGGCAACGACACCGACCGGATTATCTCCAGGGGGGCCGGAACAACCTAACGCCGAACTCGCTTCCGACGCCGAGATGTGCTGAAAGGGCAATATGCATCGACGATGCTCAAGATCCCCAAACCTCCCAGCCCCAAAAAACATTAATTCACTCAACATACAACATTTCAACTGCCGATAATCGATATCTTGACCTCAATCTGAATCTGCATATCCAAAATACTCTTGCTACGATCGCTACTTAGCATTATCGCGTCTTCCTCGTCGCGCTGTCCACAGCCTGCGGCCGGTAGGGGTGGCATCGACCCCCTTCTCGATCTAAGGGCCTGTCCATACAGGTCCAGAACTCTCGCGGATATACAAAGCGCCAGAAGCATCATAATCTAACATCTAACAAAAGCCACTCAAAATAAACATCCTGAACCAACATCTCCGACTCCGTGCAGCCATCGCCACTCGCGCATCGCCAACACCTGTGGTAGGCGCTCACGATGCGCTATACTCGCGATGAGCTGGAGCACTTGCGTGACTCGCCGCTGGTCGTAAGACCGGTGAACTTGCCTCCCCAAGAGGAGTATATGGGGTGAGTAGCGCCACCGCGACGAGCAGTAGCTCGCCCAAACAAGGAACATCCATCACTAACTGTTCCCAGTCCGCCAGAGACGGATCGCAAACCAAACACCAGAGAGAGACGTGGGTCAGCTGGATTCTCGGATCAGACCAGCAGAAGACCTGGCGTGGACAAGCTTGCACGAGGCCCAGGGGGTATGTACCACCGTTTGTTTGTCGAAATGCATGGCTAATCTTACCGCTAAAGCTCCCTTGGACATCATCCTCGGCCCTCCCAAGACCTCATTCGCATCCTCGACCTCGGCGCGCAACGCGAGACCGTCCGATGCTGGCGAGAGACAACAAGACCAAGACCCCCGAGATCGACACCCCTTCCGCAAGAGCGACGGCGAGAGCGACCGCACGCGCGACAACCAGCGCCAGAACCTCCGCCCGCGACGCTCGGATGCCGACCAGGATAGCGATGGATGGAGCACCGTGAAGCCGCGTAAGAGTTTTGGCGCGGATGGAGCGGAGCGCTTCAACGGCCGTATGGGCGGAGAGAGACACCGTGATGATCCGCCGATGCCGAGGAGAGGGAGCAGAGATGCACGCGATGGCGAGAGAGAGAGGCCTGCGCGTGGCTTTGAGACGTTTACGCGCGATCGAGATGCTATTAAGGAGCAGGTGGAGGAAGGCGATGGAGCCCGTCGAGGCTTCGGTAGGGGGAGAACGGAGTCATGGTTCAAGGATAAGGAGGAGTCAGCCGCTGCAGCTGCGGCGGAGAATCGAAAGAGTAATGGCGAGAGACTTGCTGATCGCAGCCGTGGATGGAGGGAGAAGGATACTGAGAAGACGAACGGACGCGCCCATGACCGTAATGCTGATCGGAATAATGATCGTGAGAGGGGCGGTGACAGGGATGATAGGGGTGGGGGACGTTGGGATAGAGACAACAGGCGACAGGAGCGCGATCCAGAGTGGATGGATGAGCCTTCGGATAGCAAGAAGCGAGCTCATACCCAGGAAGACTTTCAGAAGTGGAAGGAGAGCATGAATGCTGGGATTATGAAGACGCCTGCTGCCGAGGTGCCGCCAAGCAAGTCAGCCCCTGATGCGCCTGGTCAGAGTTCGTTCTTCGGCTTTGATAAGCCGAAGGCCGAGACGCCTGTGGTTATTGATCCAGGCCCAGATAGGTTTATGAGTATGTGGTCGACACCAAAGCCAGAGGGCGCCGAGACGCCGCTGGCTTTAAAGAAGGAGGGCCCAGTCAAGGTAGCCGCAGTTGGGAAGGCTTCGCGATTCACATCGTTCTTTGCTGCTCCTCAGGAGGACACGCAGCGACGCCAAACGGAGCCTGCCCCACCAGTTCCGGGACTCGCGCTTAAGGAGTCCAACCCGCAGTCTGACAAGGAGAAAGAGGACTTCCAGAAACTACTACAGAAGTTGCAAAGCCAAAGCCTTCTTGGGATGAAGACCCCAACACCTCCAGTGAACCTGGCATCCCAGCCGAAGCCGCCACCACAACAGAAACAAATGGATATCCAACTTCCGCCAATTGACCAGTTCCAACAATATCGCCCTGGCTTCCAAGAGCCACCACGATCAGGCAGCCGTGAATCGCAGACCCAGCAAGCTGCTCTCCAGGATTTACTCAGCAACCGATCTACAGCCGTTAGTCAGCCCTCGACCCGCCCCGAGCCTATGGCACATGAGCTCGCCAACCAGCGCCAGAACATTGCTAGCCAAGGCTCAACCCGTCCGGACCAGGACATCAACCGCAACGCCGCGTTCCTCATGGGTCTAATGCAAGCACCACGCCAGCCAGACCAGCAGCTCCGCCAAGAGCAACTCATGATGAGACCCCCACAATCGCAGCCCCAGAGACAGCAACAGCAACAGCACCTTTCAGAGCGCGATCAGGATCTCCTAATGCGCGAGCAGCGTGAGCGCGCCGCCCAGCGCCAACGTCAAGAAATGCCACCGGGATTCTTCGACGAGTCCTTCCTAGGCCGTGGCTCGCACCCGCAACAGCAGGAGCCTCGCCCGCAGTCCCAGCAGCAGCAACAGCAGCAGCCAACACAAATCCTGCAACGCCCACCACCAGGCCTCGAGCAGCTTCCTCCAGGATGGCAACAGCAGCCTCGCGACCAGCAGCAGCAGCAACAGCTCCCACAATCCATGCCACGCCACCCGCTCCAGCCACCACCTGGCCTCGCCGGCGGTCCATCCCGCGGAATGCCGCTGCCACCTATGTTCCCACCCGGATTCGCGATGCAGGGTTACGGCCCACCGCCGCCAGAGATGAATGGAGGAGGCGCACAGCGTAATGTCCCGCCCCCGCCACCACCGGGGTTCATGGGACCACCACCGGGATTCATGCCCCCGCCTATGGGGTTCCCAGGTGAGATGGGGTATGCGCCGGCTTTTGATGGGAGGGGGCCGCCGCCACCGCAGCAGGGAGGATTTAGACGTTAAGTCTGATGAGGGGGGTTTACTGGTATGAGAGGGATTCTGGTGTATCGCGAGGGGGTTTGGTATGTGGTGGGTACTTTATGGGGTTATGACTGGCCATGTATAGCTGTGGATACGATGAGGGTACAGAGGGGAATATCCTGGTTAACACACTTACACGTTGTCTGAGGGGGGCAACGACGAAAGGCGTACTTCACGGAGCGAGACGGGCGCATAGATACCTACCGAACTCGCGATCACAATTAGTCACGCGCGGAAATGAAATCCTGTATCAGTAGCACACGCAACAGTATCCCTTTATGCTCATAAGTCTGTGATATATCATACAAATTATCTTCTCTAACCCCCATTTCCTCCACTCTAACCCCAAGTCCCACCCCCACCACCTCGTCCCTGCCTCTTCTGCGCACTAAGTCTCCAATCATCCTCCGCAGCAAACTTATTATACAGCGGCTGAATCCTCTCCGCCTTCCTCCGCTTACTGAGCCCATCCTTCCCAGCAACCTTGAAGAACGTCGGCGCCGCCTCCACGAGCCACTTCGGCTCAATAACGGTCGTCTGGTGCATATACTCCTTACTCGTCAAAACAAGCGTATGGTAAATCACCCACTCCGCCTGTTTCCCAAACAGCGCCGAGGAAGGATGCAAACTAACAGGTGTCCCTTCAATCAACGTCTTATACCCCTCCTGAGGGTCCTTGCGCGCCGCGCTCCGGAAGAAACCAGCACACAGCGCGCGCCGCACGCGTGCAGTGTCGCGCCCACACGACGCGATGGCGTGGCGGTAGCGCGTCATGATGTTCGCGAGCTGATCACGCACGTCCTTAGCGCGCTTCATCGAGCGGGCCTGGATGAAATTCTCAAAGCACCAAGGAGTCGCATAATTAGCTTGTTTCCAAGCATTATACACATTCAAGAGGGTAAGGTGGTCTCCAGCCGGATCGTGGAATTTGGCTTTCTTCTGGTCGGCTTGTGCTTGTTTCTCCTTGGGGCGGTAGAAGGGCGATTGCAGGGACAGCATGGCTACGATGGAGAGGATTTCGTCGGCGCAGGCGAGATCGACGGAGGCAATGAGGACTTTGGCTAGGGCGGGCTCCATGGGGAAGTCGGCCATTTTGCGGCCTAGGCGGGTGAGGAGGCCTTCGTCGTCGAGGGCGGAGAGGGCGTAGAGTTCTTCGAGGGCGGTTAACATGGTGTTTGTGGGCGGGGGGTCCATGAAGTCGAAGTGGAGGAGGTCGTTGATGCCCATGGCTTTGAGCATTAGGATGGTGTGGGAGAGGTTTTGGCGCTGGATCTCGGGGATGGAGGTCGGCAGCATCTCGGATTGGAAAGCGGCTTCGGTGTAGAGACGGAAGCACTTTCCCGGGCCTGTGCGGCCGGCGCGGCCGGATCGTTGGCGGGCTTGGGCTTGCGAGATGGGGGTTACGACGAGAGAGTCCATGCCGAGCTTGGGGTCGTAGGCGTTTTGCTTGGCGAAGCCGGGGTCGATAACGTAGTAGACGTGGTCGATGGTGATGGATGTCTCGGCAATGTTTGTGGCAATGACGACCTTGCGGCTTCCAGGGGGTGCGGGGTCGAAGATCTTACTCTGCATTTCGGTGGGGAGGGCAGAGTAGACGGGCAGGATGATGAGTTCTGGTACGGTGGGGCCAAGAGCTTTCATCCGCTCGAAGAGAATCTCACAACTTGTGTCAATTTCTTCTTGTCCCGTTAAGAACAAGAGAATATCTCCAGGGGGTTCCGTGAGATGAATCTGCATGACCGTCACCAAAGCCGCGTCCAAATAATCAGACTCTGGTTCCCTAGAATACATGATCTCGACTGGGAACGTGCGACCAGGGATGGAGAAAATCGGGCACTGGTTGAAGTACTCTGAGAATTTGTCTGCATCGAGTGTTGCGGATGTAACGATGACCTTCAGATCCGGTCGTCGCTTCAAGGTCTTCTTGAGCAGCGCAAACAACACATCAGTAGAAATCGTCCGTTCGTGAGCCTCATCCAACATAATAACAGAGTAGCGCTTCAAGTCAGGGTCCATAAGAACCTCTCGCTCCAGCATACCATCAGTCATGTACTTGATCTTCGTATTTGGGCTCGTGCAGTCCTCGAAACGGATCGTGTAGCCAACTTCCTCTCCCAGCTTACAGCCGACCTCCTCAGCGACACGCTTCGCAACAGACATGGCAGCAACACGACGGGGCTGCGTGCATCCGATAATACCATTATTTGCAAATCCCGCTTCGGCCAAGTACTGCGTCAACTGAGTCGTCTTTCCAGATCCCGTCTCACCGACAACAATCAGAAGTGAATTATCGTGGACAGCCTTGATGAGCTCAGAGCGGAATCTGAATATAGGCAAAGAATCGCGCTGTTCCTTGATTGTCATATTGGTGCGCCTACCCAGCGGCACATCTTTGCTCTGGGTAACACGTTTCCACTCAGGAACAACTTCTTCACTGGCCGGGTTTTGCTTGGCTGATCGGAACTCGCTGGCGAACTTTCGGTCTTCGGGCGCTACCATTGGGTCCTGCCATTGTGCGGACAAGTCTACTTTGGCTCCCTCTTCGGCGGCCTTGTCCTGCGCTTCCTGTTGTCTCAGCTCTCGCCTGTCCTTTGCCAGAGTTGCTCCAGACATTGCGGCACGGTTAAGAGATCCATCTGGTGCTTTAACAACTCTAATCGGTGATAATTCGAGCGATTGCTTAGTCTGACCAGCAAGGAAAGGAGGCTCCTCGTCCTTGATCTCGATATCGATGTCTTCCTCAAGTTCCATCTCGCCCTCACCATTCAAGGCGGCATTATAGTCTTCATCTAGATCCGGGTAGTCCGAAGCTTTTACCACTCCAGACGCGATCAGCTGCCTGACCTCCCATCTCTCAGGCGACGTCATCCTCTTCTTCTGCCGCGGTGGCGGAGCATTATCCCTCCCAAAAGAGGAGCCTTGGTCACCGAGTAAATTGCCATATTCGCGTTTCCCGCCTCCTCCAAGCTGCTCTGAGTTCGCGCCAGACTCTATCCGAGTTTGAGGCGCAAGGTCGCGCCCTGTCTCCTGATCCACCTCCTTCATAGATAATCCAATCTTCCCATTCTCAATTTTCACAACCTTGACCTTAACAGTCTGGTCCCTCGAGACGAGATCCGAGGGATGGTTAACCCGCGACCCTTCTAGAAGAGCAGATATATGCACGAGACCGTCGACTCGCCCCCTGACTCCGTGCAGGTTGACGAATGCGCCAAAGTCTTTAACACTGGTGACATGTCCCTCGTACACTTTGTATAGTATCGGCTGGTCGTCGATTTCCTGTTTCGGGGGGTTCCTCAGACTATCCTCGCCATGTCTCCGTCGCCCGCTCTCGTGCCCGTCTCTGCGGCTCCTGTGCCCCTTCCGCGATCGACCATATTCGTCTTCCTCCTCATATTTATCCATTCTCCTTGAAACGTTGTTGCGGTTCTGCTCAGGCGACCTAGATCGATACCGTCCCTTCCTCCCTCTCCTCTCCTCAAAGTCGTCCTCGGGGCTTCGAGTTCGTTTCCTAGTTTCCCTAGGTTTCTCGCCCCGCGCTTTCCCCCCAAGCCCTTCCAATAACATCATGGTATCATCAATCGCATCCGCCCCATCCGCCTCCATATCGACGCGCGGGGGCTCAACATCCGGTATCGCCAGTCCCTTGAACACCTTATCCTTCCCTTCATTCCGTCCATTCGTCGACTCTCTATGCGTGCTACCCTCCCCTTTGTACCGCGGATGCATCGTCCTGACGAGGCGATCAATACTCTCTATCAAACTCCCCGGGAAATCCGCTCCCATCGCGTCCAACCGCGACCTAAACTCATCGAGTGTCTTGCATTCCGCATGCTGGGCGATGACAAACTCGGCGAGCGTCTTGTCGCTGATTCCCAAGTGGTTTTGTAGCTCGGAGGTCACTTTCGAGACTAGCGATAAGATCTCTAGAGACTCGAGGTCCTCCATGGTGAATGATGGGCTGAACGCTGCGTGGCGTTGGGGCGATGGGGTTTCTTGACTTTTTTGGCCTCGATGTTGCCTCTCGGCGGGTAAATTAAGCGCGGAGCGGCAAAATAAGGTGATTAGTCATCATAGTACCAATCAAGGTGGATCTATCATTTATTCTTGGGAGGAACAAGTTATGATATTATAGTTGATGAGATTATAATAGTTCGGAACTATGACCTGTGGGGAATTTCACTCTATATCAAGTGTCATTTATGTGAGGTTGTTGAAGTTTCAAATATTTGTTAAGATTATAAATTGGCTAAACTAACACCTTATATAAATCGCTATCCTCTAAGTATTAACTTTACTACAAATGTAGTTGGTTTAATGCTTTGGAACCTTCTTTGAAGCCATGATCTTAGCATGTTGCTTCCCCAACAACTTATACTCCTCATCATCATAGTAAATCGTGTTCACGTCACCCAAAGTCGGCCCCGGAACAGACAACGTGTTGCTGCCAAACTGCCAGATCTGATCCGCCGCAATGCCCGACTTCTCAACAGTAACCTGCCAAGGACGCTCCGTCTCGGTATGATTGCTTGGGAACGGAGTGCCGTACTCTTCAAGGATGGCCGGCTTGCCCGATTTCTTGGCAAGAGCATCGTGCTCCTCGATCCACTGGTTGCCCCATGTGTACTCGTACGACCACGACTCCGGGTAGAGATGGAAGGTGGCATAGTCGAGGGTCTTGATCTTGAGATTCGCGACCCAGTCCACACCTTCGACGCCACTGTAAGCGTAGCTTCCATCGCCGACGCCCGAATTCGGGGTGAGCCAGCCCTCGTCACCAAGAGTCACCATGTGCGAGTTATCAAGCGACTTGATGTAAGCGGAGACCTCAGAAGCCCACTTGGTGATGGTGCCTGCTGGGCACTCCTTGCATCTCGGCTCATTTCCTAGCTCCCAGGCGAAGATGGCGTTGCTCTTCCTGTAGCGGGTGACGATGGTCTTGATGTAGTTGCGATACACCTTTTGCGACACAGCATCGGTGTACCAGGTCGTGGCATTGCCACCGAAGGCTCTGTTGTATGCGGCAACACCACCGTAATCGCCCCAGTTGTTGAAGAAGGGGAGGACGAGCTTTAGCCCGTGCTTTTCGGCTGAGTGGACGACGTAGTCGAGGCGCTGGATACCATCCTTGCCGTAGTTGATTGTGCCTTTTCCATTGGCCAGAAGCTGGAAGTAGACCTTGTTGGGGTCTGTATTAGTGGTGGGAGGGAGCTCAGTTACATCTCCGAAACCCCAGACACGAGCGACCTTGTAACCAGTCTGTAGGCTGGGTGTTAGAGAGGCAAGTAATTAAATGGGCGAGGCATTCTTACGGCGACCATCTCAGTAACTGAGATGTCCACATCTTTGTTGGAGCTCAGGTGAGCAAGCCACCATGCATTGGTTCCTATGGTTTGTTAAATGCTGGTCGTAGGCATTTAGAGTCAGTCACAGGAACTCACCAGCAAAGTATTGAACTTTTCCGTCGATCTCAAAGAGTCGGCCAACTGTCTTTGCATTCTTGTGCTTACTGAAGCCAATTGGGAACGCACAGTCCGATTCAACGTTGGAACCTGGGGCCGCTATCACGACACTCGAAAGCGCCAGCGACAGGAGAGAGATTGTGGATTGGAACTTCATCTTGGTCGAGACTTCTTTGACCTGACAGCTGAGCGAGACAAGGAAAATTTCCCCACCTTGGGCACCCCATGATTCTTATAAGAATCTTACTTCCGGGTTCTGTAAACAGACTGAGCTTTCCGGGTTGCGGTTCGTGGGAACCGGCGGTGCCTGCATACTATAATGACCTTGGCGTGAGCCATGTGGAAAGGCCATAGTCTAGTCCGGAGGGGCAAGCCAATGGTAGATCCTGAGTATATTATGATGTCCAGGAATATAGAGAGTTCCACGACGATCCGATGGAGCCGTTATGATGGAAGGCGGCTTAACAACGGAAGACAAGCTCCGAGATGCCGAAAGTGGTTATTTGTAGATGGGGGGCTTTCTGGGGTCCCCGGAGTCTATTTCGACAGTGGAGGGAGGTCCACACCTTCGCGAATGAGGAGAAGAAGTGGAATTGAGGGGATCAAGAGGGTTAATAGGATGAAAGCATGGGTGGCGGGCAAATATTTCGCCGTAATTGGGACACCATTTGCTGTATATATTAAACCAAGAGTAGACCACTTATCTTGGAGGTGAGGGGAAACAAAGTCCTAGGGCCGGAGAACTGTCAGAGTGGGGATTCTCGACGAAAATAAGATCCTATAAAAAGGTATTAGATTTTTCAGAAATTTTCATTCTTCAAGGGAATATGATGGTATGCTTCTCCTCATACTGTATGCTATTGTACAGTATTGATAGATATCAATGATGGTGGTGGTGGTTCGTTCTTACTGATCGATCGTGGTGAGAGTGGAGAGACAAGGGACGGATTTAGCCTTGCCAATGCGCTAAGGAACTTCTTGAGAAAGGCATGAAAATAGAGTTTATATCTAGATAATGTGCGCTGCATATATATGGATAGTTTTGACAGTTTTACTAGTAGAATATTATGGGAGCAACTAGGAAGCTTCAGTATGAAGACGACAAGGCTGTCACTCTTTGTTTTGGCCGTTTTGCTCTTAACGGCCAACCGTACTCGTTGTTCCCCACCAACTGCATCATGATTGACAGATACGAGTAACATACAAGACTACAACAGACTACCAGGGTCACTTATCGCGGGGCTTAGCTCCTGAGATCGTGAAACCGAAACTCTCCCCACCAGTCTCCCACAGCTGCCCTACAGCTGTTTTGCTTCACTACAGAGAATACACACAGTAGTATTCGATTATTGCCACCTCGAACTCTTGTTCAACTCTTTATCCTCAGCCTCGCAATCGCACAACACACCGCGCGCGCGACCGACCCCATCGACAGGAAGCTCTGAAGTCGAGCCACCTTTGCCCACGATGGGCGCTTCAGCAATTCAGGACCAGCGCGACAGTACGCCCCAGCCTCAACTCCATTTTCTCGGAATACTAAATTCTAATACCCTACTTCAGTTATTGTCGGCGCCATAAAGAACATAACCCGTGGTGATGTAAGCCGAGGTCGCGAGCTCGAGAGAGGGCCAAACTAATGCGTTGCAGTGGAAGGTTTTGGTGGTGGACACCGACAGCAAGAGGATCCTCGACAATGTTGTGAAAGAAGATGACATTCTCAATGAAAATATTGCAAGTACGTGCCTTGTGCTGTGTGACGCATTGCATGCATTGGGGCGAGACTGATGCGGTGTAGATATCGAGAAGATCGAGGATAAGAGGCCGCCGAACCCGGACATGGATGCGATATACCTCTTGTCGCCAGAATCGCATATTGTCGACTGCTTGTTGGCCGACTTTTCGCGCCGGCGATACAAAAAATCATACTTGGTGTGGACAGCTTTGTTGGATCCTACGATTCGGAGGCGCATTGACAACTCGGCCGAGGCCCAACAACAGCTTGCTGGGTTCGAAACATTGTCTATAGACTACTTCCCACGAGAATCCCGCCTGGTTACGTTTCGCGACCCATGGAGTTTCCCCATTCTATACCACCCGGCATGTAATAATGTCGTTGCTGCACATATGCAAACCCTGGCGCAAAAGGTCCGTATTTGTGCTTCCAGCGAGCTGAAATGGCGAAAATAACTGACATGTGCTACAGATAGCTGGTGTGTGCATCTCGCTGGGAGAATATCCAATTGTTAGATATTATAAACCAAAAGCGCCAACGCATGAAGCAAGTGTGCTATGCTCCCACCTCGCACGATTTGTGCAGGACGAACTAGATGCATACGCAAAGTTTCATACAAACTTCCCTCCTCCATCGAACCGACAGCAAGGCGTCCTTATTGTCACCGACAGGTCCATGGACTTGGTTGCCCCTCTTATTCACGAATTCACATATCAGGCCATGGCACACGACCTACTTCCCATAAGAGAAGGCGATAAGATTATGTATAAGACGACCGTTAATCAAGGAGAGCCTGGCGAAGAAGAGAAAGACATGGAGATTGGAGAGAACGATGACATATGGGTCAGGAACAGGCACACGCATATGAAAGATACTATCGAAAGGCTTATGGGCGATTTCCAAAAGTTCATTAGCGAAAACCCTCACTTTACGAATCAATCAGGTGATGCGACGAGTCTGAATGCTATCAAAGATATGTTGGCAGGGCTACCGCAGTTCCAGAACCTGAAGGACGCATATTCACTACATTTATCCATGGCACAAGAGTGCATGAACATATTCCAAAACCACAAACTGCCCGATATTGCTTCGGTCGAACAATCACTGGCCACAGGCCTCGACGAAGACTACCGAAAACCGAAGAATCTCGCAGACCAGGTCATTCGCCTTCTCGACGATGAAAGCATATCCTCACCTGACCGCCTGCGCCTCATCGCCCTATACATCATCTACTCCGACGGCATCGTCTTTGAGGACATCCCCCGCCTCATCGCGCACGCCTCCCTCCCCTCCACCAACATGGAAACAATCACCAACCTCGAGCTCCTCGGCGCCCGCACCACCCGTCCCCTCAAAGAAACCCGCCACCCGCACGCGCCCCTTTTCCCACGCAAGACCGCCCCCACCGCCGCTAATGAGGACTACGCGCTCTCCCGCTTCGAACCCGCCCTCAAACTCCTCCTCGAAGAAGTCGCCCGCGGTCCGCTTGACCCGGCCCTCTTCCCTTACACCAAGCCGCCGATACAGAGCGACTATGACCAAAACGCCAATGTCAACGCGTCGCTCCGCTCTGCGAAACCTACGTGGGCGCAGAACAGGAGGAGCGTGCACGAGTCCAAACAGCGCGTTATCGTGTTCATGGCTGGTGGCGCAACGTACTCGGAATCCCGAGCCTGCTACGAGATCACGAAGAACAGCAATCGCGATGTTATGCTCGTGACGAGTCACATGCTGACTCCAGCGTTGTTCTTGCGCCAGGTCACGGATCTGTCGGTTGATAGGCGCCAGTTGGGTCTTCCCGCAGACCAGCCGAAGAAGATGGCCCCATCGCATTTATTCGAGCGGCCTACACCATCGCCGTCACCTTCGCCGTCGCCGCACGGGGGGCTACCCGCGGGACCGGCTGGGGGCAGGGGAGGTCCGTCACCACGGCCGCCGCTGCCGTCATCGCAGAGCAGTGGGAGTAGGAAGCCCGTGGAGCCACCGTCGGGGAAGATGGGATCGATGTCTTTGAATTCTGGGAACGGGCAGAATGGCGGGTCGAAGGGGGCGTCGCCAGTTGCACAGGCAGGGAAGCTGGAGAAGAAGAGTAAATATGATGAGGATGGGAAGGAGAAGAAGAAGCGGGGATTTTTTAGCTCGAAGAAGTAGGGGCGGCAAAGAGATAGATATGCAGAGGAGGCGGTATGGAGAGGTTGAGGTATATATGCAAGATTGAGTATCGCATAGATGCTACATAATGAGCGATGGAAGATATGAATATACGGACACTATTGAGAAACCGTGTATTTTGAACGAACCAACCATCAATTTCACATTTATACTCACTCACGATAGTCGACAACTTCAACTTCAAGCATATTCTATAGTCCAGGGCCAACTCGGCTATAATTATACCGAATTTAAGACAGACCAGTCAGGTATTTCATGTCTCGTGCTGGAATCCGAATGCACGCTAGAAGAGTGCTCCAATGGCAACGTCGTTTCTCCACCAACGTTAATCTAAGACACACACATGTTCAACAATGATCGGTCGTAAGGAGGAAAGAATCTGGGTTATCCTAGAATTAGACTCTATATATGATCTATAATCATGTGCAGATATTCCCCGCTCGTCGCTGGCATCACGAGTATATCTAGAATCGGGTTGAGGTAAATGTCGCCGACATTTTAAACTTCTCATCAAGCATCGATATTTTTATGAGATTTTGATTCAGATTGTCCTTTCCAATAATGCATCATCTTTGCCTTCTTTATTTGTCGGCAGTCGCAGTGGTATATGGAGCACCACAGGAAGAGCAAAACGTGTTAAACCCGCCACATGTCGACTTAGGCTACGCACAATACCAAGGCTCAAGGGTCGCGGTGGGGGTAGACCAGTATCTAGGCATGCGATATGCGCAGCCACCACTTGGCGATCTAAGATTCCGAGCTCCTCAAGATCCACTCCCCTCTGACGACCTACAAGAAGCTTCTAGCGTGAGAAAGCCTCTCTCCAACGCGGGCCATAGCTAACTTGTTACTTCAGTTCGGCCCGCTATGTATTGGCGTTTCGCAGAGACCATCTGAGAGTCTTAATGAAGACTGTTTATTTGTCAATGTCTTCACCCCGTCGAACGCTACGAGGGATTCTAAACTACCCGTTTGGGTCTATATCCCAGGTGGTGGGTATGCGCAGAATACCGATAACAATTATAATGGGACGAAAGTTGTCCAAGAATCACAGTCTAACATCGTGCTCGTGAACTTCAACTACCGTGTTGGTGCTCTCGGTTTTCTTGCGGGCGAGCAAGTTGGGCGGGATGGGGATCTTAATGTTGGCTTGTTGGACCAGAGGAAGCTGTTGTATTGGGTTCAGAAACATATTAAACAGGTAGTTAATCCTTTCCAACGTTTCATTCTAGTTAAAGGCTACTAATACATATGCCTCTAGTTCGGTGGTGACCCACACCACGTCGTCCTTCACGGCACATCCGCTGGAGGCGGCTCCATAACCCACCACCTCGCCGCCTACGGAGGCAGAAACGACCATCTCTTCGTCGGTGCGGCGAGCCAGTGTGCCTTTTGGCCGCCCCTAACTACGGTTTCTGAGAGGGAGTGGCAATTCAACCGGTTCCTCGACGATACAGGCTGTTCAAGCAGTTTGAGCCCAATGGACTGCTTGCGGGCAGCTAATCTCAGCACTATTGCGGCTGCGAATATTGTCCATCCCTACCCGGGCGCGCGGTCTGAGAGTCCTTTGCCGAATTGGACTTGGTTACCTGTTATTGATGGGAACCTTGTGAGAGGCTCGCTGTACGAAGAGTTTGAAATGGGCCACTTTATTAAGGTTCCAATGCTCATTACCAGTACGAACGACGAAGGCACCAGTTTTGTTAGCAATGCTGCCACTTCCGATGACTTCTCATTATTCATGAAAAACAATTACCCCGCTCTAACTGACGGTGAACTCGACACTTTAATCGCCACCTACCCCTTACGATCACCATTACCCACCAAACAACCCTGGTTCCCCTCCCTCGCAGCCGCTTACGGCGACGCCACCTTCTCATGTCCAGGAAACCAGCTGGCCTTATCCTTTTCCCGTTTCTACTCCCCCTGGAAAGTCTGGCGCTACAGATTCAACGTCCAAGACCCCCCACAGGTCGCGGCTGGACTCGGGGTCCCCCACGCCTTCGACACGGATGCGATTTTCGGGCCGGGATACGCTGGGAATTATCCAGCTTCGTTTGTGGGTGTTAATGCGGAGGTTGTGCCGGTCACGATGCATTATTATATTAGTTTTGTGAGGGCGCTGGATCCGAATCGGTATAAGGCTGGAGAGGCGCCGGTGTGGCAGTCGTGGGGGGTGGGGAGGAATCAGCAGTTGAGGGTGGAAACTAATGGGACGGTGATGGAGGATGTGCCTGAGAATATGACGGAGGTATGTGGGGTTTTGAGGTCTTTGACTGGTCCGATGAGGTTGTAGGGTTGTGAGATGTGCCGAGTGCCGTTGGCAGAGTTGTGGTGGTTGATAACACGATACTTCAAATTTAGCGCTGAGCACTTATTATTATATCTACAATATCATGCAAAATTAACCTTGTTCTAGTGGCAACGTTATGACATTAATAACGCTCTGGTGGGGTAATAGATATTCACGAGACCCCGTTTGCATTCGAAAACTTTGCGGATTGGAAGGCTCACTATATTTCCACCATCAAAATATCACACAGCTAAGCAACCACATTAAAAACGCCCATTTCCAGCGGCCCGAGGGAACAAACCTTATTCGGCCGAACGACGAGCGAAGATCCACATGTGGCGTCAAAACGGCTAGTAAATGTGCGGGGAAGCAGTACCTTTGCGGGGAAGATGCAAGGGTTCTAAAATTGACGTGCTATGATGACGCTTTGCCTTGTCTTGGCTTTGGTCTTCGTTATCCCATGCCAAGTGCTTGATGATTATTCGCTTTATTTACTTTATTTGTGTTAGTCGGTGTTTGGGGACGGAATTTCTTTGGATTGGAGGAAGGGAAGAGTTGCTGTGGACCGAGATGCATGGTGCTTCGGTCGAATGTTGCTAACAGCGACTTTATATAGTAGAGAGATTCTAAGCAACGAGCTATGCGAGACACAGCCGAACCTTGGGTTCATAGTCGTTGACATATGCACCGAGAATCTCAAATTTCCTTTGACTCTCTATCCGAGGTAGATAGCCAATATTTAAGAGCGACGATGATTGCCCTTCGACGAGACCCCGATGGTATTGTTGCTCAACGAGGAAGTCAACTCGTGAAAGATGGTAAGAAACTCACACCTAGCCAAGGACGATATGCTAATCTCTTTAGGCACTCAATCTTTCAGAATTAGCCTCGTGGGGCATCGCAAGCACTGCAATCAGCACATTGACCAACTTTGCCGACCTGATCCGCTGGTTAAAGCTATGTCTGGAGTTTCCAACAAGACCATTATTTACGTCCAGGCCTGGAGAGTCAACTCCGCTAGTAGCAGCTCCGATGCTCAGGTTATAATCGATCAACCCACCCTGATCGATCTGACGGCGAAGGTCTCGAACGGACAAATCACTTGGACGCCCCCTGATAATGCAACATGGCTTCTGCTTTCCGCTTGGCTGCGTGGGACCGGTCAGGTTCCAGAAGACAGCCCGCACACCAACGGGATATCTTATGTGGTCGACCATTTTTCGCTGGCAGGTGCTAAGGCGGCAACTGATTATTGGGAAAGTATATCCTGACCCCTGATATCCATTCCGCACTACACGACAAGGATACGGCTATCATGGAAGATTCTCTGGAGGTGGCCAGCAACGGCTACTGGATGACCAAATTCCCAGCAGAGTTCCTCAAGCGACGTGGTTATAGCGTTGCGGATATCCTACCTATCCTTTTACAGAAGAGCAGTAAATACCTGTTTGTATTTTCTGATGCCGACCTGACTCGAGGCGCTCGTAATGATTACTGGGACACCATCAGCGATTTGTATGTTGATTATCATATCAAGCTGATAAAGTCCTGGGCTACGTCAAAAGGTCTCGAGTACAGAGTCCAGCCTTACAGAGGTGAGTTTATCTAAGGCGCAATGATGACAGTTTGGCTAATGCAATTTTATAGCATTTCCCCTGGACGGAATTAGAGCTGCGGCATTAGTAGATATCCCCGAAGGAGAATCACTAGGCTTCACCTCCATCGACAACTATCGAGCCCTTGCCGGTGCCGCTGGGTTGGCAGGGCGGAATATCATCTCCAACGAATTAGGCGCATATGCCAAATCCGCATACGGAACTTCATGGGCTAAAGTGCTTTCTACACTTAACCCGCAGTTTGCTGCTGGAGTCAATCAGAGTGTGCTTCATGGCTTCTCATATCTCTATGCTCCTGGAGCTGTATGGCCTGGCTTTGCTGCCTTCACGCCGACCAAAGGAAAAGCTGGTTATTCGGAGTCGTGGGGTCCAAGACAGCCGACTTGGAAGCATGCATCAGATTTTACGAACTATGTGGCGAAAATGCAATTCTTCCTTCAGCAAGGTGTGCCCAAGCACGATATCGCGATCTTCCGACCCAATGGAGCCGTTGATAACAACTACATCGCCCCCCTTATTTCACCAGTACCGGAGCAAGGTTAGGATGGAGTGCCAACTACCTAGACCTAGGCTTGTTCGACTTGCCAGCAGCGACCGTTAAAAGGGACGCTTTGCACCTACTGCTGCCGATTACAGTCTGCTGGTTATTCCAGGAGACCCTGGCACCGACAACGGGCCGACCCTTACAGCTTCGGCTGCGAAGAAAATCCTGGGCTACGCTGAGGCGGGTCTTCCGATTCTCTTCATTGGAAATTGGACAGATGCTCGCGCATATGGCTTCGGTGGCTTGACAGGAGACTCTACAGCGATTGTCAAATCTACAATGAGGAAGTTGCTTAAGTTGTCCAATGTGGTCAACGTTGCTTTGGAAGCAGACATCGAAGCTGGTATCGCGAAGCTAGGCATAAAGCCCGCCGTAGAGTTTCCATCTGGTATTTCTCCGTCGTCAAGATGGCGATGTCGATAACTATGTATTTGTTGCGAATTCTAGCTCGGCAGTCTCGCAAACCATTACTTTGCCGCGTCGAAGCTCGGATTAAGTACCTGTCTCTATCGATGCATGGACAGGCAAGATGGAGGCAGTTGCGTTGTATCAGATTACTATGGACGGGCGCTTGTCGATTCCACTGGTGCTGAACTCAAAACAAGCAAAGCTGGTATCGATAATCCCTTGGTCTCGGAATAAACCTCGTTATGCTACGAGTACGACATCCCAGGCGATTATGTATGACTCTCAATCTCGCCTTTTGGTACGCGCTACAACGGCGGGGTCATACTCCAGTATTCTAGACTTATCAGACTGCTATAAGCAACGTCCTGCTAGCGATGAATCTGAAGACCTGGACATTGAACATAGACGACTGGCAGCCAGCTGAAGGCAGCGGAACCACCGGTGATATAACTGCTACTAAGATCGTCAAGCACGAGCTGTCACTCACATCGCTAACAGCATGGAGTGGCATTGCAGAGATTCAGGATGTCTCTGGAATTGGCACCTATCGGACAAATTTCACACTTGGGACCGCTTCGACGTCGCTTTCCAGCGACATGGGCGCGTACATCATTCTCAGCAAGTTCAATGGGTCGTTTCGCATCAAGATCAATGACCAGCAGCTGCCACCCTGCGACCCTTTCTCCCTTAAATACGACATTGGAGCATATGTCGTCAATGGTACAAATACAGTCGAGATCGATGTCGCCTCCTCTCTATTAAGTAGGATGAGAGTTGTATTCCCGGATGTGTACGGAGGAAATGAAAGGCAAGCTTTTGGCCTCGTTGGGGTGACGATCCAACCATACGCGCAGGCTGTGATCGTGTGATAAGTAGTGGTATAATGCAATAAAACCTAAAGTTGCCTAAATATAAGTAATATTCTGCAAAGTTTAATAGATATACTTTCATCCTTTGGTGCAACCAAAATATTACCAAACTCGCCTGTAATGAATCAGAGTTGGGCCTCTCTCTTCTATCCTCGACCCCCTTCTTGGAAAGGGGGTGGGGGCGAGAGGGCCACGAATCACGCACGTGATCCCCACAAAGTCCCCACGATTCTGGCCCACAAGGTCCCCACAGCTAATGGATGATCTTAACACAATAAATATCTTAGGTTGAAGAGGCCTCGTAACACCTCTCCTGCCGCATCATCATCACTCTTACCCGGTGTCGGCACTGTGGCTTAGTAGACAAGGATTAAGCTTCTGGCCAAGGTTTAGTGAACTGCAGACCAAAAAAGCTTGTGGAGAGACCCTCTATTTTCGCCGAACAACCACTACAATGCATTTACTCGAGTCCCGAACCTCGAAAGGTATATTAGTGCCGGGGCTTATGAGGCACAATAAGGTTAGGTTGTTATCTTAGCAATCTCTATTAAGCATGTGCGGCCTCAATGCCTCATCCAACGCCGCGAATAGAACATAACACTCCAAAGATTTGGATCTAGCCGTTAAAATGATACACTCTTTCCATTTTGAAGACTATTTGGGTTCTTATATAAAGCCGTTTCTCTTTTTCTCCTTCCTGTACCGTTTCATCAAGCCATCGTTTGCACCCGCATCAACGTCAGTCGTTCTTTCAACTCTCTAGTGTTATATTTCCATTACATTGCTTTGTTTCGAAATATGTATCTCCTTGCAAGCTTGTTACTGCCTCTAGCAGTGTCTGCCGCTTCGGTTCAGAGACAAGGCAATCAGAACATCGGCAAACAAAATGATGGCAACAACCAGGCAGCGCAAGCTACCGGTATCAGAGTCCCAACTACGACAACCTTGCATGCCTCTTCACCAACCATCGCACTCGACTATTGCACCGTTGCACCTGTCGCTGGAAACTCTACCATCGGTTATTACAAATACCAGAATATCCGGTTTGCTGCTGCTCCCACCGGTGATGGCCGTTGGGCTAAGCCTCAGTGGCCCCCGGTTGAGACTGAGATTAATACTGGCTACTTAGCTGATGCTGATGTCGACTGTGCTTCAACTGAGGACTGTCTCTACATGGACGTCTGGGCACCTGCTAACAGCGCAGGCAAGAAACTCCCTGTACTTGTTTGGACTTATGGTGGCGGTTTCACTGGTGGCAGCAAATCTGAGACTTCTCCTGAAGGCCTTTTCAATCTAACCACCGAATTTGTCTATGTTGCCTATAATTACAGACTTGGCATGACGGGAATTGCCAACGGTGCAACCTTGCTTCACGAGGGTGGCATCTCTAACATTGGAATTTGGGACGTCCAGCACGCTTTTGAGTGGACTAAGAAGTATATTGGTGCTTTTGGTGGTGACGCTGATCAAGTTACCGCAGTTGGTTTCTCTGCTGGGGCTTCTCAAGTTCTATTCCAAACTACTGTATGTTGTTTACGCAAACTAACATATTTGACCACGGACTGACACCTATAGCGCTTTGGTGGCCATGCGGAGCAAAATTTCGCTCAGGCATATGTGATGTCCCCGGGTTTTGTTCCAGGCGCCGGTCATCACACATCAGAGGTAATTTGAGCTCTTGTAAGAGTGCGAACAGAATATCTAACTATTTATTTCTTGCAGATGTTCTGGCAGAATGTCTCAACTGCTGTTGGTTGCGATGGTGGCCACTTGGACTGCATGCGGTCTGTTGATTTCACAACGCTTCAAGATGCTGCCAGTACAGTCACAAGCGACTACATCTACCAATTCCAACCCCGTGTTGACGGCGACATTGTTGCAGACACTTGTATGCTTCGAATCTTCCTTGTCAGTCACTGTTCACTAACTGGGTCGAATAGACGAAGCCCAACTATACCAAGGACGGTTCAACTTCACCGGGCCAATGGTCATTACCCATGAACAACATGAGGCTAACAGCCAAGCCTACTCCGGAGTCGACACCACCGACGATGTTGCTGCTTACTTGAGAGTCTTCTTCCCTGCGATCACAGATGATGTCGTTCAGAAGATCCTCGACTTTTATCCCGAGTCAGACTACACTAGCCCTGGCCTCCGATTTGCCGACATGAAGCAATCTTTTGACCTGACCGCTCACAATCTAGCCGCTACTCATGCTATGAATAACCAGACTTGGAACGCGATGATTGCTTTGGACTCAGCCACCCATGGCACCGATCAAAGCTATTACTGTAAGGCTTTTATGGTTAATGGATAAATTTATATTTGGCTAATACATTTGATAAGGGTATAAATCAGCTTCCGTTATAACCACGACAAGCAATACCACCAGTACCTCTTCAGCTGCTATATCCACGGCTACTTCATCCAATACGACCACCACCGCCGGCCCAGGTGGTGCAGCTGGTGGCGGACTAGGTGGTGGACCAGGTGGAAGCACTTCAGTTAACGCCACTATCGCTGTAAGCCACTGCGTATATCTTCTCGATCTTTATACTAACTCGATTTTTATAGGTCATGATGCAAAAGTACCTCCTTTCCTTTGTTCTGACAGGTAACCCCAATAGCAAGTGGCCCGAGGACAATCCCGAGTGGCCATTGTATAACACCACCGCCACTGGTGTTCAACTTGTTTTTAACACTACCTTTTACACGGATGCCGATGACTTGGCTACCGAGAAGACCCTCTATTGGAATCAAGCTCTTTGGTACTAGATAGTCTTGGTTTGAGAAATCAATTATAAAGGCAGCCAAACTCTCTGAAAGAATGGATTTTATTTAATAAAAGTATAGGGTTATCCTAAAATGAACGTAATGGAGTAACTACAGCGGATATGGCTCCAGCCTCCCCCTCTGCTTCCAACTATTTGCCTCACTCCCAAAACTGATTCGATTAGTAGACATACACAAACTCGTCATTCTGCTTGTCTGTCAAGTCCAAGACTTCCTCCCGTTCGCCTGACACTTCCTGAGTCTTCAAATCCATGTTGACGTTTGTTGTCATGGAACGATCAACAATAACTCCACTCTTCCCGTTTGCGATTCTCCTCTTTTCCTGCTTCTTGTTCAACCACATCAGATTGGCGATTTGAACACCGAGGAGCACCATCATGGCAACAAAGACCCCAAGTACACCTCCAATAGCTGGGTGATATTCTGGGGCCTGGTCTGCCGTGAACAGAAGCGGGCCAATAAGGGCTCCTGCGGAGGTACCGGCTTGATAAAATGCCATTGTGACGGATTTTTTGGTCTGTCCAGCAGTATTTCCAACGGACCACGCAAGAAGTATAGGGTTGCCTGCAAACAAAAAGGAGGTGATGTAGTAGGCGACGAGTAGCGCAGGTCGCATTCTTGCCTCGCGGCTAAGGCCGTAAAGCATTGCGCAACCAATAACGGGGAAAATCATGAAGCCCATCAAGATAATACCCTTCAGCTTCATCCTATTGGCGACCCAGCAAGATAGAATGACAACAATTAAAGTCATGGCTCCATAGGGAATATTTAGCAGCAACGTCGTATAGGGGTCAAAGCCAAAGCCTTTAATGATAAGAGGTCCAAAGACACCTGGCAATGCCGAGCCTAGGTTGGGCAGAATCGCGAGCACAACCCACAGCCAAGTCTTAATATCAAGGGCCGCTTCCCAAACCTGGGGCCACTTGAACTCATGGACCGTTTCGTCGCCAGATTTGTTGCTGCGGAGGCGTTCAACGCCCTGTAACCGTTCCATGGGGGTGAGGAAGCGAGCCACAGAGATATCGTTGTCGAGGAAATAATAACAGACGGGTGCAGTGACAACAGTAAGCAATCCGCAAAATAGATAAATGCTGCTCAACTATTAGTGGGATCTCCATGCTAATGGGTAGGATAACTAACATTTGCCACGAATATAACCTCGAAGAATGGATATGGCCGAGGCCATAAGATAAGGCAGCAGCTGCCATAGTTGCTGTGCCATTCATGGAATACCAAATAGAGACACGAAGTGGCTGCTCAACACGACGGTACCACTGGCCAGTCATGATAGCAAATAGGGGCAAGCAGCCGGCTTCGAACAGACCAAGGAAGAAGCGGCAGGCCATCATTGTTTTGAAGTCATGGCATAGACATGTCATTGTCTCTGCAATTCCCCATCCAAGGATCATCGATGGCATCAGGATCCGGTGTGGCACCTTCACAATCAACCACGCCGAGAATGGCTGCCATCCTAACTGCGCAATTGGTGCGATCGACCCGAGGAGTGAATATTCACGTCCCGTCATATGGGTGTCTTCTCGTAGACCGAAAACCGCTCCAGTTCCCATGACTCCCTTATCCAAAACCTAAGGGGGGCCAAAAGTAAGCACCGTAACAGATTATTAACATCCACGCAACGCACCTGTAAGAAGTAGACCCAAGTCAGAATCGACAAGATGACCCTATCAGTCTTCCTCCTAATCCGAGTATTCTAGGCAGAGGGGTCAGCAAGTTTCTTAGTTGCGGATCTCGAAGGCAACATACATCTTCCTCCGTCAGGGTGATAGGAGAATGCTCCATCGTCTCTGCAGTTGGCTTCTCTGAATAGCTCACTGGAGCCGAGGAGATCTTTTCCCCTTCGGATTCGATATCATGATCACCCATAATGGCAAATATTTGCCCTGTTGAAGAATTCAATGGGCTAAAGTAGAGGAGAGACTGGTGTAATTGTTGAGTGGTGAAATAACAAACTGATCTGCCAACGAGAGCATCTTGCCTCTTTATATATCTACCCCAGAAAGTGTCAAGCTATCCACATGGCAATCTGGGGTAAGACCCACACGCGAGTGTCGCGTAGCCCTTGTCGATCCCTCCTACCAAAAGCGGTAATTTTGAAGTGGACCCAACACTGTAGTAGAAGCTTATCGACTCAAAACTTCCTAATTAGGTAGCCAAATCAAACTATTTACTATCATGAATAGAGTTACAATCATACTCTCCGCGCAATCCTTCCTTCCTTACCGAGGTTTCGGAGCAGCGGATACAGTGGTGGCGGCGTAAAGTCGCTTCCCGCGAAAAGATAATGAATGTGGGCCGCCTTCGATAGCCTGCCACGCCGCCGTTGCCCCCGAGGATTTTTATTCGTAGGTTTGAGGTCTACCCAACGATGATCGGCACTCTAATCAATGCGATTCACTTTCTGGCAGAGGCTCACAGAAGTACGTGGCAATACGCTACCTGTATCGGATACATGCTCTGGCTAACTACGGTACCTATGGGCTGAGGCTATGTTCTGTAGCGTCACTCCTCCGATGATAGACTTGAGGCTCAATCGGTCTAAATTCTATCTATGCTATCTATTTTATCACAATCAACCATCCTCTATTGCCAGTCACAAGATATGGCTTATCATGTCCCAGGATTACAGATTGGGTTAGGCCGCGTGCTTTCCGTTATCCTCCGCTCCTCCTGTCCCCCCCCCCATCGTCGCCCTTTGCGATTTGCAAGGCCACTTTCAGGTCGCCACCGCCCTTGCATCCGGCTCTCGCCCTTCACCTCCCGTAGACTACTGCAATTGCTTTTCAGCTAGCGTCCTGTTATCCGCCGCACCCTAAAACCAGGCGGCATGTTCTGGGAAATGTTTCTCTATGCTCTCTGGGTCGCTGTCTGGCCAGGCTTTCGCCATCGCCTTGCACATCTCTTCGTACAGGACTTTATACCCAGCAGGGTTGAAGTGGAGGCCTATGAGGAGGGAGGGGGTTGTCAGCGACATTATTCTTAAAGTTTATACCTACGAGGCGATAGAATCAAGGCGAAAGCAAGGCGGCTTTACATACCGTCGTAAAGCATCTCAGCCAAAGCTGGGTTCTTGCCTGTCTTCAGACTGCCGGCGAGCACTCCTTCGCCGGTCCATCCCGCACGCGCCATCATCGCAGTCCAGAGATCGCAGACGACCACCGGCCTCCCTTTCGCGATAAGGTCCTCGCCGACTTCCTTTCCTACTTGGGCATACGCTCTCGAGGTTTCAGCACATCGGCCCCTGTCTACCGTTCCATCAGCGCGTGTTACTTCTGGGCGCTGGTACTCGTCCACGGGTGGTGTAGTGACAAGGATGATCCTCGGGTTGTGTGCAAGGACCGATGGATGGGAGAGGATAGATACGAGGTTCTCGCGGTATCTATCTATCGAGACGAGCTGCTTGCTAGCGCCGTCGTCGAAGGCGGAGTCATTGGCGCCAAAGAAGAGGGACTGGAATCTTATTAATGGATGAGGTCTATATGGGGTGAAAAGTGGGAGGTCTATACCAGGTACTCAATCTTCGGTGAGTTAGCTGGGGAGGGGAAGACATAATCGATAATGGCTAGACCTTGCTCTGTCTGATATCCGCTGGGAAGATGTCGGCACATATTTACAGAACTGGACGCAGGCGCACCGATGAGTGGTAAACCTACTTTAAACCACGGTTCACAACATCCAAGCGGCGCATATAGTCTAAAGTCCTCTACGTCAGTGAACTGGACAAATAAAGTAATTCTATGTCAACGAAAGCGGCAATGTTAAGTCCCTTTGGCTAACCATCATTGACATGAACAAGGACATCAGGGAGCACTACCATGGGCCAACTGTGCAGCAAGCGCGAATCCTCTCGACTGATCAAAGGCACCCTGGGTAATAGAGTCTCCAAAGAGAACAAACTGCTTATACGGAAGCTATAATAGTATTAGTCGTGCTATCTCGCTTTCACAAAATCAATTCAGCCTCAACTCACTATAGACGCTGTTGCAAGAACGTCTTTCACGGGAGCTTTGAAAGGAGGCATATTGACAGCGTGAGATATTAGTGGAAAAGATAAGCCGACCACTCTTTACAGAGGTTAAAGACAGAGAAATCAGAGGTGATCGATCAATCTCACAAATCACTGTTGATATGCGTGTGTGGTGATTGGAAATATAAGTAGCTGCCAAGTAAAGTATATTTATTGGTGGGGAATCAAAAATTAAAACCACCAGTTGTATTATTCTCATATCCTGTCTATACTGTATAGTTTGCCTCAATTAGGAAACAGGGCCTCCCGTGTAAGGCTATACCTTTTTGGGGTATGGCGTTCTTCAAGATCCAACCTGTAGCCTAATTAGGCAATATCGTGATCTATGATACCCCGCACCACCGCCACCAACGCCGTAAATCAGTGCATTTGGCTCAACAGACTCGCCGGTCTCATTACGACCCCCTGGATGCCCCTGTCGATGACGATGAGGCCGGAGACTGCGAATCAGTAGTTTGGTGGGTGACCACCAGCAAATACTCACTGTTGTATGTATTTTTTTTTTTTGCGGATCCTCTGAATAATAGTTTCAATTGTACTGAGGGGTATGGCATGGAACGTAAACCCTTGCCGCCTAAGGGGTGATCTTGGTATATAACGAAGGTAATAGAAAGCCGAGGGGTGAGTAGGGTAAATGAGAGGGGTGAGGCAGAAGATAAAGTAGTGTTCCTGATGGCAGCTACGCGGGTGAAGAAAAAAGTGGCACGGTTCTTGGCACTGCTCGGAACACCACGAAAAGAGCGGTGAAGCTCACAGCTGAGCTTTATAACAATAATTGTAGACTGCTGTAACGTATTTCACGAGCGAGTGGCCCACACGGGCGAGTGGCCCACCAAAACACCAAAATTGACTATTACTACGTACTACTACACCACTACCCTACATAATGACCCTTATTATTGAATCCTCATGCCTCGTACATGTACGGGAGTTATGGCCCATAATACCACATAAGCCACAGCGCTTCTGTCGGCCCTTAGAGCCTACCTGCCGACTACTCTCACTTGCCACCTCCGTACGGAGTTGAGCATCAACCTCAGCACTCTGAAGAATATCCTCTCCCTCTCGTACGGAGAGACTACCCCCCTGCATTATACGCCTCTTGCGCTTCCTTTCCCTCCTCTTTTTCTGTTCATTTGCAGCCTATAGAGCCTTAACTTCTGCTTTGAGTAGAATAGCAGAATGCATCATAACCTAAGCTCCTTTAGCAAGCTGGCTTAGAGCGTCATTAATTAAGGTAGGAGAGCTATTCTGATGTCGTATAACACGGTTCTTAATATGCTCTGTTTGAAAATCAAGCTCCCTTATAGTTTAAGGAGTCTTTGAAGTCTAATTGTTACGCTTAACTATAGGAGGAGTTAGAGTTCTTAAATGTAGATTTAAATGAGAGAGAACACTCTGCGGCTTGTACAGAACTAGTCCTATAGCTCGGAACCTACTCTTAATGTTCTGCTCTATAAATGTAGCTTTAAATGCTTCTTTAAATGTAGAGAGGAACTTAAGCTTTATAATGTAGTTTAGCTAGTTCTATACGAAGGTTTTAATCTGCTTTCTATACGAAAGCTTTAGTAGTGCAAAGCAGCTTACATTAAGAGGCTGAAGAATATGCGACAAGTGTAGTAGCATATAGAGGGTAATTATCTTCTATTCTATATAGTAGTGTTGAAATTAAGTAGAGATGTAGCTCTTATGTCCGTTAAGAATAAGAAGGTAATAGGTTCTAATCGTACAAGTGCTTATATGTCGATCGAAGTATTGAATCTACTTGTACCTAATTAAATTTAAAGTCTACCTATTCTCACTTAGCGTAATTACCTAATCATCTAGTAATCCTAAGTCCTTATATCATGTAGAGAGGTAATTCTACGCCTTGAAAATAATGAACGGCAGGAGTGCCTATCTATACGAATTAACACCTTAAATAATTAACACCCACTCTCTATTTCTAGGCTATATAGTCTTTAGACAACTCTTTGCTTCTAAGCTTATAACTACCTTAGCAGTAGCAATAACTCCCATTGCAAAACCTGCTTCATTAAAGTTGTAGATATCCTGCTCTAAGATTCTATATTTTGCAATTGTGTTTTGTACAAGGGCAAACCACCCTTTAATTAACTTAGGATCTTCGTATTTTGCTCTTTTGTAATCGTACTTCTGACTAAACTTTGCTTTAAGTTCCGTATAACGCTTAATGAAGGTAGTAGTCCAGTTTATCCTAACAGGGCTTATGCCTCGTTCGGAAAGTAGAAGGTCTGCCATTTCTTGCACACCTTGTGGCTAGGGCGGAAATCCACGTGAATCTAGGTCAAGGATGTACCGAACAAGAGCTGACTCTTCGTATAGAGTCAACTTCTGTGAGTTAGGGGTAGAGTCGCGTCGGGAAGCCATTCCTTGAATTCGTCGACGTAGTGTCGTTCGAGGGATATCGTACGATGCTGCAGCTTCTCGAACACTTTGAAATTGGCCTTGTTTAATTGCACTAATAGCGAATAGTATTCTACCCTCCTGATTAGAGGATTTGGCTTGTGTTGGTTGCGGCATGTTAACTGTAATTACGTTGACGCGTTCCGGTGTTTTGGTGGGCCACTCGCCCGTGTGGGCCACTCGCTCGTGAAATACGTTATATAGTAATTAATTCATTTATAATGGCTGAAACCCCTCTGCTTTCAAATCCCTAATGACGACGTACAGTGGCAAATAGCAGCCTATCATAGGACTCCTGCTCGAGCGAAGGTGCTTGGTGCTATTGAATATCTTGAAAAGCGACAGCTACGAGTAAATAAGACAGACGTCTTCTGGGCCTTTAACGTCCCTTTACGAACAGGGTGGCGGATAGTCCGAGACGGCTCTCGGACTCTTCATAATAGTCCTGTAAGAGTTGAGTCTCGAGGACGGAAGCCAAAGATTACACCTGAACAGCTCCGTGCTCTCGACTTATTCCTACGGACTCACGGCTTTGAAGGGCGGCGGCTACGATGGCTAGAACTCGCAGAGCAAGTTGGAATTATAGGGGTTAATGCTTGTACAATTGCGATTACTCTAGGCTACTCTTATGACTACGCAAGCTGTATTTCATGTCGAGTATCATGGGTATCACTTTCTGCAGCACGGAACCGCCTACAATTTGCAATAGATATGTTACGGAAATATCTACGGGCAGAGGATTGGCACCGAGTACGCTTTTCCGACGAGGTTCACTTCTCTCTAGGGCCTGAAGGAAGAGTGAGAGTCCTACGCTGGTTAGGAGAGCGGTATTGCGGTGACTGTATTCAAGTGGTAAATGAGCCCCGAGACTCATAACGGAATAGGATCCATTGTTAGGCTGCAGTAGGATATAATTTTAAATCCGATATCTATTTCTATACAACGAAGAATCGGAACGGCAAAATGAGACAAGAGGATTATATTACGCAAATACTCGAGAAGGCTGTAAAGCCGTGGCTACAACAGGGTGACGACTTTGCTTTAGAAGAAGACGGTGATAGTTCTCACGGCCCTACGAATAATAGAAATATCGTACAGAAGTGGAAAGAAGAGAATAAGCTCGAATACTACTTCAATTGCGCTCAAAGTCCAGACTTATCTAATGGAGGCGCCACGGGCATACCAGTTTAGAAGCTACATTAGTGGGCTTGGGTAATACAGTAAAGAAATAGCAGCTCCTGCTTGCATCACCTTCTTCTCACATTATACACTTCCAATGTGCTGATTGTGACTAAATATGACACTGATACGCTCTACATTGCCAGTGACAGAATCTGTCCCAGTTCAAAGCCATGACTCAATTAGTTATGATATAGCAAAAGCAATAATCTTTGATAACATCGACAGCCATGATGCCGACCTGCAAGGCATCAATCACAAGGTAAATGAGTTCTATCTCCGACTTCTACACTTCTACCAAAATAAAGCCAAGAAATAACACTTACACTCACCTAGATCCACGCCAATCCAGAACTTTGTTTTGAGGAATTCCAAGCTCATGATAACCTTGCCGACTTCCTCGAATCCCACAACTTCACGGTCACACGCCACGCCCACGGCCATCCTACCGCTTTTAGCGCCGAGTTTGGTTCCGGCGGCCGCGTTCTCACATTCTGTGCAGAGTACGATGCGCTCCCGGGAATAGGCCATGCCTGTGGCCACAACCTAATCGCCGTCACTTCTGTCGCCTCATTTCTCGGTATTGCAGCAGCTCTAGCCGCCTCCTCGATACCAGGCCGCGTTCATCTGCTTAGAACACCAGCAGAGGAGGGCGGCGGTGGAAAAATCAAATTGATTGATGCCGGAGCCTTCAGCGACGTGGATGCAAGCATGATGATCCACCCCGTGGGCAAGGATGCAGTTCCTGCCGGCACCGCGGGTGTTGCCTATGGTACTTGTCTCACAGGTCAAATAGGGAATGTGGAATTTACGGGGAAGGCAGCCCATTGTGGGACGGCGCCATGGGAAGGTATCAACGCATTAGATGCGGCTACGCTTGCATATAGTGCCACTGGGATGCTCAGACAGCAGATGCGACCCGAGAATCGAAGTGGAATTGTTATCAAGGAAGGTGGACAGAAAAGCAATATCACGACGCCTCACACGACAATCGAATACAGTATTCGGACTCGTACTCTGAAAGAAGCTAAGAGTATCAAGACGAGGGTGGAGAACTGTTTTAGAGGTGCAGCGTTGGCAACTGCGTGTGAAGTTGTTTTTAAAGATGCGTACGTTATACCTGAGCTCACGTTCATTCTGAGCTTGCAGAACTGCTCTCAGATCATAAACTAATTGCAGCTTCTAGTATGGGCGTGTACGCAGATCTGCGCTCAAACGAGACTCTCTGCAACGAGTTCACTTCGGCAATGAGCGAGCTTGGGGAGCTATATCACAGCAACATCGCCAGTAACACGGCAGCGTCGTTTGGCACTGACATGGGTATGTGTTTCCGGGTTCCTCATCAATATTCTTTATTTCCCCACTTCAGCGGCTAACGGAAACAAGGTAATGTCTCTCACGTTGTCCCTACATTCCACGGTCTCTTTGCTATCGCAGCCGCAAAGGGCGAGGCAAATCACACGCCCGACTTTAAAAGAATTGCTATTTCAAACGAGGCATATAAGAGTGCAATAAATGCAGCTAAGGGCATGGCGATAACAGGTTGGAAGTTCTTGGCAGATGATTCAGTAGCTGAAAGTATATTATTGGATTTCGAGAGGTTGAGTCAATTATGAAGATGCAGCAGCTGTTTAAGATCTAAGTAAGTACTTAGATATTAAGACGTATACCGATAGGTGCAAATGTGCACCTAGAATTTAGATGTCCTTACAACATCCTACCAATGGCAATTATTTTGTGTCGTTATCCCTCACAGAGAATAAGCAAGGGTCATTCTGCAGAATAATCCACCAAGTGCACCGCCCTAATTCTTGACCTACTAAAAGCTTGATATCGATGGGTTAGTGGTTGGGTGAGTGGCCATCAGACTGTCGTATCTTCGGCAGCCGAGAACCTACCAACAGACAAGCATCTCGAGATCTATGTATGTGGATTTCCAACAGTCTGCTGCAGTTTTCTTTTCGCTTTTTCCATTTCTGCTTCTCAGAGATGTTATATCAGGATTTCCTAGATATATATAAAGCTGGTTGATCTGAGTTGATCCATATCACCATTGTGAGGTTTGTCATCCAATACACGACCCCTTTCATGAATTAGCCGACAACCTCACACCCTTCCTCTTCATCTCTCTCCTTTCGCTCTTTTTCCTCCTTCTCCAACCTCATCCCCAACTCAAGCATCCAATCCTTGCCCCCGGACTTCGCAATAATATACCCCCCATTCCTCTCCGGCGCCTTCACAATCCTGATCTTCAATGGCGAGTACTCCTTCTCTACGACCAGAATCTCGGGCTTGCTGTCTTCATCTTCACTGTTTTCCTCGCTCATATTCTTGTTGTTCTGGCTTTGAGCTTCGACTTCTGAAATCATGGCGGCGAGCATGGGGCTGATATTCTGCGTGGTCGTGTCCCGCTTGGCTTTGGGTGGCAAAAGTTGGGTTTGTTTCTGGATTCGACAAGTGGGACAGTTCTTTGTGGTTGTTTGGTCCGAGGATAGAGTAAGGGGGGGATTTTTTGGGCGCCCTATCTCACCAAATAGGGGATTGTCTATTAACCTGTCAGTTCCGCATCTTACCTCCATAACACAGGCCTCAACGCTGGCAAACACTTACTCTCCACACCATGCTTTCTCTCACTCAGCCTCTCCGCAATAGCCCTTCTCCTCTTCGCCTTATGCGCCAAGCTGATCCCTCTCTTATCCACCAGCGCCATCGTCTCCTCGACGCGCTGGACCATTGTGTCGAAGCATCCCGTCTCGGGGAGCGAGACCATGATTGATGACTGGGATTTTTGGAATATGTCGATAGCAGCGTCGATTGCGGGTGATTCATCTATTTCAGAGAGAGATAGACGCCTCTTTCGGGGCTTGGGTGTTGGAATCGACATATTCACATGTAGGTGGTTGGTGCGACGGTTAACTGGGCACCAGGAGGTAGCTATTGAGCGAGCTATGATCAGTCAGTTCTATGTGTGTATTGAGATTCAGAAAATGAAGTATGGGTACATTTTTCAGTGGGTGTATGCTGAAGTGCAGCATGTTTTGGTGGTAATATCATTGTCTTCGGGCCTTTTATCTGTGGCGATGATAAACAAAACGATAGGCAAGTGAAATTGAAACGGTCCGGATTAATTTTTATCTACCGGAGGTAGTGGATCGATATGAGGAAGCAAGATTGTAATAAGCAAATGGGGTGTGGTGCTGTTTGTTTTGGTTTGGAAGATAGTAGCGGTGCAAGCCTGTCCTGTTGCCAGTCGCTAGCAGAAGTGAATCTGAGAACAGCGTCTGGAAATTTTGTTTTGGGACGGATAAGCAGTCGGGATAAGGAACGTAAGTTACTTATCTCTTGCAGCCCAGATTATATATTATGAATATATTCTTTCACCTACAATATCTATCCGCTGGTCTCAGTTTATACACAGCCATACCTCCCCTTCATTGGAAATATTTCATCCAGGCCTCAAGCCAGAAACCCATATCATCGTTACTTCGGCTTGTCGTAGTCATGAAACGCTCGCTATCTCTCACGTCGACTCCCAAAAAAAATTGCCATCATTTTGTCATTTATAACTTCTGCTTCCCTCCAATCACGCCACCATCCTTCCTCCCCTCCTCAAACTGGTATCCCATTGCCACTGGGCTCGCTCCCGCCCCCGCAACCCCATTCGGCAACTTCACCATCCTCGACGTGAAGAACACCGGATGTTGAGACGCAGCGTCATACTGCGGTCGTATTTGCTGTGGCATCACTCCCATGGGACGATTCGGCTGCTGGTTCATCGGTGGGGGAATTTGTTGTTGCGGGACCTGGCAAGACGTTAGAAGCTGCCAAACATGGTATTATAACTGAGCGCAAGCATACCTGTGGCCGCCGACCCTGGAGACTCGAAATCATCCTATCCCGTCGGAGCTTAAAGGTGTCTGCCTCGCTCCCTTGCTTCGCAGCTGAACAAGCGGTGGCAATTGAACCTTGGAACGGGCTCAACGTGCTGATGATAGCAGAGGGCAGTGAGATGTGAGAAAACAGACGGCTGTTTATTTCACATTGCTTGATTTCGTTTTCTACAAAACCGTCCGACTTGTTCGAGCAACTATGGTCGTGCGAGCGTGTATGGCGGCTGTGGGGTAGCTCAGCCGCGGCTCAGCCTCGGCTTCTTGCTTGTGATGTCATATTTGCCGGTTTAGACGTTTGACGCGCTTTTCTATTGGGAGGGATTTGATTTGAGGGGAAAATAGAGTTGATATATGCTTGAAAGGTAGAGTTAATATTTTACGATTTTACACAGAGAAATACACAAAGCCCAACGTAATTTATTTATTTTGTGCAGTTTCTTTCTAAATATTTTAATATATGGTGAAAATAAAAATAGGGCTCATGTTAAACCCACTTCGCTCTCTATTATCCTATCTATTATTCCGGTAAAATAGCTAAGTTATTGAGACCAATTGCGCCTCTACAATACATACAATTTTGATAGAATATTCTTTCCCAGTCATGCTAATATCATACTGTAATAACTTAGTTTCGATTGTTGGTTAGTGTTCCTTTTGTAGGTAGCTCCAATTCGGAATAGCGCCGAATGGTGGGGTTGGGTCCAGGTTTCTGTACCGTCTACCGTAGAATCTCGCGTATTTCCAGCTAAGAGTATATCTCGTCGACGAAAACTTCTTCCTTCCTCTCTCTCCAACTTATTCTTCACATCAAGAATTTTTCTACCTTCTTTCGTAGCCCAGTCTACCAAGAACGGTCAGTTACTTGAAGGTGGTTTAAAGCAACCTTGTCCACGGATTTAAAGCATTGAATCAGGTGGCCCATCGGTGCTGGACACTGCTCAAAGGCACATCATCTCACAGATGAGGCAGTCATAAAGCTAGGAAGATGGTTGGTTCTTCAGCGAGAACCTGCCATCGCACGCTAACTGGTGCAGGCCTTCAGAGGAGCTAAAGCGATGTCTACAGCTGGCTTCGAGTCACGTATGGAAGATGTCAAACCGTCTAAAAGGTATGTCAAGATTCTTCTTCTGTCCGTTCACAGCACCTTCATCTCGTGGGCATCATATGATGAGTTTCAATCAACTGGGAATCTCTCCGAGAAATTTCGAATGTGGAAAACTTATAAGTTGTTTCTGAAAACCGCCCTCAACTACACGTGTTTGAACGAGGATCACTGCCAATGAAAGTCCCAGTATACTAACGTTGGTGACAATAGTGATCTCAATGTTTTGATACTTGATTATCTTACTGCGGAAGGCTATCCAACTGCTGCTGAGAGGTTCTCCAAGGAGGCTAATCTGAACCCTGCGAAACAACAAGATTCAGTGATTCTTCGCAACAGAATACAGCATGACATCCACCTTGGCAGTATACAGAATGCCATTGAAGCAATCAACGAGCTCAACCCTCAGGTTAGTGACAGCACTTATTTCATACTTCCTCTCCCTTTGCGATGATTATTGTTTCATGCACCACGCATATAGCCTTCGGGTCGTTGATGAGAAAAACAAACCATACTTCAGTCCTCAGTATGAGCAAAACCAAATCCCTTTACTTCATTACATTACACTAGATCAGGACCTGTTCTAACATTGTAATCAGATTCTTGACTCGGATGTTTCGCTCCACTTTGCCTTACTTCGTCTGCAGCTCATTGAGCTCATTCGGGAAAGTTCATTGACGCCAGGCGGAAGCATTGGTCCTGCCTTGACCTTTGCTACCACCCAGCTCGCGCCCAAAGCGCCGAACAACCCGGCCTTCCTCGAAGACCTGGAGAGGACAATGGCGCTCTTGATCTTCCCTCCAGATCAACTTGAGCCACAGCTCGCCGAATTGCTACACCCTGACCTTCGAAAGAAAGTCGCTGACAGAGTTAACGAAGCCATCCTGGCCAGCCAAGGCCAAAGACGTAATGCTGCGATACGAAACCTCGTAAAATTGCGCTCGTGGGCCGAAGGGGCGTCCAAGGATGCAAAGATAACCTTGCCAGAGCAGCTTGACCTTGCCCTCGGCGGAGATGTTCCAGGTGCGGACAGAGCCGTGCAATGATACATATGAGCCTATGACCGTGTAATACAACTTACTAATGATCTGATGAAGAGGCGTTCTGATAGTGCAATGGTCACAGTGGGAAGCTACATGTGTAGTATAATATTGCAAGGCGTTTCAGGATTGATTTCAACGAGAACAATACAAATTTATAACAAATTGAACCTTGTCTTTGAATTGTGAGTGATACATATGTCTGTCGAAATCCATGAAATGCCGCACAGGAACTCACTCAGGAACTCGTTCTGTGCCGATTTGCCGGGGGATTGTTGCACCGAGACAGACCCCGACGTCATTGGTACTGATGTTAGCGTCCCTGTCAAGGTCAACCAACAACTGGTATTCGACCGGCCAATCCGGTCCCAAAACGCGGCTCAGCCAAATATTCCATTCGTTGTCAAACTTCACCAGCTTGTCAATAACACCCAGATTCCCCAATATCTGGCATTGATGTTTAGCGCGCAATAGAGCCGTTTTGATTCTTATGTTTGTCGGTCGTTTCCGGTCAAAGACCTCAGGACCATGCTCCGATCACCTCGCATCGCGTCCCTCGTCTCTCCAAACAATGCTGCGATATTAAGAGCCCGAGCTCTCCGGCAGCTACCATCAGCTAGGGGACGCGCGATTCAATATGCATCTCAAGTCTCGAGAGGACCGCATACCTTGCGAAAGCGGCCACAGGTTGCTGGCGCGCTGAGAAGCTCCAATTGGCGACACCTCTCTCATACACCAATTCTATTGTCGCCAGGCAAGCAGGTACTGAAAATCAGGTCGAGAACCCTCAATTTCGTGTACAGAGCCGCGGCATGGTTGGGCATTTCGGTGACGGTTGCGTCAGCCGGTATCATCAGCTTCTTCCTGTACGATGCGTCGACTTATAGGGAAGACCTCTCACACAGGGACATTCAGATATCCGATCTAGCCCTGAACCCCAAACTCGGCGGTCCGAAGAACTTACCCATTGCTGAGGTTCTCATGGACGATGAGGACGACGCTGATATGGAGCGCCAGCAGAACAAGCCGAGACTGGTTATACTGGGAGGCGGATGGGGAAGCGTGGCTTTGATCAAGGAATTGAGAGTCGAGGACTACCATATTACTCTGATCTCGCCGACAAATTACTTCTTATTTACGCCTATGCTGCCGTCTGCGACTGTGGGAACGCTGGAACTGCGTTCTCTTGCTGAGCCTATACGACGAATCGTCTCCGATATCAAGGGCCACTTCATCAAAGCTCGCGCCGAAGGTGTCGAGTTTTCAGAGAAGTTGGTTGAAGTGTCTCAGGTTGGCGCAGATGGGAAAAGAACCCACTTCTACCTGCCATACGACAAGCTTGTCATTGGCGTGGGATCAACAACGAATCCCTATGGCGTCAAGGGCCTTGATAACTGCAACTTTCTGAAAGACCTCGACGACGCTCGGAAAATTAAGCACAAGATTCTAAACAACCTCGAAGCTGCCAGTCTTCCTACTACATCTGAAGAAGAGCGAAAGCGCCTTCTTTCGTTCGTTGTTTGTGGTGGCGGCCCAACAGGTGTCGAATTTGCTGCTGAGTTGTTCGATCTTCTCAACGAGGACCTGACACAATACTTTCCCCGACTTATTCGCAATGAAGTGTCGGTACATCTTATCCAGTCTCGAGGCCACATCTTGAACACTTACGACGAAGCAGTGTCAAAGTACGCCGAAGACCGCTTTTCTCGCGACCAAGTCCAAGTTCTCACCAACTCTCGCGTGAAAGAAGTCAGGCCTGACAAAATTCTCTTCACACAACAGGATGAGAATGGAGAGACTATAACTAAGGAACTCCCCATGGGCTTCTGTCTATGGTCTACAGGTGTATCACAGACAGACTTTTCCAAAAACGTCGCCCAAACCCTCGGTGACAACCAAAAGAATAAACGTGCTCTAGAAACCGACTCTCACCTCCGACTCATCGGCGCACCATTGGGAGATGTCTACGCCATCGGCGACTGTTCCACCGTCCAAAACAATGTCGCGGAAAACCTCGTCTCCTTCCTCAACAACCTAGCCTATGAGAAGGGAAAAGATCCCAAAACAATGCATATCGAATTCGACGAGTGGATCAAAGTTGGACGCCGCATTCGGCGCCAATTCCCACAAGCCTCGGAACATCTGAAGCGCCTAGATAAGCTCTTCGAGGCCTACGACAAGGATCAGTCTGGAACTCTCGAGTTCGGCGAAATGCGCGAACTGCTGATGCAGATTGATAAAACGCTCACTTCGCTCCCCGCCACCGCCCAACGCGCACACCAACAGGGCCAGTACCTAGCTCATAAGTTCAACAAAATGGCGCGCGCTGCGCCGGGCTTGACAATGAACGAGGTGCGCGATGGCGATTTGGACGATGCTGTGTATAAATCCTTCAAGTATCATCACCTTGGTAGCTTGGCGTATCTTGGGAATAGCGCAGTGTTTGATCTCGGTGGAGGATGGAATGTATTGGGTGGCTTGTGGGCAGTTTATGCCTGGAGGAGTGTTTATTTCGCACAGAGTGTCAGTATCAGAACGAGGTTGCTGTTGGCTATGGATTGGGCGAAGCGAGCGCTTTTTGGCCGAGGTATGTTCGGGTGTTCTAAATGAGTCGATTGTCGCTAATTATGCTGCAGATATGATGACCTTTTGATTTGGGGATGGAGACCTGTCAGAGTAGTTTTGTTGAAAGGGGTAGGTGTGTCTACGGTTTCACAGCGGCTGTGATGTTCTCTACGGGGCTGCTGGCAGAACGCAGCACAAGAATATGTACTGCGCCAGAAAAGAGAAATAGGAGCAACCATTGGTATGGATGACAGGCATATATTTAGATTCTGGCCTAAACAGCAGAAATAGATCAATATTGCGGACAAAGAAACTCTGTTTTCGAAGTGTCACTGCTGTGGTTGCGTTTGCTGTGCTAAAACTCTCTCTCTCACTATACTTCACCAAGACATATTTCATCCCTATCAGAGTATGTCAATATGTACACTAAAGAGACATACTTCTAGTTGCTACACTTTACTTGTTCACGTCCTTTGTTTGTTGCAGATTGCGGCACAGTGCCTTAGCGTAAGATGGCTATGTTCTCCTTTGTTGAGAGTTATATTTGGCTTTGAGTTTTCTTTCCACAAGGCTCCGTTGCGCGGGCTTCTGTGCATACTCAAGAGCACCTAGACCATTGGTCTCATCGAAGGCCCATGCTCCCTCTTCTAGAAACAGCCCGGCCTTCCCAGATATTCTTGAAAACTAGAGAATAATTCGTTGCACACGGCCTTTATCCCTTGTTTATTTATATATCCACAGAAGCTTGTAAGTACATCTAATGCGCGCTGCCCACCTGCTCTTTACGTCTTGCACGATCAACTCCGCTCAAATGGCCAACAGATACCAAAGACGAAACAGCCGCTTCCAAGCCAACCCCCACTTCACAAACACATATGTCCCCCGCCACCGCCCGCGCCCACCCCCCTACCAACCCCCCACACCAAACCACCACAGCGGTCCCTTCATCCCCACCCCTTCTTTCTCCCCAGACCACCATTTCCAGGCCATGAACTCCATCCTCGCCGAGCGTGCGTACCTCCTCTCATCCCTACAGCGGGAAGACGTCCGCGCGACAGCACTCCTCACAGTCATCGCGGACCTCAATGCGCGGATGGCATCGGGGCCGCCGACGCGCGGGAAGGAGAGGAAATTGATCAGGAGGGATTTGGAGGCGAAGAGACATGCGGCGGATGTGAGTGTGAGGCAGGAGAAGAGGATTTTGCAGAGGTTGGGGGAGGTGACGCTGGTGATTCAGCAGAGGGAGAGGTGGTGGAGGGTGGAGAGGGAGAGGGGGATGGGGGGTGGCTTTGGAGCGGAGGCGAGGGTAGAGGGGGGAATGGGTAGGAATGCTTGGGGGGGTTGGAATGGAGCTGATGTGGTTTCGTGGAATGGTCAACAGGTTCAGTATGAAGGCCAGCTACAAGGATATTATGGTGGTCAGGGATGGGTCCAGCAGGTATCACCGCCGGGGTATGTGATGGTTACTCCGCCAGCATCGACGGAAGGTGGTGGGATCATAGGTTGCAATGACTGGCAGTTTCCAGTTCCGGTTGACAGCTCCAGCGACTGGAATATGTCTCGAATCTCGGGGGCTGATGCGATGGAGCACAAGCCAGTGCGGGTGGCAAGATCGGATTCAATGGTTGAGGTTGCAGCAGGTCGTAGAAGAGCGCAGAGCAGCATGAGCATGCCGGATTTAGGCTCCAGCTCATGGGGAGGCGACTGTCCCCAGTACCTGGGTTATTATTCTCCAGGATGCTCGCCGGAAATGACTGGTGGATCGGTCAATTAGCATACATGTGCTCGAAGACACGATGGAATGAGAAGCGCGCTTGTACTGTATTGCATATTTGTTGTCTTGGGTATATTTACAATAGTAACAGCACATATTCATCCGCTCCAATTAACTCTCGTTTCTTCGTCACTGAAATTCGCCAAATTCCCCATCATCGAATCCAAGATCCCCGATTGAACCAGGTGCAGGCGGAGTTTGCGTCTGGCTTAGCCTTTTCTGCGCCTTCACATCCTGGGCACTTGGAGGAGGGGGTAGGAAACCCGCTTGTGCATTCGGCGGTGGTGGCAATGAAAACCCTCCACCAGAAGAGGATTCGCTGCCACCGCCGCTCGATGATGCGCCCAAAGATCTCCTGCCCTTGCCTGTCTTTCCACCAAGGTTCACAGTTATAGTCTGCCCTTCCTTGAGGCTGAAGTCGCGTTCCACTTTGCTAGCATCTGCATCCTTCTTCGCAGGCCTACGCGGGTCTCCAGCCACGACATCAAGGCCAAGTGTCTTGCGAATTTCCTGCAGCGCAACACTGAAGTCAAAAGCATCCGACCTCTCCTCAAACCCAATTCCCAACCCTGCTTTCCTCCCACTGGGGTCTTGGACCCTGACAGCAAAGAACCGACTCGAGTCCGCCACCTGCTCCACCACAGCCGGCGTCGTATACGGCGCCGCCGCAAACAGCTCTCCTGTCTTCGGATCCTCGAGCAGGATATCAGCCTTCAGCTTCTCGCCGCCTTGGGGGGTAGGTATCGCGGTTTCGAGGATGCGGAGGCGGGCGGTGAAGATCTGGCGCGACACGGGAGAGGTCCATGATGCGGCAATGTGGCCCTTGCTGGATGCTGGGGGAGGGGGGTTGTAGACATGGACGGTGGGAGAGAGGAAGAGGATGCGCTGGATGGAGTCGGGAGGGAGGCGGGTGGAAGTGGTGGGGTCGATGAGATCCATTGCTTCGCGGGGCTGCAGTGGATGTTTGGCGTGAGGCTTTTTCTACAGTTCGAGCTGGTTGTTTATTGGCATAGCGGTTTCGAGCGAGTGGTTAAATTCAATTTATCTGAACGAATGGCGCGGTCTTTCCATGCGAGTATGCTGTGAGAGGTGACATGTTTGAGATAGCACATGGCGGGGTTAGGTAGGCGGCCGTTAGCGTCAAAGCTTAATCTCACGTTTGAGCTACAAAACGAGAGAGATCACCATAATTGTCACCTCAAACTCACTAGCTACCCAATTCACGCCAGGAATTACTTGAAGCGATTCACATCCCAAGTAGTTACTGATGCCAGGAGTTGGCTCTTATGGGCCTAGTAATGGAGTGCAGAGATATATCCTCCAGCATCTCCCTATTATAATAGTGCTTGCACCTTTCGCACAACACTTCATTCACGTTGAGTTTGAACTAAAATTTATCAATGTGATATCCAAAGATCATTTTAGCTCAACAACTGTAGTAAAATTCTTTCTCTTCAAATTATTTTGCTTTTTATTGCTGCCACGGTGCTATTTCTCTCGGTTTCTACCCTTGGACTTGCGAAACAAGTCAAATCTTCAACCCTCTCTGTTTATTTCCAATTACTGGCTCCCAATGAATTTACCTTTGTGGTAGATCCTCTTATACTGCTCACCTTTTTTCTAGCTATTACCTGATTTCTCATTAGTGATAAGATCTGGGCCTCCAGTCCTATCACTGTTTCCTCTGAACTCCGGGTCTCTTACAACACCACAAGCTGGTCTCCGCCCAGGCAGCTTTTACCGTTACTCTTGTCCCGTCACTGCCATTTGGGGCCCGACTTCGAAGGGTACCTCTTTCATCGCAGGATTTCTGTCACGATGGAACAATCTGGAACAGAACGTCATACTCCACCGACCACCCAACCCAGCCAAGGTCTATCAAGTGGCGAAGATATCGAAGATGAAAGGCCGCCAAGAGGGGGTTTATTCGTAACCCCAGATCCTGACGACGACATAAGAATGCAGGGTCACACTGAAGAACCCATCAACCATCCTCAAGTTCCCAACCCACACTTGAACGGCCATGACCCAAATCAACGCATTCGTTTGGCACAGGAGGCCATGAGACGGGAGATTTTACTCAAACGGAAATCGGGGACGGAATCCATCTTTGATGGAAGCGGCAGGGTAAAGATCCAAAGATCAAACCCCAGCACCGGATCATTTCATGGGGAGATTCCATTCACAGAAAATGCAGATCACAACGAGGAAGACCATTCCTGGATGGACGCGGATAATGATGGAAGTAGCACCGATGAACGAGAGGCTCTATTGAGGAACATGAACGCTCTGGAAGAGGCAAGGGAGAGGAACAACGGAGAATTGACTGGTAGCCAACAGCTGGAGTACCTCCAAGCCAGCCAGCGCCTCCACACTGCATCCCGACGGCTGCAAAAAGGCAAATCATCCTCTGGGCTAAGCATAGGAACAGCTGACATGCATGTCGATCCCATGAGCGACGATGATGATGCCGGAATATACCCTGAGATGGCGGAAGGGCTTCCAGATTTCACTTCTCAAAGCGAACCACTACTGGTGACGGCTGGAGGCCAAGCGAAACCACCACGGAAAAAAACCGTAAAGAGGACAGCACGAGACGTCCATAGCTCAAAGCAAGCTGCAAAGACAGAAGCTGCTGGAAATAGAGGTCGTGCACCAAAGAAAAGCAGGAAGCAGCCAGGCACTGTTCCCACAGGCGTCCACAAAACCACCTATAAAAGCAGGATGAGAAATAAATGGCCAGAAGTTGATGATACAGTACAGAAGCTCCTGGCAAGCCTCATTCAAAGCGATACTATCAAGGAGCGCATGGAACAAGGCGATGTTGAAGAAGGTCCTGATATCATCACAAACAATAAGGCCAGTCAGCTGAGAGAACTTCTCAGCAGCATCCCTCGAGATTATGACGCTAACAGAGCAAAAAATGAGAGAAATACATTGAATGAAGCATCGAAATCATTTGGTCATGGGCGAGTCAAAGCGAAAAATGGGAAATGGCTTCTGGTCGGCATGAAGACGCCACTGTACCATCACCAGCTACTGGCAGCAGATTGGATGGTTAGACGTGAGCTTTCCTTGGATCGGCCTCATGGGGGTCTATTGGCGGATGCTATGGGTCTTGGGAAGACTGTGTCGACTTTGGCCACGATGGTAGGAAATCCGCCGGCAGAAGAGGACATCGCAGAGATGAGAAAGGCTACGCTCATAGTAGTCCCGGCAAGCTTACTTTCACAGTGGGAGGCCGAAATTAAAGTGCATGTCGACGAGAAGATATTCCAAAAAGTCATGCCTTATAAATCGTCTTCAAGAATATCTACCAACATTCTCTCAGACTGTGATATTGTGTTGACGAGCTTTACAGAAGTTGCGAATAGCTGGCCGTTTCCAAGCTCTGTGGAAGACAAGGCTGATGCAAGTCTATTGGGAGAGGATGAGTGGGCCAATAATCGCGATTCCCTGAAAGGCGACTTACAGCGAGTCAAATGGTATCGAATTGTCCTGGATGAAGCTCAGGCGATCAAAAATTATAGATCACGGACTTCAATAGCTTGCCACAAGCTGGACTCAACTTACCGATGGGCTCTTTCAGGCACTCCCGTCTTAAACAGCCTCAACGAGCTCTATCCATATTTTCGCTTTCTTCGCATGAACTGGGCAAGCACTTTCCCTGTTTTCAAGAAAAACTTTGGAGATCCTGATGCCAACGATTCAACTAAGAGACTGAATGTCATGCTTAGTGTGATTATGATGTGAGTAGAAAAGTAATACCGGAGTGTACGTGGGCTAATCAATAATAGGAGGCGAACAATTGGATCCACAATACTTGGACGTCCTTTGGTTCAGTTGCCGCCAATTCATCCTTCTCTGCAGATTTTGAATCTCAGCGGAGTGGAGAGGGCAATCTATCGCACATTGGAAGACCGTTTCCGGGGAATGATGAACAACCACTTCAAGGCAGGGACGGCCGAAAAAAACTATGGGCTATATTTGACACAGCTTCTGAGGCTCAGGCAAGCCGCATCCCATCCTTTTCTGCTTGAGAGATGCATCAAGGACCTGTTCGATGCCGAGGATTTGCTGGGGCTTAAGCTCAGGCTAAAGCGTCTTAAGAAAGACAAACGTCCAATTTATGAGCAAATCGAACTCTGGACTTCAAAGCCTGCAACAAACAACGAACCGAAGCAAAGCGGTGACAGTGTTTCATTCGGGCGTTCTGACTTTGGAAACAAGTTCGATTTCGAAGGGTTTCTCAGTGAGGCTGATCACGAAAAGATCTATGCCCGCATCGTTTGCATTCTTTGCTCAGACCTACCTCAGGACCCTGTTAAGACAGACTGCGGACACATATTCTGCAGGGCCTGCCTTGAGGGAAACATACACGCACAGGCGGCTACGTTGGAGTTCGATTATACGGCTTGCCCAAAGTGCGAGAAAATATTCGAGCATTATGAGCCGTGGAGAAACCCTGATTCAAGAGGTAGCGATGACGGTGCTGGCTCTGAACGTTCAGATCCTTCATCAGGCCAACCCACCACACAAACTTTCAGAAGAAAAGATGCAAACTATAAGCCACACATCAAGGACTCAGAGTGGCTAAAAACATGCATCGAAAACCCTAAAAAGCTTCTGCCGAGCGCCAAAACCATTGCCCTCAAGGCTCAAATTCTCCATTGGGTACATGAGGCACCAGATGATAAAATCTTGGGTAAGAACATTCCCCATTTTTGGCCTTCCGTGCTGACTAACTGAAAATAGTATTCACGCAATTTCGAATGATGACAAGGATCGTGGGTTTGCTCTGCGAGAAGGAGCGCTGGGGCCACGTATATTTCACTGTAGGTCTTGTCAACCCGTTTCCACGGATTTCTGTACCCATCCTATAGATTTATCTGTCAGATTCGTAGCCACAAGCAGGTATAGCTAACACATGATCCAGGGCGATATGAACATGAAACAACGAACCCATGCAGTTGAGCAATTCCACACTGATAAGAAAATCAAGATCATGATCGCTGTTCTGAAATGTGGCGGAGTGGGTTTGAACCTGAAATGCGCCAATCGATGCATCACCATCGACCCCTGGTGGAACCGTAAGCAGTCGTCCTTCGCTGATTAACTACCCAGAGTAACTGACGCATCTCATAGACTCTGTGGAACAGCAAGCATTTGGTCGTATCTTCCGGATTGGGCAAATGAAGGAAACTCATGTTGCTCGATTTGTTGTGAAGAACACAGTCGACATGCGAATCCTAAACATGCAGAAGGAGAAGATGGCTGAGATTGACGGAGTCATGATAGAGGCCGGAAAGCCCCTTGATCCACTGAGTATTGAAGAAATGGCGAGCTTATTCGGTCACTTGGTGAAAGGTGACGATGGAATCACGCAGGTGGTCGCGGATTATGAAAGCGAGGCGGAAAGTGACGGGGACTATGAAGACGAGGGCCAGGTCGCTGAGGAGATTGCCGAGTAGCTGAGTGGCTTACGAAGGGGCTTCGGTCCATCGATTGCCGAAGAGGGCGCTGAGTGGGCGCGTGTTCGGGGAAGAGGTTTCGTTGGATCGGTCATTGAGGAGAGCGCCGAGTGGCGAGTGGTTCGAGAAGGAGTTTCATTTCGTCGATCATTGAGGAAGGTGCCGAGTGGGCGAGTGGCCTGGGGAGGGGTTTCTTTTGATTGATTATTGAGAGAGGTGGCGAGAAGGCGGGAGTTTCAATTTTCTGCAATTGAAAGGTGGCTGGCTATTCTCGTTTTCTGGGAATAAATGGTCGGGGAGGAGGAAGGGGGGTTTCAGTTTCCAATATTCTTTCCATATGGCCGTTTACCATACAGACAACATAGGTTTTGCCACCGAAATATTCTCTCTTTTATCATTCTCAACACGCGGGTTATCCATCGATGGAACTATAACCGCCGCAGCGATTCACGGGTACTGACATAGGCGACCTTACTTTAAATCAAACAATAGCTCAATCATCATAACTTTCTAAATTTGACTCGCTGTCTACGTGAATATATCCTTGGGCGAGATATGTGCAAGCCCTAACCAGCAGAACGTCATGCAGCGGCCTTCTTGCTCTTCTTCGATTTGGACTTTTTGTTCCCTGACGCCGTCTTCTCCGCCACATTTCCTGCATCGGTGCCAGACCCTTTTCCAACATCCTCTTGCGCAACCTCTTGCTCAGCCATCTCCTTCTTCTTTAATGCTCTCTTAACTGCCTCTTCTCTCTCGACTCGCTCAATCAGCTTCTCGCTCGCTTGCCAAAGCTTTTTCGCAGTCTCTTCATCCCTAACATCTTTCCTCGCCAAATCGACTTCTATACACTCTTTGATTAACTTGCCTCCGTTGCCCCTCCCCAAAGTCACATCCATAGCTGCATACAGTAAACTCTGCGCTCCTTGCTCGGCACTCTTCAAGAAAAGCCAGGCTTGGTGCCACAGGAGCACATAGAGTGCCAGCCCCCACAATGTGCCCCTACTTAACCAACGTCGCATTCCAGAAGTCCGTGAATATCCAGGGTCAACGAATACGACACGAGCATTCATGGGAAGGCCGTCTGGGCGTTTGTATGCATCCAGATGCTTCTGGAATGCCTGGCCAAATACCATCAGGGCCAGCTTGCTTCGCGCATAGGCCTTCCCTGGGCTCCACTTTTTGGCGTCAAGGGCTTCTTCTCCATCTTCCAACACCGGGGATGAGATATAACTCGAGCAAGTTGTGAAGAGAATCCGCACGTCTCTGTCCGGAGGCTGTGCTCGTATCGCAGGGCTCAAGATACTCAACAGATGGAAATTAGCCAGATAGTTGACCATCCATGTCTCTTCGATTCCTTCATTCGTCAGAGCCATTGGTTTTCCTGGAGGTGTTTGGCTGGCGGCACAGAGGACGATCATGTCAAGTCGCCGAGGCGGCGCATTGTCAATCCATTTCGTGGCAAACTTTCGTATACTGTGGGTCGAGGCAAGGTCAACTTGCTCCGCATATATTAACTCGTTGTTTGTGCGCGTTCGGAGGTCTTCGATGTAGTCGACAATAAAGGGATCTGATGCCGGCTGGCGGGTGAGGAGAACGATTTGAGCGCCTCGCTGGGCCAGACCGAGTGTCGTCTCAGCACCAATACCGGTTGTACCTCCCTGTATTCTAATTAGCATGTGTGTTTTACTCTCTTGTGGGTAGGCAGCCGAACCGTTACTATCACTACTTTCGAATGCAGCTGTCGTTCCGCGAGGTTTGTTGCCCCCCGACAGTACAGCTTCACCAACACAATGACCGCAACGAGTGCGACGATCTTTAGAATATTCCAGTAGTCAATATCAAAAGATATGCCATTGAATATTGCCTCTGCTATAAGCGGGATAATCATCTTGTCGGCGGTCGAAGGGTAGGGTCAACGCGCTCAATAACAAGTCGGAGAGGCGGGCATGGGCGCAAATAGATGAACTCCTAACTTGGCCCTTATAGCATGTGCACCTTCCAGTGACTGTGAGGTACCGGTCTGGGAATTAAATATCAGCTGGCTTTTTTGTCGTGGTGGCGGGGGTAGGTACGCGTAAATAAAAATCTCGGAAACCAGGCAAGGCCAACATGACGTTTGTGGACTATATTTAGGTATTTACACTAGCGAAACCTGGGGTAATTTAGCGCCACTTGGAAGGCCTTCGATGTTGCCGCACCATATCTCAACGTCACCTCCTCCTGTTATCGTCCTGTCCTACGACCATATATATTACGGCGTGATGTCAAATTCAGATGAGGAGGAATACACGATACCCCTCCAGGATCAACGCGCCTTTGGAGCAGGCCTGAAGCGCAAGCGCGTACAGTTTGTTCGGTCGAGCGAAACGACAACCGCCACCAGCAAGTCCGCCACATCGTACGGCCACAGCGTTAGCAAGACTTATCTAGGTCTTGTCCTTCCACAGTCACAGTCTTCTGATGGTTTGGAGAAGCAAAAATCGAAGACAGATACAAGTTTAGCAGAAACTGAACCGCAAATATGCGAGACATGTTCCCTTCCCATTCCTCCAATTCCTTCATCGACTCCTCACGCTGCACTTCTCGCTCATCAGCTCAGTCTCCCGCACTCCCATCCACCCTCCTCTCTATCACGGCATAGGACCGGTGTCCGCATGTTACGTGACCAAGGCTGGGACCCTGATGCCAGGACAGGCCTTGGCGCCCATGGAGAAGGGATACGATATCCAATCAAGGCCAAAGAGAAGAATGACAAGCTGGGTATAGGCGCCACAATGCCGAAGCCGAAGCGCGATGTACTAGAATTAAGTCGAGGTGTTGATCAAGCAAAAACCGGGAAAGAGAGGGATAATGAAAAGGGTAAGAAAAAGAAGGGCTGGGTGAAGAAGACCGCAGAAGAAGAAAAGCGGAGATCGGACAGGCTGCAGCAACTATTTTACGAGAGTGAGGAGGTATCCAAATATTTACGCTAAGCATTGTAGTAGCTCTGTGATACGAGGCTACCTATAAGAGAGGGGTAAGAAGAGGTCTTACGATGATCACGTAGCAACGATGTCAAATGTGAGGGTTGTAAAGATGGTTACATTGGTTTGTGTGGATGCTACTATTATTGCTAGCTTTTACGAGAGACTCTCCTGACAGATGGCCAGGAGCCTGTCCCCCCCTTCCTCCAAGGACGCTCCCGTTCTGATGATTCCATTCCAGCGAAATTGTAGCATTCGACGTTGTTCTGACCATATTAGACAGGAGCCCAGTTCACTGAAACCTGCGACATTAAGCAAGCCTACATTATGCAGTGTTCGGCACAGATCGATGATGACCTGAGCTGATCCAGATCATGATCTGGATCAGACCTGATCTGTCGTGATTTTGGATGACCTGAGCTGATCCAGATCATGATCTAGATTATACAGATCATTGCCAAGAGTTACCAAGAGTTGCCAAGGCCACACAGTAGACGTAGAATTAAATCTGTAATACCCAGTCTAAATTCCATATTATGACGATTACTACTATCACAATGAGCGACTCTGAGTTATCAGATTTACCGCCAGATCATGAGAGCTATTCTCAAATAGAAGAGCCATTGTTACCACTTCTTATACCTCAACATACCCCTATTCAGCCTTCAGTCGAGGCAGTTGATGTATCGTTATCTGATATACTTCGACATCCAACAGTGGTACTACCACTAACGTCTTCGAAGCTATTTACAAAGGGCTTATATCGTCGGGAAATACTTGATACTCAGCCTCCAACTATAAGGATGGCATGCCTACAACCAAACTGTAACTATTCAACAGTTTAAGGACTACAGCTACTGTCAACGGGTAATTTATGGAGGCATTACTCTTTGAAGCATCCAACAGTATCATATGCCCTTAAAAATGAGAATAGACAGTCGTCTAGTACGTCAAGTAGTACATCATCGTTCTTCAACCCACGCCCATTAGCTATTTCAAAGCAGTCTAGTAATCCTTTGAGATATAAGGAGTTATTACTACAGTTTATTGTGTCAAATAATCTATCGATACGCCTTGTTGAAAGCTGTTCGTTCCGTGAATTAGTTCAATTCTTAAGCCTAACGACTATATCAATATCTACTCGTACGCTACACCGAGAACTTTAGCGTCAGTTCTCATACCACCGAGGCCAGCTACAACTCGAGCTTAATTCTCATATTAAGAGAGGAGGCCGGATATCAATAACAACGGATGCATGGTCTGCACGGAATTATACAGACTACGCTGCTATTACAGCACACTAGATCAACGATAAATGGCAGCAGAAGTCTAAAGTACTCGACGTTATACATCTTCAAGAGCCTATCCACAGCGGCGAATATCTAGCTCAACAATTGGCACTTGTAATAGATGATATGGGTATTATAGGAGCTGTCTTTACCTGTACAAGAGACAACGCTTCAGCTAATACTGTTATGCTTACGGAATATGAGAAAATAGCTAGAGACTAGGAAGTGACGACGCAACAGCCATGGACATTTAGAGTCAAGGAAGGAGACGTACGATGTATAGCCCATATCATCAATATCGCTGTTTAAGATGCTCTTAAGACTTTAAAAGCTGCTCCTGCTGAGCAAGCTGAAAGTTATCGGTGTGAGCAAGGAGCTGCACGGATTCCAACAAGCTCGTCTAAAAGCAATATTGAAGTCAAGAATACCCTTGGTAAGCTACGAAGGCATATCTACGTATTTAGGAATCGAAGGTAATGGAAAGATGCTCTTCAAAAGCAGACTATTGCTGCTGGTCTAAAGAAGCTACAATTATCACTTAATATGCCAGTCCGGTAGAACTCAACGTACGACATAGTTTCAGCCGTCATCAAGCTACAGACCCTAATTACAGCAATCTGTGCTACTCAGCAAATGGATCTAAGTATGAGAGATATTGCTCTTATACCAGAGGATTGGATAACACTTTACGCTCTTTAGAACTTCTTCTATATATTCGTTAAGCCGTCGTAGAAGCTTCAAGCAAGTGCATATCCAACGCTTAACTTTGCAATTCCTCAGTATCTAAAGATGATAAAGAAGCTTAAGGCTCTATAGAATGAGGTTGGTATATCATTAACAATTAGTCTAGCTTGTATCGCTGCTTCTAAGAAGCTTAATGAGTATTATACGCTTGCTACAAATCATCGATGGAGTCATTCAGGGGTAGCTACGATTTGTGATCCGCGCATGAATCTCAACGTATTTAATAGTCTTTAGCCAAGTAATACTGAAGAAGTCAAACGGAATAGAGTAAAGCAGCAGTTCCATGACGTTTTTATTCAGTACAGAGACCGCTAATACTTCCTCGAAGAAGAGCAGAGGGATGCTGAAGCTAATTTACCACAATTACCTACAGAACCTGACTCCGACGACGATTTATATATTTCTCATAGTATCTACCAAGAACCAGAATGGAAGCGCTGGCTTGTTGAGCCCCGGCCAGGTCCAGCAACAGATATTCTCAAATATTGGGCGGCAAAGCAGTATCAGTATCCAATTATTGCTGCAATTGCTCGAGACCACTTAGCAATTCCCGCAACATCAGCTCCGTCAGAGCGGGTCTTTAGTAATGGAGCTGATATTCTGACGAAGAAGAGGAATAGGCTCTCTCCTGAAACACTACGATATTTACTCTGCTTACGAGACTGGGGTCATATACTAGATACTGAAGAGAGCGAAGCCGAAGACGCCGATGACGAAAGGGAGGAGTAATTAGATCTATTATTATACTATTTTAAGCCTCATTTTTTTAAAGATCTGGATCATGATCTGATCTACCTGTCAAATCTGAGATAGATCATGATCTGACCTGGGAGGGCTCCAGATCAGATCTGGATCATGATCTGCCGAACACTGACATTATGTTTCTTGTTTATAGCGAAGACCAAAGAATTCAGGCTTGAAATTTTATTTTCGTATATATATATTATTATTTAGATGTTATTTTGTACATCCTAGTGACATTGACATGTATTCCCTTTGACCATGGCGCTGCTCCAGCGGCTGCAAGGACTAGGATATACGAACACTGTGTATTCAGTGCTCCTTCTTATCCTTCTTGCAGTGAGGGTGGTGTGGCTCTCTTTCGCACTCATCGTGCTTTTTGAACCAAGGGCATTCAGGTCTGCCCCTGAACTCCTCTGGGCAATCTTCACCATGGTGGTCACCCTTGTGATCGCCCTCGTGGTGGCCATCGTGGTGACCCTCGTGATGGCCCTTGCGGCCACCCTTGCGATGACCGTGGCGATCGCCCTTACGGTCTCCATGGCGGTCACCGTGGCGGTCGTCGTGGTGTTCATTGCGGTGCCTGCACCTTTCCTCCTTGGAGTCCTCGTGGCAGTCATCATGCTTGTGGTCATCGTGATCACGATCGTGATCGCGGTCGTGATCGCGGTCGTGCTCGTCGCGGCAATCGGGATGCTTGGGCTCCTTCTCGCACTTCTCCTTCTTGCCCTTCTTGCCCTTCCTCCCCTTCTTGCCCTTCTTCTTCCTGTGCTTGTCCTTCTTGCGGCGCTTGCAGTCATCCCTGTCCTTGTGATCTCTGCACTCGTCGTCGTGATCGTCCTTGTGGCCTGATGGGCGTCAGCGCTGACAAAACTCTAACTATACCTTGCCAAAGTAAGGCAGTCGTTTGTTCAAAGGCAGAAGAGACTCACCACCGCGGGGCTCGATGACATTCGCCTCCTCATTGTCTTCCCTCACGGACACCTGACGGAAGGCCTGGATGGGAACACATCTGGCCGCATGCTGGGAACCTCCCTCGATTGAGACGAGTCCATCCTCACACACAGCCGCCGGAGCGGCCGACACGAGGAAACCGCAGACAGCGGTAACTGTGAGAGCCAATTTGAAGGACTTCATCTTGGAATTGTTCGGTGGGAAGAAAGTAGTGGCACGATATAGTTGATATCCAACGAGTGTGTTTTTGAGAAGGAAACAAAGTGAAAAGGAGGAAAAGAGTGAAAGGGGTGAATCACCCCCTTATATAGGGGCAATAGCTCACATCCTTGGGGTACTTAGCTAATTAAGAGCTCCTTGCGCAGGAAGATGATAACTCTTGTTACGCAATCATGGGCAGTTCCAAACATGTAACCCAAGCAGTGTAAGGCAGTATAATGTGTACCTTCCTGGCCTGAGCATTAGGAACCATGGGGTGCTCAGAACATGTGTCGCCTGACCTATCAAACCACTGTAAAGATATCTTATAAATTTTAGCCTATAAATTTATATGGTGGTTGAAGTAAAAATCGACGCATTGTTCCAATTTCGCACCCCATCGACGCAGGTATCCACTTACGCACCCCATTTATACTGAGCTGTGTGGGTTCAGCAGTCCCATACCAGGCAATGCGCCTTCCCCTAAACCGAATAGTCCGAGCTGTCAAATCGTAAGAAGCCTGTTATGTTGCAGGTTGATATATATATTTTCAGTTGGGGTGTTGCCATGTTGACTGTTTAGTGCCGGTGGCACGAATCTGAATAGGGGACCGCCCCATGCCACGCCCAATGTCATCCCATCCAAAATAAGTCGATAAAGCACCAGACCATAAATTTGTAAAATAGTATTCGAAGATATTCCACGAGTTTCTTAACAGCGGAAGTAACGCTTCTCAATCCAACGCGGCTCATAATCCGCAACGATTTCGCAGACAACCACTTTCACAAGTGGAAATACTTTCGTGAGACGATTCAGTCCCATCTTTCCTGCAAAGTAAGTAACGAAAACAATTCGCTCTTCCGCCACTCCGTGGTCAAGTAAAACTTGTACGGACATCAGGGCAGCACCGCCACTTGACATCTGTGGATCCAGGAGTAGTACACAATCCTGGGTCTGGATACCGATCGGAAGCTTTTGATAGTGTAACTCTGGCTCGCCAGTTCTGATGTTTGATTGGATGAGAATGCGGCCAGTTTTGCAGTCTGGTATCACTCTCTTCAGGCCGGTCTCGAAAGCAGCACCAGCGCGTAGGATAACCACGGCGCTGGGTTCACCGTTTCGTTGGTATCCATTGTAAACATGCTTCGTAGGCGTCTCTATCGTCTTTACTCCGAAATTAGTGTTATTTAGCGCGCTGTTTGGGTTAGCGTGATGCTGCAACTGCCTGACAAAAGTATCTATAACTTACTGCTCAATCAACAGGGTGGCGATGCGGTCAAAGTAGAAAATGAAGTCCTCAGGCGATGTATCCATATCCTGGATGATGGTGCTGATTCCTTTCAGCTGAGATGTTTGTTCCAAAACTGCAACACTGCTTGCTAACGGCTCATTCTCGCAGTTAGACCCGAGCTTTTTCAACTCCGCCCTGTGTGCCTTGGACTTCTCGATCAGTTTCCTTTCGATATATTGCGTCACCATAGCTAAGTCATGTCAGTAAGTCATGGTTTGATTCCCACCGTTGCAAGTATATTCTGGAACTGCTGCTTGGTATGAAAGGGTGGTTTGTTTCCAACAGGATCTGGGGCATGATTAGCTATAATCAGGAACTTACTGATCGCAACGGTATTTTCGATACCCCTCGGTACAATAATATCTGCTACCTTCCGTTGGGGTTCGACAAATCTCTCGAAGTTTGGCTTCACAAAGGCAAACCATTGCTTGATGCAGCCCTCAGCATCTCTTCCTCGTTCTGCAATATCTCGAAGCACTGATTGAAATTCTCAGTTAGTAAAACAAATCTCCCAAAGGGGCCTGTTTTCTCTCACATCTTCGAGATAAGCAGGTATCGGCGTCCGCTTCGCAAAATATCTACGATATCAGCATCAAACTATTCCCTTCCAACATTAAAGTAACAAACCTTCATATCAAGTAACTCAAGAACACGAGGATCATGCAATGCCAGGATACCCTCAAGGACCAACACATGAGGGCTATACAGTGACGTGGTTTTTGATTCTCGCTGATGGTTATTAAAGGAATATATTGGGATTTCTGCCCGCCGTCTGAGAAAATCGTTGTCAGCAAGCGCTGCGACAGAACTTTGATAAGGCTTACCCATGTTTCAGGTCCTGGAGCAGCTCAACCAGAAGATCAAAGTCGATCGCTTCTGGAGCATCTAAATCTAGCTCATTTCTATGAGCCTTGGCATGGTCCTCTTCGTTCAGAGGCTTGTAAAAGGAATCGAGGCCGACTATAGCCACCCATGGCAGGTTCAGTGCGGAGAGGATCGCTCGTGACAGGCTGGATTTTCCGGAGCCGGAGCTGCCTGCAATGCCGATAATGGTGACATTGTTCCACGGGGGTGAGTAATGTGCCTTCTGGCTGGGTGAGTCCTGAGACGCCATTATATTTATCGGATTTGATTGGGTTATATTGGCCGAAGCCAAATGCTTCATCGAGATTCGCAGGCAACAATCACGTGATAATGGAATAACTTTTTACTTGAAGTTGCAAATGAGACGAAAATGGCGTGAGTGTAGTAGTTAGTATAATTTAATGTTAATAGTAAAATAATCTAACGTATATATTATATATTTGTGTGTAGTTCCTCAGACCCCAGTGGTCGCGTGCTGAAAGCTGGAAGCAGGGGTTCAATGGAGAGGCGCTGCTTACTCAGCATGGAAAGGAAAGTTTAGTACAATCTAATCTAATCAACCCCTTCACCATCCCCCGAAATCATCGTCGTCGCGGCCTTCAATAAACCTTCATCCACGCCTAGCAAAACCCTATCCACTCCAACTTCACTGCCACTCCTCTGGGATACCTAGTCGTTTCTCTCTAACGAGTGAATCCCTTTCTTTTCGACTAGAGACTCTTCCCCACGATATCCGAACACTACCGTCACCATGGCCCCGTCATGGCTCGCCCTACCTCGCCCTCGAGTAAGCCCTCTCCCCAGGTTCCACCATGTCCGTTACCTCCAGTCTAACAGCGCATAGTCCTTCCTCTTCATAACCTCCCTCCGCTTCGGCGCAGAAATGATCTCGCTCTCCCTCCTCTTCAATAAGCTCGCCGGCTTCTACGGAATCCTCGCCCTCGTCACCGGCTACCGACTCTCCTTCCTCCAGTTCTCGATGTACCTGTACTCTCTCATCGCGCTCGTCATACTCATCACACTCATGCCACATATCCGCAAATCGTCTCCCCTCCAGTGTCTCTCCCTCGCCTACTTCTATCTCATCGACACGATCCTGAACGGAGCATACACCGCAGTCTTCGCAGGCACCTGGTTCCTCACCCTTAGCGCCGCCGCCAAGGACGCCGAGATCGACGCGCCCGGCAGCGAAACCATGAACGACACCGCAGGCTTCACCGGCTCCGACGCCTCCGGCATCACCGACGCCGCCGCAGCCGCTGGCGGCAGCCCCAGTCTCGCGAGCGGCGCCGCGATCAGCGAGTCCGTGCCCAGCATCCTCATCATCGTTTTCCTCACCCTTGTCCGTATCTACTTCGCACTTGTTCTTTTCTCCTTCGCGCGACAGGTTCTGCGCCAATATCTCTCGGCGAAGTCTTCGCAGCGCCCGCACCTCCACATGGATGGCGCGGATGATAAGTTGGAGACGCCTTTTGCGGAGGGTGCGCCGTTGGGTGCGGGATGGAAGGGAAAGCTTGGTCGTGCGATGACGGCTATTGGGACGAACTGGTGGGTTGGTGGGCGCGCGGAGGATGAGGAGTGGGCGAGGAGCGCGAACCAGAAGTTTGTGAGCAATAATGTGTTGCCGGGGACGTCGTTGAGGGAGCAGAGGGCTAGAAGCGGTACTGGACCGCCACCGATGAGGATTCAGACCCAAGGCCCGATGTAGGGTTCTTGTCTGGAGAATGAAGTGTGACTCAAATTGTCCGCGGGGCGTTAGACTGGGGAGATTGGGTGTGAAGATAGGATATGTACATAAAGGTTGGGTTGTCGTAGTTGGTGGGCGTTAAGGACTTTCACAGTCAACAGCATAAGAGAACGGTAATTTAATGGACGATGAGCGAAAGCTACTTTAAAATATTTGCACATTACTTGCCGTGAGCGGGAGCCTTCAAGATTTAAGATATCTGTCAGGTGGCACCAACGCTGTTGGCAAAGAGAGCCAGTTCCATGTTGAGACAAAAGCGGGGTGTTGTCACTGAAAACCATTCAAGAGATAAATTAATTATCAGAAATAAGTCGCTGCATTTTTAATTCCCGATAATCATAAGTGTATGTAACAAAACGCCGACAATGTTCCCGTTACCCTTACATCCACCCCAAGTCTAATGGAGCATAAAGTCCTTATGCGTCCACTTCTCAGTAACCTTCCTCTTCGCCTGCTTCGCAAAGCTGATCCTCTTCCTGCCCTCCACCTTACCCCTAACAAGCAAACTTCTATACCTCTCCTTCAGCGCATTCCCCTCCGGCTTCAACAGCCTCAAGCTCTCCGTCAACTCATCCGGCAACACCAACTCCAGCTCCTTCTCCGGCAACGGCAACTTCCCCAACTTCCTCCGCCTTAACTCCAAATCCTCCCCCTCGGACTCATCATCCGCATTCTCCGCCTGCACAGCCAGCGCCATCGCCCTCGCCTCCTCCGCCTCCTCCACAGACTTAGCAATCTTCTTGATATGCTGCGCCTGCTCGTTCCGCTTCTTATTGTTCGCTAGCATCTTCTGCTTCCGCTCCTCCTCCTTGCGGCGCTGGATCTTGTTGCGCTGCTGCTGCGTCTTGCGCTCGGGGCGCTTGGCGCTGACCCGCGTATCCTCGGCGCCGGACTCGAGTCCCTCCCATGCGGACTCCTCGTCCCATTCGGAGAGCTCTGCGCGAGCCTCAGCTGCTACGGCTTCAGCGGCGGATTTGGCGGATGCTTCAGCGCGAACACGCTCTGCTTCCGTGGTAGCGAGACGCTTCTTCTCGGCCTCGAGCTCTTTATCACCGGCCGCGATGAGACGCTGCTCGTACTCGGTGTAGACGGGGTTGTAGGAGTATCCGCCAGCGGGTGCGGACACAGCTGGGACGGCCTTTCCGGAGGCAGCGAGGGAGATGGGCTTTTGTTTCAGGGTACTCGGTGCGACCTTCTTCTGCGCCTTTGGGAGGAAGGTGAAGCGCTCGTCCACGACTAGAGCTTGTGCATCGGCGGCCTCGGACCAGGGATCGAAGGCAGGGTCGGTGACCTCGACGACGGATTGGGTTCCTTTCCCTGCCATGATGTTGCGGAGGCGGGTGAGTTCCTTGTGGGAGACGTAGGAGGTGCGCTGGCGCTTGGCGTCGGCGATGCCGTTGGTGGTCTTGTCGCCGGGGCGCTTCCTCATGGATACGGAGGGGACGGCGGAGCGTTGGGCAATGATCTCGTCGGCTTTGAGGGGCTTGGAGGCTTTGAGAAATTTCTTCGCGATTGAGGCGTCGCCGTCGACATCGAGCATGAAGAGGTCGTCGGATTTCTTCTCGCTGATTATACCACTGTGGAGTATTAGTAAATTTGTATGTTAAGTTGCTGTTTGGAAAGTATATACCCTTTGATAACTTCATCACGAGCGGCCTCGAGACCAGCGTCAATCTCTGTAACGTCGACATTCTTCCTCCAGGCCTTCTTTCCCTTCCTGGATTTCTGGTTGTGCTGCTGAGGCGCTTCCGGCGCAGCGGCTGCTCTTTTGATGATTGGCATCTTTACGAAATTGTTGTGTGAGATTTTCGAAAGTTGCTAATCCAACACTTCCCATATCCAAAACTTCCCACTACACGAGTATATTTTCGTAAAGGACCCCACAAAAAATGGACGTCAATCGGTCACATGTTTTTCCGATAGCGGGGGACACTAGACCCGATGGAGTATTTGCCTTGGCATACTGCGCCCATTGAATGGAACAGGACAGAAGCGGGAGTGGGAGAGTGATATACTCCTGACTTCATCGATATTGGGTTTCTTTGTTCCAATTACAACTTTTCGCACGCAAGCCTGACTGCTGTTTGATTCACATTTGTACATATTTTTTATTCCCCCACACCGCCACGAAACAGCGCAGCTCCTCGAGCCAGACAGCAAGAGAAACCGCCAAGATGGCGCAGGCTCCGGGTAGTTCATACAACAACCCGTTGAAGAAGTTCAAGTAGGTGGATTGGATTATGCTTCTCACCATCGATAGAATGCTAACAGATCGCTCTCAGGTTGGTGTTTCTCGGCGAGCAAAGTGGTATGCGAATATTACATCCATAGGCGGCAGCATTTGTGTTAACCTGATGGCGCAGTTGGCAAGACCTCCTTAATAACACGGTTCATGTACGATTCGTTCGACAATATGTACCAAGCCACGATCGGTATCGACTTCTTATCAAAAGTACGGACCCGAAACCCCAGCTGGATGAAATGCAGATGTATTGACAATGGCGGTAGACTATGTACCTTGAGGACCGAACAGTCCGTTTACAACTATGGGATACGGCTGGGCAGGAGCGTTTCCGCAGTTTGATTCCTTCGTACATACGCGATTCAAGTGTTGCAGTGGTGGTCTACGATATCTCCAGTATGTACAACTTCCCCGGTCTTGACAAATATGAAGGAAGGGGCGATACTAACCTCGAATCCCAGATGCGAAGTCGTTCCAGAACACACGTAAATGGGTAGACGACGTCCGGGGCGAGCGCGGGAACGATGTCATCATTGTCTTGGTGGGAAACAAGACCGATTTGAACGATAAGCGCGAGGTGACGACGCAGCAGGGCGAGGAGGAGGCGAAGAAGAACAACCTGATGTTCATCGAGACGAGCGCGAAGGTTGGGCATAACGTTAAGAACCTGTTCAGGAGGATTGCTCAGGCTTTGCCGGGAATGGAGGGGGCGGACAGTGCTGCGGCTGCTGGGAACCAAAGTGAGTCTTCGGAGGGCCCCCAAAGGAGGGGTGTACTTGGATCTTGGAGTGTTTCTAACCCGCTCGTGCAGTGATCGATGTGAACATCAACAACTCGAACCAGTCACAAGAGGGATGTGCGTGCTAGACGATGGAGACGGAAATGGAGACGGAAATGGAGACAGAGATGGAGATGGAGGTGGTAGAAGTGTGGACCTTGGACCTCGTCGATGTGGCTGTATTTGACATTAATGCATTATGTGGCCGTGGGAGATCTTGAGCATAGCGGTTTTGGCGAGCCTTGTATGATAGTATGATAGCATTGAAGATACACCCTGGCTTGAGCAGAGAATAGTTTGTTAATTTGTAGTACTGGTATATAATATACTGTATGAGACTCCAAGTGACTCAAGTGTTCGTAGGCCAAGTGGGAGGAGCCAAGTGGAGGCCAAGTGCAGGCCAAGTAGTGATGATAAGGGTAGAGTAGAGTAAAGTAAAGTAAAGCCCCTATGATTATCTGTATTGCCGTATTATCGTACTCGTATTCTACTGCATGTGTATAGTGGCTAGTAATCAGATGGCATCATCAGTGTGATTTTGGTGATTTTGATCATTTTGATCATTTTGTCAGCATAGTCCCTTCGAGGCCCTTTAATACAAACGTTCTAGAACAGAGAGTGACACATACATACGCCGACAAACACACATATAGTACATCCTCGGAGCACTACTCCGTTCTCCGATGATAGTGCTACAGTGTTGTAACTGCTAACTGGCACTATCTGCACGTGATCACAGCCTCTGATGACAAAGACTCATTGGCAATTCCTCTTCCCTGATTGCTCCCCGTTGCTCCCGCCCATACATCCTGTGCACGTGACCTCAAAGAAGGAAAAAATGCTGTCAGTCATGGTCGAGCACGCAATCGATCAAATTGCCGTCCAGCCAATCACAGTTCGCCTATTCCTCCACAATACCCTGGCAGCCCAGCTATTCCACCAATTCCACCAAAAGCCGGTGGTACTTCTGGGTCGCATACAATTTAGCGGTGATGTACAAGTCCCTTTACACCCCACACTCCAAAATACCCTCCGGTTATCGCGCCCATAGGTCCAGACAGGTAAGAGTGAATTGAATTGATTGCTCCTAGCTGCTCTGTAGTCGGAGTACTCCAGGACGGCTCCCAAATAAAAAATGTCTTTCCTCTTCAAAACCACTCCCTCCTCTCCTCTTTCCCAACGGAGGAAAGCCACAGATAACAAAGGCAATATGGCTGCTCCGCTGTCATTACGCACGCCTGAAGAGGCCGGTATGTTTGCTTCCGTCATTTCTCACTTCCGACGACGACGTCCGCTTTGTCCCATGCCCCGCCACATTCCTGGGGCAGAGGCGGCGCCGTTGCGGGATTGAGGGGATGCTATGAGTATGGGCTGACATTTTTGGGCAGTTGCGCGCATTGCATACCTCTCCAGTGACGTTATTGTCTCCGTCCAGCCAGCACAGGGCGTCCAGTCGGGCTTCTCGACACACCTACAAACTTATGCCGACAACAAGGACCAAGGTGTTGTCGCGGCATCCGAGAGCCGCATCCCAGAAGTGAGATAGCCCTGAAAGCATATCCCTTGCATGAGATGAGCCTAGTCCTGACGTGCATACAGATTCAAACCGTGAGACAGAATGCCGACCCTCTGCTCTCTGTTTTCGCCCCAATCCGCTCCGGAAAACTCACCTCCGTCACAACCACCTCCTCCATACTCGTCTCCTCTGTACCATACCTCTACAAGCTTGCCAACTACCCAGTTGTCATCCATGTTGCCCTACAGCCCGCTTCCCACCCCGATTACTCCTCCATCACCTCCATCAGAAACTCGGGCTTCACATTCCTCCAATCCGCATCGCTCCAGGAGGCGCAAGATATTGCATTGACTGCCCACGCTCTTGCTATCAAGTCTGGCAAGGGTGTCATCCATTTCTTTGATGCTCTCGCATCAGAGAATGATGATGCTGTCACTGCCGAGGATGCATCTGTTGTGGAGCAAGTCTTGGACTTGGCCGCCGTCCGTGCCTTCCAAGGAAGCAACGTTGGTGGAACCTCAGTATATGCCGACGATGGCAAGATCGCCAGAGTTAGCGAGGCTCCAGTTGAGCCATTAGATACCGCTGGAGCTCCTGTCCAGAAACAGCTGGCACCTCCTGCCGAGGCAGCAGCAACTCCCTCGAAGGCATCTTCCGTTGGATCAACCAAGTCGAGGCAGAGCAGCGTGGACAGCCGACCAAGTGTTTCGTCGGCAACAACAGTTGATGCATCTGTCAAGCGCACCTCGTCGCAAGACATCTACGACATCGTCACCGCCATCTGGTCGCAAATCAAGGACGCCACTGGCCGCGAGTACACCCCTTTCCAATACACTGGCCCAGCAAATGCCGAGACCGCAATCTTCATCTTCGGATCGGATGCAGGCATTTTCGCCGAGTCCATCGATTCGGCTAAGTCCGACGAGATTTACGCAAAGGCAGGAATTGTTACCGCGCGCCTCTACAGGCCGTGGCTTGGCGCGAAGTTGGTGGAGGTTGTCCCCAAGAGCGTCAAGCGTCTTGCAGTCCTTGAGCAAATCCGCAAGAAGACTACAAAGTGGGGTCCTATCTTCCTTGATATTCTCACCACCCTGAAGAGCGGACCAGGTGAAGGCGCCAAGACCATTGTTGGCCATCAACTGGGACACATCACCCCGGATACCGTTTCCCAGGCACTCCGCGGCATCTTCCAGAACCTTACCTCCGAGGCCCCAATCCAAAACCTCGAGGTTGGCACCACCGAGGAGCAAGCTGACTTCGCGGAGGAGCAAGAGCTCGAGCAACCAGCAGTTGAGACTGCCTATATGAAAATCTTGAACCAGGTTTTCGGCCAGAAACTCCATGTCGCCAATGCTTTGGGATCGAACAACGCTGGTGTTTCTGAGACCATTGCCGCAAACCCAGAGTTCGGGTTCGGATCTCTCCTCGCCCGCCATGAGCACCGCCAACGCTTCATAACTGAGGTTTCCGACGCTGCAGTCTCCAAGGAGTTCATCACTGAAGCCCCTAAGAAGTTCCTATCCAAGTGGGCTCTGGGCGCTGATGATGAGAAGTTGACCACTGAGATCACGCCAGAAATCATTTCTCGTTTGGAGACTGATGGATCCCCATTAGCGACCAAACTCCTTTCCAACAAGTCTCTGTTCCGCAAGGAGTCCTCTTGGTTGGTTGGATCCGATGCATGGGCTTATGATTTGGGTAACTCTGGTGTCCACCACGTCATTGCCTCTGGCAAGAATGTGAACATGCTCATCATTGACTCCACCCCATACTCCGAGCGCGCAGCGGCAGATGCCACGCGCCGCAAGAAGGACATTGGGCTTTACGCCATGAACTTCGGCAATGCTTACGTTGCCTCTGTTGCGGTTTACAGCTCGTACACCCAGGTCTTGCAGGCCATGATTGAAGCAGACAAGTTCGATGGCCCATCCGTTGTCATGGCTTACCTGCCATACCACAAGGAGAGTGATTCTCCGTTGACCGTTCTCCAAGAGACCAAGAAGGCTGTCGATCTCGGCTACTGGCCACTCTACAGGTGGGACCCGACGGCTGAGGATCGCAACGAGCCAAACTTCTCTTTGGATTCCGAGAGAATCAAGAATGAGCTCAAGGATTTCCTTGCACGCGATAACCACCTTACTCAGCTCATGAAGAGGCGCCCTGAGTTTGCCGCCAACATCTCTGAGGATTACGGCTCTGAAGTTCGTGAGGCCCAGAAGAGGAAGGCAAAGGATGCATACAACGCTCTCCTGGAGGGCCTGTTCGGTGCTCCTCTGACGATCCTTTACGCTTCCGACAACGGCAATGCCACTACCCTTGCTAAGAGGTTGGGCAACCGCGGAAAGGCTCGTGGATTGAAGACCATGGTTATGAGCATGGGCGACTACCCAATTGAGGACCTCTCTGCAGAGGAGAACATTGTCTTCCTTACTTCCACTGCCGGACAGGGAGAGTTCCCACAGGATGGTCATGCATTCTGGGGCGCTATCAAGGACAACACGGAGCTGGATCTCGCATCTGTTAACTTCTCCGTCTTTGCTCTTGGTGACAGCCACTACTGGCCAAGAAAAGAGGACAAGGTTTACTACAACAAGCCAGGAAAGGACCTGTTCAGAGTTATGGGAGACCTCGGCGCCAAGCCTCTCGCGGATATCGGCCTTGGAGATGACCAAGATCCCGATGGATTCCAGACTGGATATGCTCCTTGGGAGGCGCAACTCTGGCAAACTCTCGGCGTTGATAAGGTCGAGGGACTTGCTGATGAGCCGCCGCCAATCACCAATGAAGATATCAAGATCGAGTCAAACTTCCTTCGTGGTACCATTGCCGAGGGACTGAAAGATACCACCACCGGCGCTATCTCTGCATCCGACTCTCAGTTGACCAAGTTCCACGGAACTTACATGCAAGACGACCGTGATCTTCGTGACGAGCGCAAGGCTGCCGGTCTTGAGCCAGCCTACTCTTTCATGATCCGCTGCAGACTCCCATCCGGTGTTGCTACCCCAAGCCAATGGGTCCAGATGGATCAGCTCAGTTCCGATTTCGGAAACGAGACGATGAAGCTCACTACCCGCCAGACCTTCCAGTTCCACGGTGTCGTTAAGGGCAAGCTTAAGGGTGCCATGCGCGCTATTAACAAGGCTCTGATGACCAGTATTGCCGCCTGCGGTGATATCAACCGTAACCTTATGTGCAGCAGCTCTCCCGCTCACTCCGAGTACCACAAGGAGGTCCACGAGTGCTCTGTCCGTATCGATCACCACCTTTTGCCATCCACTACCGCATACCACGAGATCTGGTTGAAGGATGAGGATGACAACAAGACTCAAATTGCTGGCAACGCTGTCCAGGACTTTGAGCCCCTTTACGGCCCTACCTACCTCCCCAGAAAGTTCAAGATTACCATCGCCACTCCTCCAAACAACGACACGGACGTGTACGCCCACGATGTCGGTCTCATCGCCATCAAGGGTGAGGACGGACACCTCGCTGGTTTCAACGTGCTTGTCGGTGGTGGTATGGGTGTTACCCACAACAACAAGAAGACCTACCCCCGCACCGGCTCTATGATGGGATACTGCTCCAAGGAGGACGTCCACATTGTCTGCGAGAAGGTCATGCTCGTCCAGCGCGACAACGGCGACCGCAAGAACCGCAAGCACGCCCGCCTAAAGTACACCGTTGACGACATGGGCGTCGATGTCTTCCGCTCCAAGGTCGAGGAGATCTGGGGCAAGAAGTTCGACGAGCAGCGCCCCTTCAAGTTCGTCTCCAATGTCGACACCTACGGCTGGATCAAGGACGAGCACGGACTCAACCACTTCACCTTCTTCATCGAGAATGGCAGAATCGAAGACACCGCCGACTTCCCCATGCGCACTGGCCTTAGGGAGATCGCAAAGGTGCACAAGGGCGAGTTCAGGTTGACTGGTAACCAGCACTTGATCATCTCCAACGTCAAGGACGAGGATAAGCCCAAGATCGTCGAGATGATGGTTAAGTACAAGTTGGACAACATCCAGTTCTCCGGCCTGCGCCTGTCCTCCTCCGCCTGTGTTGCGTTCCCAACCTGTGGCCTCGCCATGGCCGAGTCGGAGCGCTACCTCCCCGTCCTCATCTCCAAGCTCGAGCAGACCCTCGAGGACAACGGACTCAAGCAGGAGAGCATCGTCATGCGTATGACTGGTTGCCCCAACGGATGCGCCAGGCCTTGGTTGGCTGAGGTCGCGTTCGTCGGTAAGGCGTACGGCGCGTACAACATGTACCTTGGTGGTGGATACCACGGCCAGCGCCTGAACAAGCTGTATCGCTCCTCTATTAAGGAGGATGAGATCTTGGCTATTATGATCCCGCTCATCAAGCGTTACGCGCAGGAGAGAGAGGAGGGCGAGAGGTTCGGTGACTTCGTCATACGTGTTGGTGTTATTAAGGCGACGACGGAGGGAAAGACTTTCCATGATGATGTAAGTTGATTTGAGTTCCTGCTTTGTCGATGAATTGTCGCTAATATAATAATTACAGGTCGCGGAAGAGGAGTCGGATGAGGAGTAGAGTAATCACGATTTTGATGCGAGGGAAAAGGGAGGGGTCATTCAACTGAGCGAAGGGATGGGGGAACAGATTACATAGTTTGGGGGAGGAAGGGTTGGTTGTATTAGCATTTTTTACTCGCGCCGCCATATGCGGACCAATCTGGAATTTTGTATATAAGACAATGGCATTTAAATATCTCAAATTTGCTACGAGGTTTTCGGGAGACAAGTGAACTATGCTATATTGGTCGTTTGAGGAAGGAGTCAAGGGCTCTCCTATGGCATGAACCATACGATTTCACGGTGGGACCAAATTTCAAAACGTAGTCAAATAATCCAACCAATATAAAAAAACATCACAGTTGATATCTGAATTTGAAGGCTGTATTTATCTCTCAGTTCTTATCAAAGTAGCTACTGCATCTCGCCCACATCCAGCGTCCAGCTCGATGGCAGACATGACCTGACAGCCAGCATCTGTCAAAATAGACCAGGCCAGCCCATTCATTAGTGCCCCCCCAATGCTGTCGCGGGAATTTCAGATTCGCTCCCTATCCGAATACACATGCCATTTCCGCCCTTCTCGAAAGAGACCAGAAAAAAAACACAGCTCCGACCCTGGAGCAAAAACCGCATGCAATAAGAACTGGAGATGAAATGCTTATGTACACGCATAGAATAGCGGCTCCCCCCAAATTACATGCATATCCGTAGTGGGAAACCGTGTCGTAGTGAGAGAGGTAAAGTACAAGTTTGGAGGGTTTGTTGGAAAAAATTATAGGTTGGTTAGGACGGAAACAAGTTCTCAAAATATAGTTTGCGTCGATTGGCTGGAAAAATTTAGCCTGGGTTTAGTGGCGCGTTTGAAGTCAAACATTGATGGCGTTGGGAGGTGTTGTAGTAGAGCGATGAGCCCAGTTATTTCCGAGTCCGCCCCTTCCACGCCCCCTGTTCGGGGTTGATGTCCCTTGGGTTGTGGACGGAGACCCTTGTTCCGTAGAAGCTGCTGGGAAGGTACTCGAGGTGTCGCGCGACCTTCCGCCACGGTTATGAGGAGAGGGCCCGTGTCGCTGGGAATTCCCCCGACCTTGGCCGGACCGTCTTGGATTACTCTTCTGGCGAGGTTCCGATTTATGTGCGATAGTGACGCGCTTATTTGCCTCCATTCCAGGCAGTAGAATCAAGACAATTTCGCCCTCATTATTGAGTTGAGGCGAAAAGTTCAGGCTATTGGCGCTGGTGACGTCCGAAACGACAAACTTGCGAGGAAGCGGCTTTACTTGGGGCGCTGCGAGGAAGAAGGCAGCATCTGGAGCTTTGTTGGGTACCTTCACAGTAGGAACGTAACCCATTTCCTGTTCCTCAAAGCACTCTTCGGCCATTGGCTTAGTCTCGTACATATTATATTCGTCCAAAGCGGCAGGGATCCCCGGAAGAGACACCGTAGCAGCAGGAATTTGACTGATTGATTGGTCCAGCGCATGTTTACTCGAAGAATCGACGGCCAAAGCGTGAGATTTAGGAGGTGAGGTTCGGCGCCCCATAAGCGAATTGATCTTATCTTGCCAACCTCCAGCGGCAGGAGATTGCGATTTTTGGTTCGCTGTTTGGGTATTTATGGCTTGAGACCTCGGAAGCAATGGTGAGGTTGAGATGGGTCCAGTTGGGCCTGCTGCGGCCGCGGCTGCGGCAAATGATGCTGGCTTCGGGGGTGCAATTGGTGCTAAGACGGGTGCTGGAGGCAGCTTAACTACCGGCGGTGGACGTGGTAGAGAGACATGAGGGCGAGCGACATCTCCATCATATGCCGGATGCCCTGCCATTGTTGGGGGTGGGGGTGATGGAGAACCTGGGCGCGCATATTGTCGCTCTTCAGCCATTGCATCTCTCGGCAACTCCCGAACTTGAGGAAAGAATCGCGAGCCACGAGAAGGCGGGAGGGCACCAGAGGTAGAGGTAGAGGGTGTCTCATTTGCATGACCTTGAGGCCAGAGAGCCCCCTGTTCCATAGGTTGGTATTGAGATGTTTCGTCGTGTCTCGGCCTAACAGAGTAATCCGACCATGTTGGTGGGCCGCTGGGCGAAGCACCAGGGACGATTGGATGTGAAGGGATATTTGCCTCTTGACGTTGTCCGTCGCTTGATAACGTCACCTGCCGCCAAGTATCTTTAATTGGCGCCACTACGTCGTCAGATCGAGACGCTTGCGCGATCTCTTGTTCTGCAAGAATACGGGCATCATCCTCCGCAAGTCTCGACTGGATGTTGCCACTGGTCCAACCGGAGGCCATTGCCGGTCGATGTTCTTGATGTCTGGAAGGCGGCGCAATAGGGGCTGGTCGTTGAGCATAATGATCGCGGCCACGACCTTGAAATTGGCCATTTGTCCTACTGGAAGTCGGCGGGCCAATCGGCCCTGGGCCAACTGGTGCAATTTGAGAAGACTGGACAGATAATTCGGGATTAAAGGTACCGTTACCCAACGTGCGATCATTGCTTGGTGGTCCCCAGACGCTTCGTCCCTGAGCGGGATGTGACGCTGGGTTAGACCAAGGAGGGAAACCTCGATCTGGAGCCGCATTCTGACTACTATGCCAAGATTGGGGTTGGGTCGGCGGAACCTGCGCGTCAAGGCTACCACGGGATGAGACCTCTGGTATGATGCCGTTGATATTGACTTCATCGCCCGCCTTCTCTTTGCTTAGCGGCTCAACGATAGGTGCGGCGGCCGCTTTGACCGGCTCTGGTGGGTGTACTTTCATCATACCATATTGCTTAACTTCGCCTGTAGATTCGCCAATAGGTAATTTTGGTGGCACCGTAGACTTTGTGGCGGGTTCTCGAGCTTGAATCTGGATAGGAGTGGCTTTCTCGTCCTTTGGCGTATCCTTCTTTGGCTTCTTAGATTCTGGTGGCGGGCCCATTGCCTCCAACTTCAGTCGAATTCGCTCTTTTCGCTCAGCCTCTTCGCGAGCTTCTTCATCAAGTCTCCTTTTTCTCGCAAGCTCTCGGCTCTCTCGCATAATTTTCTTCTGTAGTTCCACTTCGTCTTCCAATGGGATTCCTGGAGTCGATGATACTGCGGGTTGGGCAAGAGCTGACGCAGGCGAGGCATGGCTTACAACAGGCGAGGCACGTGATTGCCACTGCTGCTGCTGGTTTGCCCTTTGGCTAGGATGTCCAGACGGAGAGTGTAGGGGTTCGTCGCTGACTGCAACCAATGAACCACGGCGCGCCCCAAATGTGTCCTGTGGTGGGTAGCTTTCCTGGCCCCTACTAAGTCGCCTAGCATAATTTCCACTTCCACCACTAACATTAGATGACGCCCTACGACGGCCATACGATGGGTCTTGCAGATTTGCTCTGTGTGTTTGAAATGCGGCAGAAGGCTCAGCTGGGCCTTGAGTCTCTTGGTGTCTTTGCAGAAGAGCCAGTTGGCGTGGGTGGGGTTCATTTCGGCTTCCTCTACGTCCATCATTGACGGGCTCGTATCTCCCAGACTGTGAGTTGTACAACTCCTTGCTGGCGCCAGCGTTGCCATCTCTCCATGATCGGCTGAAGTCATCGGCGGCGATTTCTTTTGCCGGCGATGGCATACCGTCGAACCCATGAGGATCTCTAGTACCGAACCGCGGGACTTGTTGCGGTTGAGAAGGGATATCTGTAACAATCGGCGCAACTTTATCCATCGGGGGTAGAGGTGCCCAAGGCGACTTGGCGGGTACAGGGAGAGCTGGAGGTTTCGCGACAAGTGTTGGCTTCTCAGATGCTCCCTTAAGAACCAAGCCTCTTCCAGTCCCACCAGCCATCGAGCCAAGTTTCATTGTCGACGCCACGGGTAGGGAAGGTGATGCTGTCTTTTCGACCTCATTAACAGCTATTGGGGTTGCTGGTTTAGGCAATTCTGGAACAAGATCTTCTACCTGCTGCGGCATAGAAATTTTTGTCCCGTCCGACCATTCTATTGATTGTGGTGCCCAGTCATCATCATCATCGTCAATATCTGCCCAATTTGCTTGCCTTCCAGGATCGTCCGATTGCAATCGGGTCGCGAGATGGATGCCATATTTCTGAGCCAGCTCTTCATCAGTAACCCTTTTCGGTTCTGGTATCGGTGCAGCTGTTCACGTTAGCTTCGTAGTCATTAGGGGGGAAGAGGAAGCACGTACGCCTATTCTTATTCCACACAGCACTTGCGTCCGGCGCCGCTCCAGATTTGCTGCCCGCGCCTGCTGCGGCTGTTCTCGAGGCCGATATCAAGTTATTGCCGGACTTTGCAACTAGCCGAGGTTTCGATACCAGAGTTGCTGATGCGGTTGCAGAGCTCGTGGTGGAGCTGATAGTCCCTTTATCTCCGGCCTTCGGTGGTGCTGGACCCGTAGCACCCTTCGCCGCCAGAAAAGTTTTATTGACTGATACGGCTTTGAATGATATCGGCTTCTTGACAGTCGAGGAAGTTCGTACATGGCCTTCGACCGTGCCTTTTGACTTTACCGCCTCGCTGTCCGATCCACCGTTGACGCTGACATCTGCTGACGTGACGGCGACATCCGCTGCATCGAGGAGTGGTGTTGCAGTGCGCTCAACCTCGATACCATCCTTTACTGTGAACGGGTTGGCGGAGACATCTTCGGTAGCTGCACTTTCCTGGGACTTGTCTTGTTAGTGAAGCCTTCAATGTAAAGTTGGCGCGTGACATACTTGTTCGGATTCAGCTATGGGAGGAGCAACCACGATATTCTTCGGTGAGGCTTCTGTTGCCATCATACGTCTTCAAGGCGTCTGAGAGATGTGGCGGAGCTTCGCATGCGAAGTTCTCTGCTTTCTAGGAGTCGATTGCAGCGATGGGGCGAATGTGATCGTTGCCGGCGTAAGGTAGAGAGGACGTGTGTCGCCTTAGGAACTCGGGATCGAGGTAGACTATTGCGCAGCGGGAGAGAGTCTACGCCAGTCTTCGAGATAGCGCCCTTTGTATGGAATAAAAGGAACAGCTTGCGTGTTTAATGGCAGGGAGATGTTAAGAATCTCATTCGAGGTGCCAAATAATAATGGTCGACGTTGGAATGTTTGATCTGGTGTCAAGAAAGCGAGTGAAAGAGGCTAGCGCGTAATTGATGGGGACGGGCGGCCGCCACCAGGGAATTGGGGGGAATTGGCTGTCTGGAACACTAAACTGTGGTATTACTGTACTCTGCCACATACGGCAGATTTAAAAAAAACAAAGGGATTGCGAGTCAACAGGAGTATATATATTTATATTTATATTTAATTATTTAAGAAGCAACAGCAATTTATGACTGCGCCGGAGTGACGGTCTTGAAAAATAAAACAAATTATGAGCTTTAGTACAGTTAGTAGCATACATTTCCAAGCCCACAACCAGCTGCAAACGCCAAGTTCATGTCACGTGCAGCATTTTTTACCCATACAAAGACACTCCGGGTTGTTCCATTATCCCGAGAAGGAAGCCTTATGGCCCCAATATTGTCAATATCAAGAGCCTAATGGGGATGAAATACATAAGACACACTTCAAAATAGGTTCTGTCAGGATAGAGCATCATCTTGCCTATACAATATCACCCATCACTCCTGTAATGCAAGCGGAAAGCGGCGGTTCGCGAACATTTTCAGTCTATATTTGTAGCATTCACCAACGACGTTCACAGATCCACTCTCGGGCTAAAACTGATTCTCTTATATTTACAACTCCTAAACCCATAGCTCAGGGCGTTCTACCATATAGTAGGCTCGGTATGCATCTAGTGGGCGTTGTTCTTGTGGTGGCCTGTAAGGAGTCAGTCAGTGGGTTGTCCAACTGCGGTTTCGGCATCTATAACTCACGGAGATGGAAGTAGTAGTTCTGCGCATATCCAATGGCCATAACAGCGACAATGGCGTGGACGATGGCTATAACATCCAGGTCAGCTTGTTTCCCATAGTCGGCGTTGTTGTAACGTACGTGCACCGCTTGGGTTCTTTCCAAAGTACTTTGCCTGGTAACGTCCCCAAATGCCCTTGGCCTTAACCTCTGGAGCTGCGCCACGGGGAAGCTTCTCGTAGAAGCTAACAACCCTCTGCATGCGGGCAGCGTCTTGTGCTGCACCCAGGCCCTGCGTCAAGTTAGCCTTTTGTGTTTCGTTGTTGCGGGTTCGGTCGGGTCAATGGTATCGCAATCGATTCCGTTCAATGCCGGGGTGTCCTTACAGAAGGCGACGCCACCTATCTCAATATATTAGCATCCGTATCATATCCATAGCGAGCAGTAATAGAGTTGTTGAGGCATACCTTTGGCGGGATGAGCGTGGAAAGCGCGCGTCGGGTAACGAAGCTCATTTTGAAGCTGGGAGCGATTGTCAGTCAAACACTTCGTCGGGGGAAACAATTGAATGCAGAGATTCAACACTGTATCGGAATACACACATCAATTGAGTCTCTGTGGTGATAAAGACAGGAGGTGTTCAGTGCAAAGGGCTCGGGACGACATGGAAGTCGACCTGGATCTTTCTATTAGCTCGGTTGATTACATAATCAGCCTCAAATCAATCGACTTCCACTACCAACACCACCACGTCTGATGCAACAAAGACGAATTGAAACACATCAAATCCTTTCGCCATGTCCCTCCTGCGGCCCTCCATCGTTGGGAGGTTATTGAAGGCGGCGAGCCCTGTTGCCCACCGACCTGCCCCCACGTTCGCCAGATATAGCACCCAGACTGCAATTGGGACGCCTATTACGGAATCCGAATCGAAGCCGACCCAGTCCAGCAATGCGCCTGTGCAGAGAACGGATACGAAGATAAGGCACAGTAACCCGGATTGGAACGTGGAGGTTGACCAGGCTACATCGTACGCGCAGCTTGCCCCCAATGCCCATGGCTGGCGGACTAACATGCTATAGGACTTATTCCCCCGTTCCGAAACGAGTTATGGATGGCAGTGAAGAAGGCGAGGTTTTGCCAGCGGCAGTCCTCAGCGGTGCGCCAATTGAGCTACAAGCAAGAACCGTCCGGTATGGCATATCTACTGAATGCGCGGGGTATACTACTAACACTACACCAGCATCTATCGCCCAACCAAGACAGCTACACAGTCGGGAGATTGGCACCAACACCACTGGAGAATGGATTGGGATATCTTGCCAAAGGGCCATAGATGGGAGAACCCATTGATGGGATGGCAATCATCTGGCGATTTTATGCAGGGGACCAATGTGACCTTCAAGACGAGGGAGGATGCTGTCGCTTTTGCGGAGAAGCAGGGCTATGAATACTTTGTCCAGGAGCCAACGGAGAGGAAGAGGTTACCAAAGGCATATGCCAACAACTTTTTGTACACGGACAAAAAGCTAAAGCATATTCGAACGAAGTAGATATGTGGATTTTTAGCATACCAGGCCAAGGCCGTAAATATATTCTCATTGTACCTTAGTTTCCGTTTGTTGCAACTAAAAGCACAAGATATAGTGCAAACGAGCCTCTCCAGATTCTATCGCTCATATGTATATGATTTCTCGTTGTCATACCTCCCATGAAAATGATCTTAGCTTGCATGTACATAAATAATGGTGTTGTATCTTTGGAGGCAATAATTTATGCCGCAACCATAACTTCATCGCAATGCCTTTTCAACTGTCATATATATCTATATACCCTGAAGTTTTTTCACCACTCTCCCCAATCTATCAATTCCCTCTTCCAATGTCTCCAGTTCCTCCCAAGCAAAGCACACCCTTAACCACTGCCCCAGGTTCACAGCACTTTCGTCTCCATGAACCTCGAACAGCTCTCCCTCAGACACAACCAGGTTCTCTTCTTCTTTCGATGCAGCGGCTGTAGCTTTCGCCGTCACCCCATCCGGTAGATGGAGCCAAATAAAGTAACCGCCAAATACACCCTTCCCTTCTAAACTCGACCTATTTACCTTCACACCAAGTGGAACAAGTACGCGCTCAATGGCATTAATCATCGTGGTCCACCTGTGTTGGTATCCGGGAATAAGCTTCTCAGCAATGTGCTTCTGCAGCGATCCATTCTCCAATATTTGCGTTATGAAGGTTGCAACAAGCTGAGAACCGCAGCCACCTGAGCGGGAAGACCCACACTGGGAGAGTCCATATGATAGCGCAGCTGTGCTATCAGCCCAGCCTGTGCGAACACCGGGACCTACAATCTTAGAAAACGAGCCATTGGAGAGTGTGTTCCCAAAGTGTTTTGGGTCAGAGGTATGAGGTGGTAAAGCCCGATCGATATCTGACAGGCGTGGCAAGAGTGCCTTGAGCTCCAAAGTAGGCTGTGCCTGGTCATTGGTTGGCCATCCAAGAAAATCGTATACGTCGTCGGTTATTATAAGAGCATTGTAGGTCCGAGCTAGATCGACGAGTTCTTTACGCCGACGGAGAGACATTGTCTTTCCAGAAGGGTTTGAGTATGTTGGAACACAATATATGATGTGGGAATAGATTTTGTTCCATGGCCGGCAGGGTTTCAATGGCTGGGATATATTAGCTCGAACTATATCGATACAAAGGGATACAGCTAGGCTAATAGGAAGAAGGATACAAGGAGAGAAATATCCGCCATGGAGGGCAGTTGAGATAAAATGACAGTGTGCGTCACGTGGTTATGACCTGGAAGGCTGGAAGGAAAGAAATCCAACTGGTGGCAGCGATTACTGAAGAATATAAAGACTTACAGGGCCTCTGGGCTCTTCGTTTTCTAGGCTCTTAAGCTCTCTTTCCAGTGCATCCACATCGATCCCCTCATCATCCTCTCTAACAGCCCTCAGTTTCCCAGTGAACCCTGCGTCTTCGAAAATCCTACAAGCCAGATAATAACATGGTGCTACCATCCATACTCTCTTTGTAATATTTGGGTCAGAGAAGACTTGCAGTGCAGCTGCCAAATTCTGGCTTGCACCGCCAGAAATGCATATCCGTGCGGGGTCGTCCGGGACGGAGTAGAAAGACGCGAGCCAAGAAGAAACGGCAAGCCGAAGTGGCTCATAACCCTCATCGGGCCCATACTGGAGGGCTGGTATCGAGATCGATGGCTGGGTAAGGGCGTGCTGGGCCGCAGACAGGAGGGCGGGGGTTGGGTGGAGTGAGGGTGAGGGCCATCCTCTGAGGAGGTTGATTTGGGTTTTTGGAGGAGGCATACCAAAAATAGGGTAATGAGGATGAGTTTGAATATAAACAAATGAATATAAATAAATATATAAATAAATTCGAATAAGCAACCAATGCACGTTGAACGTTCCGCTGTATTTCCGAGCTCAACAATTGGAGCTAAACCCCTGGCGAATTAATAACTAAATAGTTTAATAGTCTCGCCAAATCAGACTATCACGTCACTAATTATTTGACCAGAACTAAATCACAAATTCCTCAACAAGAGCAAAATAATATGTAAAATGTAACTTGATCATTGAAGCCTGAGCATAGTCCCAACTATTAATGGAATCATAACACATGAGTATAATGAAAAATACCCTAATACCAAACACACAAACTTCAAATCCCTCTACAACTAATCGAAAGATCGCCCCATTCATCCAAACACCCATGAATTATTCGTAACGCCCACTCAAATCCCGTGTATCATATTCGTTGGCCTAGCCCCGGAAATACAGCCACTGGATTACCTTTTTGACTGCTTAAGCTCTATTTCATCAGATGCATAGTTTGGATGCATAACGTAAGCAACCTGGTCAGCAGGTGCTGAGTCGTCCTCTCCATCCTCAGGAAGAAGGCCGTCCCCACGGACAGCCATGAGAGTATTTTCCTGGAGAATGAAGTTAGCAAATTTCCGTCGATTATGAATGGTAATAAATCATACCCTGATCAGTTTCTTGAGAACCTTCCTCGCAATATTCATCTCATAATGAAAGTCTTCCTCATTGTCCATCTCGTCCTCAATCTCGTCGAGATACCACCTAATAAGGACTTCGCCTTCAACACCATTTCCGGTGGCCAACTCCTCCTCTTCGATACGCCGAGCAATCATCTTCAGAATCTTCAAGTACTTATCGTGCGTAATCTTGGTTTTTGGGCGCTGTCCGTCTGTTCCTGCCTCCCGCCCATCGGCGTCTTCCATGGCTGCATCGCCTTCGACATCGGTAGGACCACCCAAGGTTCCTGCTAGATCTTCTTCTTCATCGTCGACCTCCACGTCATCCTTTTCGACACTGATGATACTCTGTCTCAGGAGATCGAAAGCTTCCGTCACAAACGCAGCAGTAACCTCACCAACACAATTCGCCTTAGCGATGGCCTCTGACAGACGAATCAATGACTCCAGCTGCCTGACTGTAATTCTGTAACTGTTTCTACCAATACCACCCTGGGCGTCATCACTTCTCAGCTCCTTATATTTTTGAACCAATAGCTCCCTGGCCTCATCGTTGAACTCGGGCTTGAACGTCCTCGCAAATCGGATGTATCGCTGAAGCTGTTCCGTTGTAAATTCCGGCTCTACAGCCTCATCGCGGAATTGGTGGATTTTAACGATGTGTTCGGCCAAGTGACGATCAGTAGCCTCGTTGCATTCGTCGAGGATAACAAAGAACAGGTCGAAACGAGACATGATAGGTGCGGACATGTTGATATTTGCTCGAAGAGTTGTCTTCCGATTGTACCTTCCACCAACTGGATTGGCAGCGGCAAGAATAGATGTTCTCGCGTTCAGGGTCGCTTGGATACCTGCCTTGGCAATGGAGATGGTTTGCTGTTCCATAGCCTCATGGATGGCGACTTGGTCGCTAATGTCCATCTTATCAAACTCATCGATGGCACAGATACCATTATCTGCAAGCATAAGAGCTCCTGCTTCAATTGTAAATTCTCCAGTTTCCTCGTCCTTCACAACAGCAGCTGTAAGACCTGCAGCCGACGAGGCCTTGCCTGATGTATAGACAGCTCTCGGGAGAAATGAGCAGATGTACTTGAGGAATTGAGACTTCGATGTCGAAGGATCTCCAACAATGCAGATATTGATATCGCCTCTGAGTTGCATACCCTCAGGAGTGGATTTGCTCACACCAGACAAAAGCTGCAACAGCAGTCCCTTTTTAACTATGGTATGACCATAAACCATGGGAGCAATGGAGTCCACCAAACGCGAATAAATATGGCCACTGTGAACCATTTCGCGAAGTTCGGCAATTTCTGCATCTGTCATGGACGCAAGAACAGCTTCTTGAGCAAGGTCGCCCGACTCATTTGGATCGATGGGTGCCGTTTGGTTAAGTGACGCCAGAATGTTACTAGCTTGGCCATATAATTGCTGGCTTGTAACTGAGCCAGGTGTCGAGGTATCAGGAGTCACCATACAAGCCAAAAAAGCTAGCCTGTATGTCAGATCCCGAACACCGAGAGCTTTAAGGCCAGTAACGCCAGTGCCTCCAGCATCTCCGCTTCTGGGCGCATTTTTATCGTCCCGTACAGCTGTTGGTCGAACACCCGGGAGCCCGAGTTGGCTGACGTCAGGAACAACTATCAATGCGCCCGTAAAGATGCACTTCTCTCCTGCCTTCGCCCGATCAACAATTTCTCCACGGAGGATGACGTCCAACGTCCTGGGCATACTGCCTGTTGGAATTTCCGAGCTATTCTCTTGAACCCTCACTTTTTGCCAATCCACGAATGTACTTTGCCTGATATCTAGGCGCCATCCCTGGCGATTACCGCAGTTTTGATTCGGGCATTGTGTCGGCTCAGTGTACCGGAATGTCTGCTCAATATTTGGCACCACCATCCGGCAGGCTTCACAAGTGAACGTGGCTAGGGAAAGCTCTGGGCGAACCTCTGACGTTCTGGTAATTGTGCCAGATATTGATAGAAGCTGGCCGATATGGGCTGTTCGTAAACTTCTAACCCTGTCAACATGACTCAGATTGTAAAATGCGATTGCAAAGAGTTTGTCTGTCTGTTGGTTGCTAGTTTTGTCTCCTTGAAAGTCAGACAGACTTTCGGAAGCGACATTGCCCGCTGCGGAAGAAGCCTGGTTGCTGGAGGAGGTTGGCTGACGATGCTCCTTAAAATATCTTGACTCGTATTTCGCGATCAAGTTGTGTAAGCCTTTGGTTAAGAATGGAAGAAATCTGTAGTAGTCGTTGACTATGGCATCTGCAAGATTTCCAGAAAACTGCTTCATATGGTTATAGTCAATGTACAGGGTCGAGAGTTGGTATATCCTCAGGCCGTGTATCTGAGCGATATAGTAGTAATTGCCCGCGGTCGCATTGCTGGACACTGGTGCAGCTGAGGGTGACGGTTCTTCCTCAAATCTACGCAGCACTTAGTAACTGTAATGTGACGAGTACTAGATATCCTACTCACTTTTCAAGAAATGTTTCGAAATTGCTCTGCACTGATAGACCGACTTTGTCCTCAACCCGAGGTATTGGGCGATCATGGATGTTCCTGGGTCTCGCTATTCCCGTAGGAACTTGGTCATCTGCAAACCCTTCATCGTCACTTTGAGGTGCAAGGCTTTCAGACGGTGGTCCCCGTGGTCGCACCGAGGAGCTTCGAATAGAGCCAGACATTGGAGGGGCAATCCTCCCGGAATTGAGATCAAAATCCGACATAGAGGCGGCGGTGTTGGCGCTCAGTATCAGGAATAATATGAGAGTACCAGTCGTTTATGGCCGATCTGTAAAGAAAATGAAGGTTTTCGTGGGTTGGACAGAGAGGAGGTCGAAATGTGAAATCAATGGTTTGGCACGACGCGTCAGGAGGTTGGCTCAGGGACGCGACAAAGTGCTTGCATACACGCTAGACGCGTTTTGACTTGGATGAGAGCCCAACTCCCCGCAGTCGCCAGTATCACGTGGTTACAATTCTCAATATCACGTGACCACGCGACTGATCTCCAGACACTCGCTGATTACCACCGCGTCCTCCATGAACACGACGATCTAAGTTGGCGGCTGAGAATTTTCCAATTAACAGCAAGACATAGACACTCCGATCTGCCTTAACACTGACTGGACGTAAACATGGCATCGGACTACGGAACCTATTTGGCGGCTAATATTCTCAATGAGGATCGCATAGTACATCATGCCAACCCAACGTTCCAGTTCTAGACCAGTATGCTAACGTACACCAGGTTACATATCGGCTTTTGAGCCGCGCCTTGAAGGTACACGTTAATATTGCCAAGGAGTGAGCTATTTCCTCCTAGTAAACCTGCAAATTCTAACTCAATGCTCAAGGATGCTATTCGACTTTCACCAGCAACAAAATCGCAAGAAGCCGGGAACAGTCCATGCCTCATACCTTATTGCGGGTAAAAAGCTTCCAACTGACCAGCCGAAGGCACCTAATGTAGACGGTGCCGACGGTGAGGCTGGGTATATGCAAAGTAGCCCTCCTTTCAGGAGCACCCCACAAGATGGTGCTCTGGAATCTAACGGAGATATTCCTACTCTCTCCGTCACTTTGGTTCGAGAAGGAGACCTCGAACAAGCACGGAAGAATTATGAGTCTATCAGCTCTATTCACGTCTATTGTTTGGGGCCGAGCTTGATGAAAGACCTCGAGGCTCTATCGGATGCAAATAGAGAAATTGTCGAGAAGTACAGAGATCAAGATCCACTCGAGGCTGCGTCAACATATGGCACCGTGATCAACAAGACTGTCAGGAGACGAGCGGGTCATCGTGTCGCCACATCTGCTGCGGTAGGCCCACCACCGGCTTTGAAAGCAACGACGAGCACCCTCAAAACAGAACCCAAAACAGAACCCAAAACAGAACCCAAAGCTGGTATCTCTGAGCCCAAACCCGATCCAGCAATCTCATCGACATCATCCACCAAAGCCAGTAAGGGATTCTTTGGAAAAACTGTCCCTAAAGGAGACGCTCCAGCGACCAAAGACATTCCGACGCAAAAAAACACTGCTTCACTGAAACGCGAAGGCTCTGGCGGTATCTTTGCATCGTTTGCAAAAGCAAAGAAGCCGGCTGTCAAACCGGAAGCCGTTGATGTCTCTGAGGATTCCCCGATGAAGGACGCTTCGGATGATGAGGAGGAGACATATGTACCGCCGCCAAGTAAACCAAAGAAGGATGTCGAGGAGAACCGGGAGTCGAGGAAAGCGAGGGAGGCGGCTCTACTGCAGATGATGGAGGAGGACGGCGAGGAGGAAGAGCCAAGTCTGTCTACTGTGCCTCAAGATTCATCTGAGAAGGAAGATGTGGAGAGCGTGACTCCTGATGTACTGCCCACAGCTAGCCAGGAACAGCAGGAGCATATGGAGGTTTCAGGGGGTAGGAGGAGAGGCAGACGACGAATAGTGAAGAAAGTAACGACTAAAGATGAAGAAGGTTACTTGGGTAAGTAGAAGAACCCTTTGCTTTTAATTACATAGCTAACAAGCTTCTAGTTACGAAGGAGGAGCCCGGCTGGGAGTCGTTTTCGGAAGATGAGCCGGTTGTCAAGGCGAAGTCTTCAGTTCCTTCCTCATCTAGTGGACCGAAAGGGAAGAAACCCGCAGGGAAACCCGGACAGGGCAATATAATGGCTTTCTTCGCAAAGAAGACATGATTGGCGGGCGAATTTGCGGTCGATCCTAGTCGATATAGCCTATGATTTCTTCCTTGGGCTAAAAACTAGACGCGGGTCGTAGTCTCGAAAGGGGTATTTAGGTTCGTTGTGATAATAATAATTTCCAACGAACACTTTATAATAGCACAAGACCAAGCCATAGCGAACCTGGATTCTCTGCAATGGATATATATACATCAAATGCCACTATCCACCGTGCTCCTTCTCTTGGGGCCTGGTTTAGCTCACCGTATATGGCTGCGCTCCGGGACCAAAAATCAGCTCTGGTTTCCTCTCCGCTAAATCTATAATTGTCTGCGCGAAGACGCTATTTGCCCCTATGTCGCGGGTCAGTTACAGTTACGGGTGGGTGGTAGTTTTCAACTTACAAGCAAACCAACTTCTTGTGTAGTCTCGTATACGATTGACGTGTATGCTCTCGTGAACTAAACCAAGTCTGCTAGCTTTGAGGACCAACGCCAAAGATTCTTTGATCTCCTCATCGTTATCCGTTGTCATTACTTGCAGCAACAAACTCATCGGCCAGGCATTCTCCAAGCCAATATGCGGTCCGCCAATGCCGTTAAATGCTCTCCCTTCCAGATAGTATGGGTTTCCGGACCTCTCGAGCAGCATCTTACGCGTGTTTTGATATACCGTATTCGTGACGTCTACAAAGCCTAGTATGGGCAGTGCGAGAAGAGACGGCACATTGGCATCATCCATTATGATCTGGGATCCATATCCGTCAACCTCGTAGGCAAAAACCTCGCCGTACTTTTTATGCTTCACAACGCCATGTTCCCAAACCCCATCAGCAATAGCCTGTCCGCGCTTTTCAATAACCTGTGCTTGACGCCCTTTCCCCGCTTTGCGTAAAATAGCTGCTGTGCGTTTCAGCTCAACAGCCATCATCGCATTCGCCGGAATATAGAAACCTAGAATCGTAGCATCATCAGAGGGTCGGAATGCAGACCGGACTAGACCCGTGCCATGGTTAAGGGGGTTTCCTTGGCCAGACAGCGGTAAGGTCTCCGTTCCTTGGGTGGTTTTTCGAGAGAATCGATACTTGTTTGGCTCAAACTGACCCGAGGTCGGATTGAAGGTGGATTGAGACTGCTCCTCGATGACTCCCATGAGCGCATCTAAAGCCTCATACCATCGAGGAGTTAAGAAGTCCGTCGACCGAGTAAACTTGTGAAATGTGTTTGATAGCGCTAAGAAATGTGCCAGGGAATCTAGCTCATACTTGCACTCGAAAACAACCCCAGGTTCAAAAGCGGGGTGGACAGCATCATCTTGGCCATTCTGGGTTGCCGCCAACTTGCTCGGTGGTGGTGGCTGAAATGCATTACAATAAGGCGACTGAATAACATATTCTGCTTGCGTGTTGATAGCCCCAAGTATCAAATTGAATATCTTTCGGTCTTTGAGGGCCAAAGGTTGGTATTGGAGTAATTGATTGGTGGAATCTCGCAGCCATTCAGCATTGATATCCCCCGTCACAATGAAGCTTTGAGCGCCTTCCCAAGCTCCATCGCCTTTCGTCTTATGCCAGGCTTTGAACTCATTGTGTTTGAGCTTGTCGATCCCATCAACATGCCACCTAACAGTTGTATCTAGCGTGTTGGGAAAGGCATTCTCAAAGAGCCTGGCAAGGTCCTTATCAACCATTTTAGAAGTGATATCACCAATTATCTTTTCGACGTGTGGCGATGTAAATGTCCGACATTGTGTAGAAGGCCGTTGAAACGGAAGCTGCATAACACCTTCGCTGAGCGGGCGGCTGTCGTCAATTAGTTCCGCTGCACATCCATAATCGCTGCAAATATACTGACTGGGGATATGTAGAATATTTCACGTAATCCGGACATGCTTCCTTATAATCATCGGCTACGGATGATGTTGTCGCGGATGTTTTTTGAGAAAATGTATCGAAATGTGTCGCGGTAGAAGGTTCGGAAAGGATCGCCCAAAGGATGGCCGCTGGAAGGGCGAATAGTTGCATTATTGCTTTCAGTTAAAACCTCGCACGAGGTATACTGTAAGAGCGTGATTACATGCGAAATGAAGTATGAACACTATATGAAAGCCCACGGCGGAAAGACAGGGACCACCGTCAGTGGCATGAGGTTGAACAATTGACCAGCTATTTTGGAGCCTTGTTGTCTCTCTCCTCCGCCATCGGGATTGTGGCGGCTAGCGCCACATTGTGGCTGACGTTATACAACCAACACGGGAATGTCTGGGATAGGTTTATTAAAGGTTTATATAGCACATAAAGCTGTAACAAAATCGGTGGTAATATAATAATTTACTGTTTGTACCGATCTTAATGCTTATTTCAAATAGGGTATTTCTATACGCCACTATGCTCCTTAATTCACCTCCCAAACACCACCCTTTCCGAAACAAGAATATTTACCCCCCAGAGAACCAAACCAGAGCCAATTACCCATTCGTCTCACCATCCCCAAGTCCTGGAAGCTGCACTAAAGACCGGAGGTTTCCACTGTATCCGAGCTGGATCAATTATCCTCTTCGGCTTGGATTTCTCTTTCTCTTTCGCTGCCCTATATCGTTCGATCAGTCCCGATGGTACAATCAATTTGTGCTCCCCTTTGTGGTATGCTAAGATCTCCAACGCCCGTAGCATCGATTCAACGTCGCCCAGAGTCATTGCCAGCTGTGCTGCCACAGACTCTATGCTGCATTTGTCGTCTCTTTCGTTGCTCTCCACCAATATTTCCATGATATTTTCCGTCCAGTATTGTCGGTAACTGAGAAGTCCCAAGTCGGAAAGTGGCTTCTCGGGGGAGCCAAGCTTTCCTTCAATCTTCGAGAGTTCGTATGAGAACTGAATAAGAACTCTTCCGTACCCCTTGCGCTGGTACTGGGGAAGAGTAAGGATACAAGCTACGTTGTAGCCGTCCGCACTCTCTTTCTCTTTCGAGAAGTAGCCAACAAGATGACAACCCTTCTCATCACGTGTAGTCATAACATAGAAAAGAAAAGGGTCCACGTCGTAATACAACGTTTTATGATCGAGAAACATCTTCGACAGAAGACAGAGATTTCGGCACCATGTTCGCTGCCGTTTACCGTCGATTTCAAAGAACGAGATGTAGTCGTCGCGGTAGATTTCGTTCCCAGGAGGATGTAGTAGTGTACACTTGGACCTATGCCGGGAGAATGATTTTATATCTCCGAAATAGCCCAGACAGAATTCGCAAATATACATCAAGTCCTCGTGAGCGAAGTCCTCTGGGTACGGAGAGAAATACCACGGATGGAGGTCGAATTTGCCGAATTGAACTTTTGAGATGTTTCGAATTCGAGAAATTTCAGCCTGGTTTTGCGTCATTGAACCACCGGTGCGTAGCCTAGACAGTTCTTCTTCTCGGCTAAAGTCTTCCCTGCCCTCTGTCTTTGCTACAGCTGTGTCGTGTTGGAGCTCATCGACATCCATTTCGTCTGCTTCCGAATCGGCTGTCTGATCGAGATCTAGAGCCATGACCATTTTTTCGTCGCCAAAAGCATCCGGAGTACCCTTCCCATCTTTGCGTCCTTCTGCAAATTCCACCCATTTTTGAGAACCACCTTCCGATACGGCTTCGGACGCCTCCCTAGTGGCTGCTGTACGCTTTTGCCCCTTCTTTGGGGGGGCTTTGGTTGCCTTGGATGGCTGTGATTTCGATGCTGCTACTGCTTTCTTGCCCTCTTTAGTCTTCTCTGGGCTCGGCCACTCCACGTCCTGATCGAAATCTATTCGTGAAGTTGGCACCCACTCGTCAAGGCGCTTGTTGAAGTTGTCGAAGTTGCAGTAGAAGTGTCGACCACTCTTTGTTTCTTTAATACTAAGAATTTCGGCCCTACGCGCCTGCCCATCCTTCTCTACCATAGCAATACATCCTGCTCTATAGATTTAATTAGTATACAATTTCGAAAAGCATCATGTGACGTACCTAAGAGTATCTACTGTCGCTTTGCTCTTCTGCTTGGGGGCTGGTGACCCAACCGCCGAATCCTGTGCTTTTGAGCTCGCTGTCATGGTGACTTCACATCAATATCAGATGGGATCAGCTTGAATATTGATGGATAGTGAGAAAACGCGGGGTGTTACTGATGAGATGAGTGAAGTGGGATGAAATGGTTGAAATGGGCAAGGCTGTGGCGCGACCAAAATAAAACCTTAGTATACGTAGCCTCGTTATTAGTAAGCGATATGTTTTCAGAGCAACCTCGCCGCAGTTCAAAATACATTTGCGCCGCCGCCGACTGGGATACTTATTCTACAACCTATTAATTACCCAAACCAGGTTTGCGAAAGAAACGAGGTTACGAGAATGGCACCTGAATTGTCTTCGAATTGGAAATTTCTTCAAGCAAAGTTGAAACAGGATCCGGCGAATGACAAAAAGTTAAAGGCACCGCCAACGCAAAGGCAACTAAACACCACTGCGAAGCGCCGGCGACAGGAAGCAAAGCAATTACTTGGTGGTGCGCCGAGTTTACCCAGGCCAGCTACGAAGCGGAACAAGATGAGCATTAATGGCCAGCCTCCTACGGCATCGCTTGCGCTATGGGCAGAAGATAATGAAATTTCGGCAAAAGATCTTGCAGCGGCTTATGGAGATGGTGTGAAGAATGGCATTATGTATGGCGCGGAAGAAGACAAGGTTAACGAGGGCCTGGCAGAAGATGTGGAAATTGGACAGTATGTGGCCATGGACTGCGAAATGGTCGGTGTAGGAGGGGAAGAAGATCGATCAGTTCTCGCCAGAGTCAGTATTGTCAACTACAATGGTGCACAAGTCTACGATTCTTTTGTGCGTCCAAAGGAGTTTGTTACAGACTGGAGGACGAAAGTGAGTGGGGTCAGCCCAAAGAACATGCCGACGGCGAGATCGTTTGAAGATGTCCAGGCAAGCGTCGCCGAGATTCTCAAAGATAGTGTCCTCGTAGGACATGCCATCAAGAATGACTTGGATGTTCTGATGATTGGCCACCCCAAAAAAGATATCCGGGATACGTCGAGGTTCATCGGCTTCAGAAAATATGCCTCCGGAAGGACGCCGAGTTTGAAAAAACTGGCCAGCGAAGTCCTAGGCGTTCAGATACAGAGTGGAGCGCATTCCAGTGTTGAGGATGCCCGCGCAACCATGCTCTTATTCCGAAGGTTCAAACAGCAATTCGACCTTGAGCACGCAAAGCGATTTCCACAACGGGTGAGGGTTGAGGGGAGCGGGGCAAAATCGGGGAAGAAAAACAAGGGGAAGAAGTGAAGTGATGGGGTTTTGAGTATTATTACTCCTCCAGTCTGCTTGACAGTTCTGGGCTATCACAATATTGCAGCTTCATTTCTGCGACTACCCACGGGAATAGTCTCATACCTGAGCATCGCGAAGAGACGACCAGCCCTCACATAATCGGACGCACGCATGTACGGCATGCTACCAAAGCGCCAAAGCCTTTGGTCAACGGTGACGTTCGCTCACGGCCATTCCCAGAAACTACCTCCCCTATACAACAGGTTATGTGGTTGTGTATTCGACGACTATCTTAACACAAAAGCCACTTTGCGGCTTTTATCTCACCGTCTATGGATTATCACCATCCTGCCGCCCATACCAACTTGCTCCGTTATATGAACTGCGCATGCCTGCGGCTTCAACAGTTTAGAGCCCTCAAAGCTCCAACATGGTGGAGACCTTTCGTATATACTGGACAATGTTCACCAAGGTGATGGATACTCGGGAGATACATACCGAAAGTATGTAACACACGCATGCTACGTTTGGTTTCGACAATAGTTTGTACTTGGAGTGTACTTGTGACTGACTATTTTGCAAGCCTTCATAGCAACTATGCCCATAAATATGACTTTATGATCCATTACCTATCAATAACCCTATGACGAGCATTTTTGGAGCTTATTGCATGTGAAATTGAACAGGAGAGGGGTTCATGGCCAAAACCATCCCCTCTCCTCGTGGCCTGTGCACGCGCGTATAATTGATCACGTGAATCTGTGTTCCGAACGCGTTGTTCACGACTTGACGCTACGATTGGAACGAGCGCTGGGACATGACCAAGAGTTTGCAAAGTGCAACCCCAACAGCCCCCTCATTATTAAAATGCTTTCAATCCGGAAGAGCAGTAAGCATCGCGGGAAATGCACGCCTAACGCTTTGCCATGTCGTATCAACCACAACGGCAGGGCCGAAGTATCGAAGAGATACTGGACGCCTACCAAACGCAATGGTGGGTGACCCATGAGATTCCATCCCAGCAAGTCCAATGCTAATTTGCTTTTACAGATGACAAGACCGTATCATACTTCCGTGGCCGCCAATTGTATGGGAGAACTGTCAAGATCCCTCCTCAATGCAAAGGCGTCGTGCTTTCCACCACAGAGACACCACAGGCGGCCCAGGCTCTACCAGGATCCCATTCATACACGAGTGATAGCCACGAGAAAGAGGAAGCCGAAGCCGAGGGCATGATGGAAGAGTTGGCAGACTTCGACGAGTTCGTTATCTGGGGTCATGTAGCGTTACCAGATGAAACTACAGACGCCTATATCAGGGCAATAGAAGAGTATACTGCCTTTGCCGAAGTAGTATGTATCGTTATCCAGTGCTACTACATAATCTGACCATTCATAGGTTCATACTGTGAGAGCGAAAGCGGAAAAGAAATAGCATTTGATAAAGCCATCGAATGCGGGCGTACTGGAATGGGGTGGGAGCTACGATTGCTAAGGCGTTTTGTATGGCGTTGGCAAATGGATGGGAAGCGTTGTAATTTATCTTTAGGACTTTTTAATCTATATGTACTGTAGAACAGCTCACTCAATGGCGGGATTCACTTGCAGCTCAGGAGTACTCTATACTCCTTTTTAGTCCTGGGGTTCATCGAGCTATGACGATAAATTATCGTTATCGTTATCATTATCGCCCAAAATACTTTAACCACTCCTCACGGGGTACCGCGCTTCGCATCCATCCCAAACGCGTTTCCTTTCAAATCGTCGCGTCAAAGAAATACGTGAATGCCAACCACTAACCAGCAAGCCTGCCATCTGCTTTTTTGCTTTCACGACAAATACAAGTGTTATAGCTGAAAGTTATGTCGACAATAGGGCCCCAAGACACAACTTTCGATGTTCCTGACCCCACCGATTGGAAAGGGACGGCTCTTCAAGGCTTTGCTGCTGTCGAGTCTCCCATGCGATGCCAAGTATGCAAAGAGTTCATGACGACTCCAATGATGACGAGCTGTGGACATACCTTTTGCTCCTTGTGTATCAGGAGATGCCTTGCGAATGACGGACTATGCCCGGCTTGTCGGACTCCCGATCAGGAATTGAAACTTCGAGCGAACAAGAGCATGGGCGAGGTCATCGATTCATTCAAGCAAATAAGAGGACCTGCCCTTGAAATTGCCCGAATGCCTCCAGCTCTTTCGGATTCGGTGTCACAGAAACGAAAACGTGATGCGAGTATTAGCAATAGCCAGGACCTCGAAAAGCGCAGAACAAGGTCGTCAGCACGCATAGCGTCCCAAGAACCTTTCGAGAGCCCCATGGAGGCCACGTACATTGAACAGTCTGACGGGGTTAATGGTAAGCGCGTAGCGCATTCCGATATCAGAGGTGAAGTGCGCCCGACTGACTGGTACCTTTATGAATAGATGACGGCCTAGTGGCTTGTCCCATATGCTCAGCTCGTATGAAGGAGTTTTTAGTTAACAGCCATATTGACACTTCATGTCCAGCTCCACCCAGCGACCACCCGAGCAGCAAGCCCAACAATGTATCAAATCCTTCCATCACTACGAATTTTAGATCGCAACGACCTACCTTCGAACCAAAGCCTCTTCCGACCCTGCCCTACTCCCTCTTTACTGACACAAGTTTGCGGAAGAAGCTCAAAGACTTGGGGATATCATCTATCGGAAACCGACCACTCCTCGAGCGAAGGCACAGGGAATGGGTAACACTCTGGAATTCAAACTGCGATTCCTCGAGGCCTCGTTCTAAGGCCGAGTTGCTGCGCGATCTCGAGACATGGGAGAAAACTCAAGTTAGCCAGGGAACACCGAAGAGTTATACTCTGGTCGGCGGAGGACTGCCGATCAAAAGCAAGGGTTTTGATGGCGCTGCCTGGTCATCGAAGCACGGGTCAGAATTCCGCAGTCTAATCGAAGAGGCAGAGCGAACCAGAAGACAGAAATCAACTGGAGGAGCTACTTCAACATCTGAACCAATTGGTGTGGTAATCGACCTGTCTGGTGATAGCTTCAACGATGAGACTAAGGAGTGCGCCGATTGACCGGCTTTACGTTCGCTTGGTTACATTCTGCTACGAAGCCCCATCACTTGTATAGGCGATTTTATACAAGAGAAATAGGCCAGAAAAGGTTACCAAACAAGAGTACCAATCTCATCCCTTTTCACAAAAACGACGCTTGCAGCTCTCGCAAGAAATATTAGATTGAGTCACGACCTCATCTAATATGCACGACTGAAGACGTGCAAGATGGCGACAAACGCTTATTAATTATCGGGAGATTCAATTATTGTGATTGAGTATACTTATCACCTCCTATCATAACAAATTCTCGACCACGCCATCCCAATGACCCCCACAAATATAGCCAGGGTGATCGACCTTGATACATCCGCGATGATTCACAGCGACAGTTGCTGCAACAATTTACTGCTCTCCTCGACTTGTCCCTCAGTAGTCTGCTTCGACCGACTCACTTGAGGCTCAACTTCTGTTTCCAGCGCCCCAAGTCGGCGTTTCGTCTCTGCAGCTTCCTCCTCCTCCTTCCTTTCGTTTGAGAGTCGTTCGGCCTCCTTCTTCTTGTCTCGATCTTCAAGTTCTAGTGCTTCGAGTTCGTCGTCCACCTCGCTCTCATCCACCACTCCACCATTCGCCTCGGTGATAATATTACCGACCTCGTCTACTTGAGCCATTTGCTCCCCCAGCTGAGCGAGAACGTCATCAACCCTTTCAACGCCGCCGATCTCTTTATGTAGAGCTTTCAGCACGCCCGTGCTGCCCTCCATAATGCGCATAAGCTCAACTTGATCTGCTGCCTCACTGATCTTCGAATAGACTTCCTCGAGTTGACCAAGCACCGCGGATTGCTTGGCCAGCTGAGACTCGGCGAGTTTCTTGGATCGAAGAGAGGCAATTGCAGAAACTCGATTTTTACGGCTCACGGCGTCTCGGGCAGCAGCAGATAGGTTATCGATTCTTGCAGCCAATTTCTCCAACTGCTTCTCAATATCGTGCATGAGATTCTTCAGGGACGCGATACTTGAATCTTCGTGTGTTATCTTGGGAGGTTGGGCGTCAGAGTGGGACTTGAATTTTATCGTCTGGCCATCATAATCGGCCAAGCCCTTGTCTCGTGAAATATACGTTAATAAGACCTCAAGATCTCTCTGTGATATGTGACGCTTGTCTGTCAGAACATCCCCGTAGTCTCGATAAAACATCTGTTTTGAATAGATCATATCGACCCGTGACGTATGATTGCCCATTCGTCGTAGAACCTCTCTCGTAGCAGCTTCCACGTTCGTCAGAACCACCAGCTCCTCGACAGATACTTTATCGCTGTCTCCATACCTGTCCATAAGTCCAAACTGTCTTAGGCCCCACGACACGGCCTGCCATGGCGTGCTGCTCCATGACCGTTGATATATGCTTTCTTGGGCACCCATGAAACTCTTCAACGGCATCATTTCCTTTTTACCCGTGGCATCGCGCAACACAGCTCCCAGTGCCAAAGGGCGGCCCCATTCTCTTGTTTCTAAACCGTGCATGAGACTTTCATCTACTCTCAGCACCAAGAGGTCTCCAGAAGCAGGGACACACCCTTCCCGCAACGCAGACGCTAGGCCTTTCTTCCACGCCTCGACATTTGCAGCAAAGCCATCAGGATTTAAGCTTTGGAGCGCCCTGAAGTCTGAGTACAATGCCGGGAGTCGAGCCCTATCGTATCGTCAGCAGGGGACGCACATCGTTAACTCCTAGTCCTTGTTACCTGCGGAACTGTTCATGCGTCGTCAAAAACTCAAAAAGCTCGCCCATAGTCAACAGGGCACAGGGTCTCAGAATTTGCTTCCGAGATAGTCCCGTTTGTTATAGAGAGACCGTATCATGACCAAATTGGCACATGTGACTGCCTGGCTGTGTAGCCTTTATCTCAGCATGTCCCTAATGCACGTGATAGCTGTGTTCCTGAATTGTGGCCATTAAATTCAGGCATACATAACGAAACCTGTCGACGTTTCAAACCATATTGTCCCCACCCAGCACCCTGTTCGATACCCCTATTGTTGAAAATACGTGATCTTCTGAGTTATTACACACGAAGTAGCACTTGATAAATGAGACATTTGTTGATTCATGACGACGCATTATACTATGTACTATAAAGATAAAAGGCTAGTATTTTCTACAGCGGGTTCAATATTAATAGAGTTAAATCATGAAAAATCATCCTCTTTAACTCCCTTGCCGCCTGTATCCTCTTGTACCATATGCAACGGTGCTGTTTCTAGGCTTCCCATTGTCGGCATGGTGGCGCCTATGAGGCTATTCCGGTGCGTTCGTGCGTGTAATGTTTCGCTTCCTTCAAAAGTTTCGGTTTCAATATCCTCAGAAACCTCTTGAGTAATCTGGCCCTCGCCACAGAGTGATGCCCTCTTCAAGTCTTGTTCGAGGCCAATCAAAAATTCGTTCGCGGCGATAAACCCGGATATCCCCTTTTTGCTCGCGGAGATGTCATATACGTTTCGGACACGGCCCAGCAATTTCTGAGCTTGAACATATTTACCTAAAATAAGCCATTTATCAGCGGCCAAGATATCCCACAACGCCGATTTTCGAGACCGGCTTCCCCAGCCTCCAGACCCTGTCCCCTTACGGGACTTGTAACAAGTCGCAACCCTCTCCTTCATCAGGGCATCTCCTGTTGCTCCAAGTATGTTGCTTTCGATTATCTTTGTTCCCCATTTGGCAGCAGCTTCCGAGGCAGACTCGCCACGGATTTTGAGCAATTCCATACTCAAGATAAGGCACCGCAAAGCCCCGTATGGTGAGTTACAACGTGTGAGGTACGAGTAACACGAAGCCTCCAGCATTTGATCAACAGATTCTATTCGGACTTTAGAGCTCATAGCCTGTGAGGCAAGAAGGGTGCTAACAGCAGCCATCTCGCTGGCAGCTGCATAATACTTCCACGCTTTGTCGTTATTGAAGTCGGACCTCAACAGCTCGTACACTGACTGCGCTAATTTCCAATCGCGTAACATGAAGGCATAGTCGGCCAACTTCCTCATTATTGATTCCGGTGTATCGGGCTGGTAAAAACCATGAACGGAGTCATAGTTATTGCCGGACCCACCAGCACCTGGACCCCCAGAAGATGACTTGGAGCTGTTGCCAAATACCGTCCACTTTTTAGACAGGCTCATGAAGCGGCCGCTGATCCCACGGCGCCTCGATGCAACTTGGTCATTCCATGTCGATATGCACCTTTCCATTGATGGTACTACAGATTGAGTAACCATCTCCCGAATGAACGTTGTAATCGCTGTAGCATCCGACTCAAAAATGCAAGGAGGAGTAATATCTAGTCCGTCTTGGTCTTCTCTTGTTTGTATATCCAGCAGTTCCTCGGTAGCCGACATCCACTCACAAGTAGGAAGAGGTATGCTATCGTCATCTGTGGCGACGCAACGGCTGCTTCGCAACCTCAGAAGATGGCAATGCAGACCAAAATGACGTTTCATCTGGTCGAACAAGCTCATTGCCTTGCCGATATCGTCTCGTTCTTCATCATGCACAAGAACATAATATCGTAAATACTCGCCATTCACCCATGACGGCAATCGCTTTTCACCCCTAGTTGCCTCTTCATAGAGCCGGCGGAGCTCTTCTATCGGGTTGGGATTGCGTGAGCTTATTGCAATGATACACGCAACTGGATGTGAGAATGTTTCGTGTGGAGCCAGTGGCATCCCTGAAAGGAGCCTCCTTAAGTACAACGAGTAGAAGGGTGATAATTCGGATTCAGGTGTGGGTAAATCTCTTCCAGCCAGGTGGTCTTGATACCCCACACCAGGGAAATTCTCTGCGTATTCCAGGTGCAAGTCAACCACATTCTCGACAGCCTCTATATTTCCCCCTGTCGCAGTAAATTGATCCTCGGTGATATGCTGCTCATTCTGCTTCGATAATTGCGCAGTTGAACTCTTTAGGTTTTCTGAATGCACAGGACGCTCATATCCACTCCCAAGCTGCATGAAGCGCACCGAGAAGTCTTCGCAGACCCTGCTTGCACCGATGCTATCCCGAATAATTACTTTCCCCTGGACATGGTCACCAAATGGTCGTAACAGCTGCCACAGACCCCCGGAAAATCCCTTTTCCCCAATAAGGTCGTCTGTGTCTTTGGACGGGAAAACAGCAATATGGGGTACGAAAGCATGTGCTATCAGTGGCCTAGGGTCATCTCCATCACTGGCAGGCCGATCGTGTGGGGCGCCTTCGTGGGGTGTTCCCCCACCAAATATTGACCCAGAAGGTATTTTGGGGGTCGTTATGCCAGCACTAGGTGACAGAGGCCGTGAACCGGGCGGTGTTGTCGCCGCAAATAGGACGGAAGCAGCAGCGTTGGGCCTGTATGGTAGACTTGATATAGAAGAGGCTGGGGATTGTAAATCTGTATTATCTCTTGTCGGCGGTAGCCTCGCCTGTGGGGAGGTGGCTGCTAGGGAGGGCGACTGTCCATGAGGAGCTCCATCATTGATTGATGTCATGAAGGCCGACCGACCCGGGTGTTTGAGTGCGTGAGGTGTGGGGTGTGGGGTTCAGAACAGATAGGCTCGATGCTCAAATTGAAGTCTCATTCGAAGCTGAAGTTATCAACTACCATTCGAAGCTGTAATGGATCAACTACCAGTTGTGCTACATAGTCAAGTCAGCCTCTTTCATTCGTCTATCTGTGGGAACAATCATATGCTGACGAGACGGGAGTACCCTACAAGGCATGCTCCGGATTTGAAGACGTAGAAACCAAGAACGAAAGAGTATAAATCAAATGGCATGGTATAGTGGCTCGAAAGATAGTGAAGTTGTCGCTGTTTGGCAAAAAGGCAAGGCCAGTTGCGACTGTAGGGACTGCGGGCTATATCAAGACAAGAAAGAGGTCGTGGTCGTGGTCGTGGTTGACGATCTTTATGGAGATGGAGCCATTTACTATTCACACCCGTCGGGGCGAATTAAGGTTCCTGGGTGGTTGCGTGGTATGTGGTATGTACTCTTACTGTACCGCCGTACATGTGCTTTATGTGCTTTTGTACTCCACCGGAAACTTAAGAGGTACATGTTCCGCTCAACCCCCACCAAAACATTTTATACCCGTCATTTATTTATTTACCTTCAGCCTCTCCACGTCAAACCCGCCCTGAGTCACCAGTCACCCTTCTCTCCCCCTCTTTCGAGCTTCAACTTCTACTTTGCGCTTCAGTTTATACCTCAAATATAATGAAGTTTCTTCTACGTTTTACATGACTATCTCGTATTCGATATCCCCGCGCCGACTCATATCTTGCTCTACATTATCATCAGTTGGGCGATCGTTCCGCCTTGTGACTCAACAACCCACCTCCCAAAAGCGCCAAAGTTCGCACAGAAGTCGGAGCTTCAAGAGGTTCCCACGAAAAGCCATCATGGCCAGCGCCAGCATAGGTCAGGCGAATTTGCGCCCCGAGGATGTCGTAGCAACTGCTCGGATTACTCTTACCCCCCAGGAGTCCAAACTACGAAACCTGCTGCTCGATGTGGCTCGGTATATCGACGAGTCAAAAGAGATCAAGGAGCGCCTGGAGCTTCGATTCGCCGGGGGCTGGGTGCGGGACAAGCTTCTGGCTATTCCAAGCAACGATATTGATACTGCTATAAATTCAATGACAGGCTATGCGTTTAGCCTCAAGATGAAGGAGTACCTCGATGTCCCAGAGAATCGGCTCAAGCATGGCATTGAGAATGTCTCGAGCCTCCACAAGATAGCAGCAAATCCAGAAAAGTCGAAACACCTCGAAACCGTCACCACGAAGTTATTGGGCTACGATCTGGATTTCGTAAACTTGCGGAAGGAGACATATACTGTTGATAGCAGGAATCCACAGATGGAATTTGGAACCGCAAGAGAAGATGCTTTACGCCGAGATGCAACTATCAATGCGCTGTTTTACAACATCCACACAGACGAAGTGGAAGATTTCGCAGGAGGTCTAGCAGACCTTGACGCAAGGCTAATCAGAACTCCTCTTGAGCCTCACCAGACCTTCGTCGACGACCCGCTTCGCGTCTTGAGATTAATTCGTTTTGCAAGTCGGCTCAATTTCAGAATAGACACAGACTCGGAGCTGTCTATGGGTGATCCGGCAATTTTAGACGCTTTAAAACTGAAAATCAGCAGAGAAAGGGTCGGCGTGGAGTTGGAGAAAATGATGAATGGTCAGTTAATTCCTCTGAGATTCTGCTTGTCGAGTCTTGATGCTAAAGAATGTCACAGACAAAAACACCCGTACTGCTTTTGACCTGATTGATCGGCTGGGCCTGTATACGACAATATTCACTAACCCCACTGCAGAGCGATTTCCCCAGGTGGATACTAGCAATTGGAAAAATGCATATAACTGTCTTGATCTTATCAAGTCTAACGAATCTCCCGCCTCCATTTATAAGCTACTTGTTCGCTCTGACGAATCTGAAGCTGTTGCTTGGGTCCTTGCAGCATTATCACCTTGGGCGCTTCTTGGGTCCCCTCCCAGACCCCCTGGAGGCAAGCTACCGCTTCCATATGCTACATTTGCTGCTAGGGAAGGTATCAAGTCAAACAACAAAGTTTGCGATGTTGTTACGGGTGCTTCCAGGCACTTTCGCGAAATTATCGACCTAAAGGCAGCTGTACTGGCAAAGGAGTCTCACGTATATGAACGTGACACGATAGGCATGACAATTCGTCGCTGGGATGCCAATGGTGGCCAATGGAAGCTCCACGTCGTTCTAGCCATACTCGTGGAGTCTATGGGGACTGATGTCACTGCTGGTATGCCTGTGTCCTTGTTTGCAAGAAGAAAGAGTTACTAATTGTCTAACAGGATATGATACCTTTCTTCAACAGTGGCAGAAGTTTCTGGATCATATTATTGACTTGGATTTGTTGGAGGCGGCAACTTGTAAACGGATTATAGACGGCAAACAATTATCGAAGGAACTCAAGGCTAAGCCAGGGATATGGATGACGGCGGCGTTGGATTTGGTCATGGCCTGGCAATTCCGCAACCCTACAGAGACAGATCCTCGTGGGGCAATCGAGGAGGTACTGAGGAAGAAAGAGGAGCTTAAAATTCCCATTATATAGGCAATTTTATGTTCTTCGACGACCTTTTTGGTCATAAATATTTTCTTGGTTGGAATTGATTGATAATAGCATCACGGACAGGTTGCAGACTAAATGTTGCGTTGGGTGTTGATTTAGGGGTAATAGTGATGATGCTAGATCTTGGTAAATTTGTATTTGGTATCAGTCGCTGTGCAGTACGGAAATGTTGGTCTCTGTCGTCACGTGGCACACGCATCTTCCCAAATATGAGCTTTGGTATTGGAGATCTTGCTGGCGGCCTCATGTCCGCAATGTAAACTACGCCTGTACCAGATAAACTCAAACCTACAGTACTGTTGTGGTTTCTTATTGTTTGAGCGAACAAACCCTGCGCCCAAATATCCAAAAACCGTCAACCAACATTGAACCTCCCCCAAGCACCTCACACCACACATAAGCACCACGAACTCACGACACCATACCTCCAAAATATGACCTTACTGTTTAGTGCAGCCCAGAAAATTGTTACAGAACAGGTTAATAAAGGGGTTACTATTGATGATGTTGGCACCTTGGTTGTACCGATAGATGGTAATGAAGCCCTGGCTTTGACATCCTCGTTGAACCAGCGTTAACAAACTCGTGCTTGTCAGCTCTACCACCAAAATATAGCATTCGACAACTGAACGATGGGCTTATCCAGTTACCAGTATCCTCTCAGGCCGAGGTGAGCAATACGCACACCATGCTTCGTATCCCACTAACTAGGTTATGTATCAGAAAACAGCCAAAGCTGCAATTCTTGAACGCTGCCTGCAAAGTCGCGAAAGACTGAGCCTGGGAGGTGACGAATCAGTGGCTACACGGGAATTAATAGCTTGGCTTATTGAAACTATACGCCCCGATGGTGCATGTTTCCTCGACGCCTCGTTTGACGAAGGTTCCTATGCTCGCAATACTCCTTCAACTGGGCATTGCTAACCATTCTATCAGCCAATTCTCCAGAAATAGAGAAAGCAAGAGAAGAATGGAGGTTCACATCTATATTCGCCCTGAACTCCATGAAACTCTTGATATCGTACGGCTACATATCAGAAGCAAGTACTATGCCAGAGGTTTTGTTGAGTTTGCTTGCCTTTACTCATCTGGACGATACCTGGAATTCCAAGCCAGCGTATGAGGTTTCAAAGGATGCATTAGATCACCAATCACAGGAAGTACATACAGGGACATTTATTGTCGACTATGTTCTAAAGGGGTTCATACGCCCTTTGTTCGCGAAGTCCACCCCACAGACAATAACATCCCAGGGAAGAAAGGCACCAATTGAGAACCTGGGGAATCGAATTATTGAGGTAGCAAGCAGCCCTGACGCGATATCGAAACCGTGGAAATGCAGAGATATTCATGCAGTGACGGTATTTAAGTGGGTGGTCACTACAGCTGATGTAAGGTCGCAAGTCGTTGAACACCATCAAGATACTAACTAGCACCAGGAGGGACTAATATCCAATAACTGGCACTTGTTCGTCCCGCCGTTGATGACTCTCTTAGATGACCCTATGACTTCTGTGAGAGCATCGGGATTAACCATTTTATCTGAATTCCTCAAGAAAACTTCACCAAGAATGCTCGTTCAGACCGGCCTCAGCGATTTACTCGAGGAAGCGCTCATGCCGACTCTGTCATTTCTACCCACCCTAACTCCCGTCGCAGAGTCACAACTTCTACTCAAGAAGGCATATTCAGCTCTATTAGAGCTAGGGGATATTCGATACGCCTCCAAGGATAATAAACCCGAAAGGAATCGGTTTTACGACAGACTGATGCGTGAAGGGGTTTTTTATGGGATTCACCATTCCGGCGATATAACGATTATACTGGAGCTATTACTGGCTGAAATGAGCGAAATAATAAACCGCCTTCACATTTACTCCGTCAAACATGCCAAGGTTTGCAAGATTTCAAGTTGCTTGAGTAAACAAACTAATGTTCATGCAGGATATCCTGCCATTACTTTCGGCTGTCCTGGTGGATCCATTCGCGCCTTCTAACCCTGCCCTTCTTCTACGAGGAATAAAGACTGTTCAGACCACAATCCTCAATTGCTGGCCAATACTCTCGGAGGAACATCATCGCGTTCAGATTGTCAAAGCGCTGTCCATTTGCTGGATAAATCTAACCGAAGAGATTATGAACAGTGCGAGTGAAAATGTCAAACACGAACTTGGTCAACTCAAGCAGGAGCTGCAAATTTCGGCCGCTTTGCTTTTCAAGTCCACTGTAGGAGCAGCTGGCCAAGAAACGGCCCTTACAGATGTAGTCAAAGTCTACCCTGACCTTTCGAATTTATTCAAACTCGAATAGAATAGAACGTATTATATACTCAATATTGGCCTATAAATACCGCCTAGACCTTCGTTGCAGATAGGTACAAGTTGAATGCAATGAATATCGCAGACTTGCCCATAGGCCGTGTCCTCATGTGAGCTTTCAAGCACATAAGGTGTATTCCGACGCAAGGCCCAAGATTCCAGCTACCGTTAGAAGGACTCAAAATCTATTGGTTTTGTTACCAACGTCCAACACATGATATGGATACATTCAGTCAATAGGTTGCTGCTTAAACAATGATTTCCCGTTATGCCATTTACGGTATGCTTTATACCTCTTCTTCTGGGCATCCTCGTTGGTGACTGTGAGAGGATTGTCGGGGACGGTTAGAAAGTCGGAAAAGTCTCTTAAATCCTCCTCAAGGGTATACGAAAGAGAGTTCGATTCTTGCCACGCGCCACTTACATAATCCAGATATTCGACATCAATATCTGCTGGCGTTTCAGTTGAAACGACAAGTGGTAATGTCTGCGGGTGATTAATGTACCGCGCATAATCTTCCGCTTCCTGATCCGTGACAAATGGATTCAGGGAATCCTGGACGACTTGCTTGAAAGTCAGCGGGGCCGTTTTGGATAAATCAAGCGCTGGCAGCTTCTGGTTTGATTGTAATAAGTGGATATTTGTAGACCGAGGCTCCATCACAGTTCCATGGCTCATGGAGGCTTTCTCGTCGATAGGCTGAAGCCAGCGTTGCCTTGGCGTTCTTTTTGTGGCTCCCCGGCTGACAGAGGTGTCATCGTCGTGCTTGTCCTGAGGATCTAAATTGGCAGCTCGGTATTTTACCGCTTTTTTGTCCGGCACTTCTTGATTTATCTCTGTTCGAACTCTGAATGGACTCAGGTCATACCTCCCTTCTTGGGCAAACCTAACGGGTATGTAGCGTACAGTCGAATTCATATTATAAGAAAATATTTTCAAGAATGAGGAAAGTGCGAGAGGTTTATAATATTCGAGCCAGTAATCGTCAAAATTATAGAGTGTTTCGTCAGTGGTTCTCGATGTTAATAATAGCGCATCAGTTGGCATCTTCCTCTCGGCCAGATATTCCGGGGTGTACCAGGAGATATAGTTGCGACGTTGTTTCCCAGACCAAGCTCTTGGATCAGCATGGTGCAGGTAGTAATCGGTTACTAGATCCCAAAGCATGGGTTGCCCTTGGGTAAAAATGTAATTGCCGAGGAAGAGGTTGTATGCTTCTTGCCGCTGACCGTCGAGAAAAGAGTTGTTATAGTACCTCTTGAAACTTTCCACCATATCCCTAGAGTGACTTGTCCACTGGTTTATTTTACGATATGTTTCCATAGTATTGACGAGTTGAGAGCCTCCATATTGAACGGCAATGGTGTCGCCATGATCATGATACATATGGGTAAAGAGATTGACAGCGTCCGTATCATAATCAATAGAGGTCCCAGCAATGATTCCCAATGCGTGCAGCTGATATCCTAGGGCTCGCTTTCCAATAACAAACTGGGCTGCGTTGGTGCGATCAAGACAATCGATGCAGTTAGTTCTTGCAACCCCGTTCTGCACTGTAGGGAGAGTGGTCTTGCCGTCTCCATTCCGAAATAGACCGGTAGTGGTAACAACTTCCTCCGCGATAGCTTCAAGTGTCCCAATAACATCTTGGTCACGGCTTTTAGACGCTCGGCTCATATCCCATGCCTTGTGTATGATTTTTTTACCCTCCGGCAGGGACTGATTTAAATATTTTATGGCACTTGTGAACTCATGCAATAACTTCGACTCGCGAGGAATCCTCTCACGAGACTTCACGAGGTTAAGGACGTAAATTGGGGCGCCGTATCGCTGAAACAAGTTGTCAAAATGAAGGGCTGCCGCACTGTAGAACGGGTCTACCAGATTCAGTTCGATGGGTGGCTTTGGTGTCACTCCAGTATTATCCTGAGTCCAGTATAGGGGTATGCTTCCTCGATGTTGAACGTATGACGTATAGTTTGGACTGGCAAAGAGTTTGGGACCCGGCGCATGGAACGAAGTGGTCAGGCCCTCAGCAACTATTTGCTCAGTTTCGACATCGTTGGCAACGTAGCCCTAGGCAATATTTAGTGAGGAACTAAAATAAATATGGGCGAGCTTACCAGATCATTTGCCCCGCGTTTAAGGAATCTGGCCCCGGCAAAGAATCGCGATCTTCTTGCAATGATTGTAATATGCACGGTCCGGCCGTATATTGAAAGGGCTGCAGGGTTAGCACGTATTCGACAGTGATATACATAGTGCCATACCTGCTTGATCCATGTAGCCATGGATTATTGGAAGACACCAGTCGTAGGTGTTCTTCAGTGCCACTGTAGCAGGCCTCAACAAGTAGTTGTTCCAGACAAACATGTCATTGTATTCAGGCGGGTATGGGCGAGGAAGGTTTTGAGTCATGGCGGCGCGTTCCTTTAGGATATTGTGTTGGAGTGTGTGCGTTATATCGTATGAATAACTGAAGTAAAACGAACGGGACAAGTCAAGATTATTCAAAATCCCCAAAAATCTTGTCTCCTCTGCGTTTCGAGAATCTGGTTTGAATCTGGAATTCTGCGAAGTGACGAGAGGCACAAGTTCCGTCCCATCTATTTGGTAGACATAATGCCCCCCAATCATGGCTACTTGGCTTCTCTTGGTAATCAAAAGCATATAATAAGTCCCGGTGAATCGAACAAAACCGAGAAGGCCCCATGTGCTGCATTTGAGCTTCATCCCCCCAGTGCTTTTATTGCCGTCGCCCACGGCACTTAATAATTCGCTCATCTCTTTTTTCGTGTACACCATGTCATCCTCAGCTACGCTTAGGTTCCCAACGTCCGAATTACGGTCAATTTTTAGAATCCGGAATCTCTGGTCCATGATGTCGGCGCCCACGATGAAGTACCTCGTCGCTGTTTCGTATACTGTGAATTTGTGCATCTTACAACCCCCCTGGTCGCTCGCTTTTTTATGCACCGCGCCTTTACCCTTCTTTTGATCAATGCTGGGACCAGCGGAACTTTGGGAAGAGCCCGAAATCGCTGGCTGGTCATGCAATCCACTGTCCTGGGCAGATTTGGTAGATGAAGGCTGACTTGCATCTTCGACATGTTTTGGTACGTAGTTGTGGAGCGGGGACAAAATTGGCTCAGTCGGAGGGTCCCCCGCAGCGAAATAATTAGAGGCAGACGATGGCAGAGGGTGCATGGCAGGTGTTGATCCAAACGTGTCATCGGTTGGCTGTGCACGTTGACGGGTTTCATCCTGGAATTGCCCCTCAGAGTCTTGACGGCCCCGGTGCCCCGAGGATCGCGACGATCGTCCCCGTGATTCTTCGCCGGTATCATCAGAAGCTCCTATCATGTTGAAGGCTCCTCTTCTGCACACGATCTAGACAGCTACTGGCGCCGTCGTGTTTATCCGTTGTGAAAACTGTTTTGCCATGCTGCGGTCAAACCATAAGTAGATTTCGCGGTTGCCTTCCGAAGATCCTGTAGGGGATATTCAGCATGCCAATATTTAGAACATGTTTGGCAATATAGGTGGGTTGTTGATCTGACAATTTAGGTGTATTTTAAAGGGTGCTGTAGACCGCGAAGGGTCAAGTGAGGTCTAGCCATCAAGGTTGTCCAGCTTTGAAGTCAACGATCCCAACGCACGGACCATGCACGATTAAGCTACGATAACCGATAATCGAGCATGCACGAACTTATAGTACAAGGCTGTCTGTTGTCTATGTGACCCACCTTCCGATTACCATACCCAGCACCAACTCTGCTTCTTCACAATCCCGCAAAGCCTCAATACACAAACCTCACCATACACCTCTGCCTTTGCAGATTGCGGATTGCGGATTGCGGATTTTCTGCAATGGCTAATATATCTCCCCCTCCAAGCGCTACGTACGTGTCATTGCACACCGACACGTTTGTTTCGCTGCTAACCGTGATATAAAGTGTATATGTCCGCAACCTAGAAGAACATATCAAGGTTGATCAACTGAAAGAAGCGCTCACGGAGCTGTTCTCGGAATATGGCGAAATTATAGATATCGTCGCGAAGACAAATTTAAAGGCAAAGGGCCAGGCTTTCGTCGTATTTGACACTGTCGAATCTGCCCAAAAGGCTATCGATGAAGTCCAAGGCTTCGAGCTTTTTGAAAAACCGATGCAGCTCGCGTTTGCAAAAACAAGGAGTGATGCCACGGTTAAGAGGATCGGCGACGAAGAAGAATACGAATCTCACAAGAGGAAACGCCTCGCAGAGAAGGGTAAGTGATACTGATAGTATGTTGGAGAAGGTTACTGATCCAAAGGATTATTAGATAAGAAGAAGTCCGCGGAGGCTGCCGAAGAAGCCAAGAAGCTGAAGATCGCAGCGGCAGCTGCTGGAAATGCTGCAGATATGACTTCTCGACCTATCAAAGCAACAAGAGGCGCTGGCTTACGTTCCTCAAATGCGGCCACCAGTGCAGTGGTTCCGGATGAATATCTTCCTCCGAATAAGATCCTCTTCGTACAGAACGTTCCAGATGAGTACGATATTGATGCTTTAACCAGCATCTTTGGAAGATTTGAAGGATTTCGGGAAGTTCGTTTGGTCCCAGGTCGCCGTGGTATTGCTTTCGTCGAATATGAGGCCGAGGCTGGTGCTATAAGTGCGAAGGAAAACACAGCAGGTGTGGCCCTGGGGGAAGCTGGCCAGGCCATAAAGGTCACTTATCAGAGGCAGTGAATTTTTTTGTTTCTGAATATAAAATTGATCTATGAACAACACAAATAAGCTTATAATGTGTGCCTTTAGGCGCAAGCTTGCCATATGACAGGGATTGCCATCCATAACACATTTCGAAGCTATCTAACAATTGTTCAGAATATGACGTCCGCATCTTCTTGCTCCCCAAGAATATCCGCATTGCCCGAGAGTCCGTCGTCACCGCCGTTGCCAGCAGCGTTGTCTTTTTCCCTTCTTGCTGCCATCTCAGCATCGGCTGCGGCGACGTCTCTTTGCTTCTTGTTCGCAACCTAAACATAGTGTAAGACAACGTAGATAGCCTATATGAACCCAAGCCTACCTTCTTAAGCCGATAAAACTCTTCTCTATCCAGCTCATCGAGCTCAGAATTAATATCTAGGGATGGTTAACGCTATCATCTCGAATGCTAGTGGGAAGACGGCCAAAACTAACATTTAATCGTATTTTCAGTACGTGGAATGATGACATGTTCACTGATATAGGTTAGCCAGGGTTGATTGGTAAAATGACATATACAGACATGGCATTCACTATGACGGTCAGCAAAACAGAATCGAGAGAAGGCGGTTACAATGAAACGAACCTCTGCGGTTTACAACTTTGATAACCTCATCCAATATCACAAAAGCTGTCTTGAGTCGAGTGTTAGATATGCTCGTACGAGGCTGTCAAATAGAAGATGGTACCTGTAAACTGGCAAGCTCAACCAGCGTCTCGACAGCTCGCGCGTACGTTTCCCTGCACCTTTGGACCTGCTGCCCCCCCTTTCCCAAACCCGTCAATCCGAAATCGTTGTTCCCTTCCGTTGTATAGCTTTCAAAAGCAGGCAGGAAAACGCCAGAAACATTCTCTTGCTTCGTTCGGATACGAAAGCGTGCAGATTTAGCAGACTCCTGAACCTGGTAACCAATATCGCCGCCAACAGCATAAGTTACTTCTGCAAGTGAAAATGCCGCTATCTGCATAACTCGTCCCATTTTGCGCTTGGCTTCATCAATTCGACGGGTTATCTCTAGCAAGGGTGTCAGCGGAGTATCGAGATGCGACTCGTTAGGTGCTACCTCTGAAACGCCTGTGGTCTGTTGTCAGCTAAAGTTGAAGACCGTAAGGTAAGGAATATATACTTCGTTAATGCCTCGCTCTTGCGCTTTAAGAGGCTGTGACCTGTCTCGGCTCCCTTGAGTTTGGCCTTCATCAACCCCAGCGTTTGCCTCGTAGGGAAGACAGCCTCTCGGTCCTAAAACGAGCTGCGTTAGCCAGCACTTCGTGACACTGAGCACCCAGGTTATATTACCGTAGCTCCCGACATTTTGAGAAGGAATATAAATTGCTAGAAAGAGTGCAATGGCCGTTACGGCGAAATAATTACTCCAGCTAAGCTTGATTGTCTCGCTGAGTTGTTTACAGCGGACATTATTTGAAGTACAATACAAGCAAGCTGGACATGCCCAGTGGGTTGCTCTCCAAGATAAGGCGGTTGCGGGAACAGGGTACTGCCTCACCGCCTAGCCGATACGGTTTAGCGTAGTAAGCGCCTGTTCAATGCCCAAACTGTCTGCGACTCGTCCTGTGCCGCGCGCGTCTTCAGAATTATAGCTTCATTAGCTTTAATATCAATCATCGAAAGGACATTGACACAGGTTTCTCTTAAGCATTATCAGCGCGCCCGGCGCGGCATTTACTGCGCGTATAAAGTGGGCGAGGACTGAAATCATGACCGCTGCAATGGCGCGTGGAAAGGTTTCGCGGGGACAACCTGATCTATATCTCATTGTATGTATTACCATCACTCGTGGCTGTTGGGCGTTACTGACTTTGAGGCAGTCTGAAGAAGATACGATTTACGAGCAAGATATACTCCGCGACCCTGAAAGCATCAAGCCATGGCTGGGATATATAAATTTCAAGTTGCGACATGGGAGCTTACACGAACAAGCATACGTCCTCGAACGTGCGTGCTTGCAGTTACCACGATCATATAAGCTATGGCGAATGGTAAGGATGATAACATGCAAACTACTTTGGGCGATGCTAACTGTACCAGTATCTCTCTATCAGAACGAAGCACCTCCGAAAGCTCAACCCGGCCATCTTCGCTGCAGAATTTGCGAAAGTGAATTCATTATTCGAGAAGGCTCTTGTTCTCTTGAACAAAATGCCTAAGATATGGGAGATGTATCTTCAATTCCTATTACTTCAGCCACTTGTAACACTCACACGCCACACATTCGATAGAGCGCTACGAGCGCTACCAATCACTCAACATAACAAGATATGGGCCCTCTACAGACCATTCGCAAATTCCGCAACTGGACAGACGGCCGTTAAAATTTGGCGACGATACATGCAAATACACCCAGAAGATGCAGAGGACTTCATCGAACTGTTGGTCGAAGAGAGGCTTTACACGGAGGCGATTAAGATGTATATGAACATTCTCAACAATACAAGGTTTCGAAGCAAGCATGGAAAGGGGCACTACCAGCTCTGGAATGAAATGATTGACCTCCTTGTTACTCATGCTAGGCTCGTAGAAACAGGATACGAAAATGGCATTAATGTTGAAAGCATTATCAGAAGTGGCATTGAGAGGTTTTCAGACCAAAGAGGCAAGCTGTGGTCTGGCCTAGCTACGTACTGGATCACTCGTGGGAGCTTTGAAAAAGCAAGGGATATTTTTGAAGAGGCTATAATAACAGTCATGACTGTTCGTGACTTCACGCTGGTTTTTGATTCATACACGGAATTTGAAGAATCGGTTATTGGGGCACTGATGGACTCTGCGGCCAGTCGCTCAAGCAGAGGAGCTGTGGACGAAGACGCAGATTTTGATTTAGATATCAGAATGATGCGGTTCGAGCAACTAATGGACCGACGGCCATTCCTCGTGAATGATGTCCTATTACGGCAGAACCCCAACAATGTGCCTGAGTGGGAGAAACGAGTTGCGCTCTGGGGTGACAACAAGCGTGAAGTAGTCCAGACATATACCGACGCCATCACTGCGGTGCAGCCGAAGAAAGCAATTGGCCAGTTTCACGAACTTTGGGTCAATTATGCTAAGGTCTATGAGAACGGCGGGGATTTGCGAGACGCTCGGTTAATACTGGAGAAAGCTGTAAAGGTCCCTTTTAAGTCAGTTGCAGAGCTAGCAGAGTTGTGGATAGAGTGGGCTGAGATGGAGCTGAGAAATGAGAATTTTGAGGGAGCCGTCAATGTCATGGCCAAAGCAGTACAGGCACCGAAACGATCAACGGTAGATTATTTCGACGAAACACTCTCGCCACAACAGCGAGTTCACAAGAGTTGGAAACTTTGGAGCTTTTATGTCGACCTTGTTGAGAGTGTCAGCACTCTTGAGGAGACTAGGAACATATATGAAAGGATATTTGAGCTTCGAATCGCTACTCCACAGACAGTTGTCAATTATGCAAACCTTTTGGAGGAAAGCAAATATTTTGAAGAGTCATTCAAGATCTATGAACGGGGCTTGGATTTGTTCAGTTATCCGGTAGCCTTTGAACTCTGGAACTTATATCTCACCAAAGCTGTCGACCGGAAAATTAGTATTGAACGGCTACGGGATCTTTTCGAGCAGGCTGTTGAAGGATGCCCTCCACGTTTCGCCAAAGTGCTCTATCTCATGTACGGTAATCTTGAGGAGGATCGAGGCTTGGCACGACATGCAATGCGCATATATGAGCGCGCCACAAGAGCAGTCTCGGATGAAGATCGAGCAGACATGTTCAACTTTTATATTACGAAATCCGCGTCGAACTTTGGGTTGCCGTCCACACGACCTATTTACGAGCATGCCATTGCTGCTCTACCTGATAGCGACGCCAGGGACATGTGCTTAAAATTTGCCGATATGGAGAAGAGGTTGGGTGAAATTGATAGAGCGAGAGCCATATACGGGCATGCTTCGCAATTCTGCGACCCGCGAACGAGTCCGACCTTCTGGTCCAAATGGGAAGCTTTCGAAGTTCAACATGGAAATGAGGATACGTTTAAGGAAATGCTCCGCATCAAACGCAGCGTACAGGCCCAGTACAACACAGACGTTAACTTTATTGCTTCCCAGGCTCTGGCAAGGAGTCATGCAAGCCCCAACGGTAAGGGCGACGACAATCACGAGGATGCCATGGCAGCCCTGGAACGAGAAGCACGTGCCCCTGTGGGGTTTGTTGCTGCAAGCACCGGCCCACCACAGGGCAAAATTGCTGTTGAACCAGCTGTGGTTGCGAATCCAGATGCAATCGATGTTGATGGATTAGAGGAAGAAGATTGAGCTAGCACCGGCGCTTATAGATAGCATGGGAGTAAATGATATCATCAAGGCATAATAACTTAACATAGTTAAGTGAAATACTCGTAATTTCTTTCTAGACTAAGCTGAACTTCAGCCCACATTGACTCTTTTGCATTTTTAAATTCTTTAAGTGACAATTTGTCGATTGATGTAGTCCCTCTGTCCATTCTGCACCGTACGTCGCATTTGCACTAATGCCTATACATAAAGATACTTCTAGTTAAACTACCTTCAATGCCACTTTAATACTTATTTTATCGGCTAGTATCAGAACTAAACTGCCACCTATAATATTAAAAATATCAGATCTGCCTGCCACCTAATTGTTTCGAAATATCAGAACCCTATTTCAACTTTAGTTATATATATTAACAAGTACTATATGTTTAAGTTAATATTACTTATATACAACTACTATTATAACAGAACATAAGCTAGCTTAAAATTATACCCTGTTAATCTTAGCTAAAGGAATGAATTCATAGAATATATAGACAACAGTGTTATATTGTGTGTTTAGAATGCTTTTTTACCACTAACGTAGGTCGTGGCCAGAGCGGCGCCATGGCCAGAGCGGCGACTTGGCTCACCCCACCAAAATCCAGAGCAAGAACACCAAACTACTAACTTAGAAAAATCGCAAATAATTCAATTACTACCACCCTAATTCATCTATATCATCCTCAGAAGGCTCTTCTTCGCTCTCTTCATCTATTTCCTCAATTATAGCCTCGTTTATAGGTTGTGGTGTTGTTCTAGGCCTCTGTGAAGCTGTGGCTGTTGCTGCTTCTGCTTCTACAACTTGTAACCAGAGTTCTTCTGTAGAAATATGGAATTGACCCTTCAAAACTGCTCTTTTACCCTTATTCTGTACTCTACGCTTCTAAATAATTGAGCGTAAGTTATCACACTCTCTTTTTTGAAGGGTATTGCGTGTATTAAGGCGTTCTGACTCATCTGCTAACTTATTGATATATCGCTTTATAGGAGTATTCAAAACACCTTGATTTAAGGCTGTTGAGAGCACTGTATTTGCTTTGTGAAGTGTTTGAAAATCAGGTGGACTGCTATT